GCCTAAGCCTAAGCCTAAGCCTAAGCCTAAGCCTAAGCCTAAGCCTAAGCCTAAGCCTAAGCCTAAGCCTAAGCCTAAGCCTAAGCCTAAGCCTAAGCCTAAGCCTAAGCCTAAGCCTAAGCCTAAGCCTAAGCCTAAGCCTAAGCCTAAGCCTAAGCCTAAGCCTAAGCCTAAGCCTAAGCCTAAGCCTAAGCCTAAGCCTAAGCCTAAGCCTAAGCCTAAGCCTAAGCCTAAGCCTAAGCCTAAGCCTAAGCCTAAGCCTAAGCCTAAGCCTAAGCCTAAGCCTAAGCCTAAGCCTAAGCCTAAGCCTAAGCCTAAGCCTAAGCCTAAGCCTAAGCCTAAGCCTAAGCCTAAGCCTAAGCCTAAGCCTAAGCCTAAGCCTAAGCCTAAGCCTAAGCCTAAGCCTAAGCCTAAGCCTAAGCCTAAGCCTAAGCCTAAGCCTAAGCCTAAGCCTAAGCCTAAGCCTAAGCCTAAGCCTAAGCCTAAGCCTAAGCCTAAGCCTAAGCCTAAGCCTAAGCCTAAGCCTAAGCCTAAGCCTAAGCCTAAGCCTAAGCCTAAGCCTAAGCCTAAGCCTAAGCCTAAGCCTAAGCCTAAGCCTAAGCCTAAGCCTAAGCCTAAGCCTAAGCCTAAGCCTAAGCCTAAGCCTAAGCCTAAGCCTAAGCCTAAGCCTAAGCCTAAGCCTAAGCCTAAGCCTAAGCCTAAGCCTAAGCCTAAGCCTAAGCCTAAGCCTAAGCCTAAGCCTAAGCCTAAGCCTAAGCCTAAGCCTAAGCCTAAGCCTAAGCCTAAGCCTAAGCCTAAGCCTAAGCCTAAGCCTAAGCCTAAGCCTAAGCCTAAGCCTAAGCCTAAGCCTAAGCCTAAGCCTAAGCCTAAGCCTAAGCCTAAGCCTAAGCCTAAGCCTAAGCCTAAGCCTAAGCCTAAGCCTAAGCCTAAGCCTAAGCCTAAGCCTAAGCCTAAGCCTAAGCCTAAGCCTAAGCCTAAGCCTAAGCCTAAGCCTAAGCCTAAGCCTAAGCCTAAGCCTAAGCCTAAGCCTAAGCCTAAGCCTAAGCCTAAGCCTAAGCCTAAGCCTAAGCCTAAGCCTAAGCCTAAGCCTAAGCCTAAGCCTAAGCCTAAGCCTAAGCCTAAGCCTAAGCCTAAGCCTAAGCCTAAGCCTAAGCCTAAGCCTAAGCCTAAGCCTAAGCCTAAGCCTAAGCCTAAGCCTAAGCCTAAGCCTAAGCCTAAGCCTAAGCCTAAGCCTAAGCCTAAGCCTAAGCCTAAGCCTAAGCCTAAGCCTAAGCCTAAGCCTAAGCCTAAGCCTAAGCCTAAGCCTAAGCCTAAGCCTAAGCCTAAGCCTAAGCCTAAGCCTAAGCCTAAGCCTAAGCCTAAGCCTAAGCCTAAGCCTAAGCCTAAGCCTAAGCCTAAGCCTAAGCCTAAGCCTAAGCCTAAGCCTAAGCCTAAGCCTAAGCCTAAGCCTAAGCCTAAGCCTAAGCCTAAGCCTAAGCCTAAGCCTAAGCCTAAGCCTAAGCCTAAGCCTAAGCCTAAGCCTAAGCCTAAGCCTAAGCCTAAGCCTAAGCCTAAGCCTAAGCCTAAGCCTAAGCCTAAGCCTAAGCCTAAGCCTAAGCCTAAGCCTAAGCCTAAGCCTAAGCCTAAGCCTAAGCCTAAGCCTAAGCCTAAGCCTAAGCCTAAGCCTAAGCCTAAGCCTAAGCCTAAGCCTAAGCCTAAGCCTAAGCCTAAGCCTAAGCCTAAGCCTAAGCCTAAGCCTAAGCCTAAGCCTAAGCCTAAGCCTAAGCCTAAGCCTAAGCCTAAGCCTAAGCCTAAGCCTAAGCCTAAGCCTAAGCCTAAGCCTAAGCCTAAGCCTAAGCCTAAGCCTAAGCCTAAGCCTAAGCCTAAGCCTAAGCCTAAGCCTAAGCCTAAGCCTAAGCCTAAGCCTAAGCCTAAGCCTAAGCCTAAGCCTAAGCCTAAGCCTAAGCCTAAGCCTAAGCCTAAGCCTAAGCCTAAGCCTAAGCCTAAGCCTAAGCCTAAGCCTAAGCCTAAGCCTAAGCCTAAGCCTAAGCCTAAGCCTAAGCCTAAGCCTAAGCCTAAGCCTAAGCCTAAGCCTAAGCCTAAGCCTAAGCCTAAGCCTAAGCCTAAGCCTAAGCCTAAGCCTAAGCCTAAGCCTAAGCCTAAGCCTAAGCCTAAGCCTAAGCCTAAGCCTAAGCCTAAGCCTAAGCCTAAGCCTAAGCCTAAGCCTAAGCCTAAGCCTAAGCCTAAGCCTAAGCCTAAGCCTAAGCCTAAGCCTAAGCCTAAGCCTAAGCCTAAGCCTAAGCCTAAGCCTAAGCCTAAGCCTAAGCCTAAGCCTAAGCCTAAGCCTAAGCCTAAGCCTAAGCCTAAGCCTAAGCCTAAGCCTAAGCCTAAGCCTAAGCCTAAGCCTAAGCCTAAGCCTAAGCCTAAGCCTAAGCCTAAGCCTAAGCCTAAGCCTAAGCCTAAGCCTAAGCCTAAGCCTAAGCCTAAGCCTAAGCCTAAGCCTAAGCCTAAGCCTAAGCCTAAGCCTAAGCCTAAGCCTAAGCCTAAGCCTAAGCCTAAGCCTAAGCCTAAGCCTAAGCCTAAGCCTAAGCCTAAGCCTAAGCCTAAGCCTAAGCCTAAGCCTAAGCCTAAGCCTAAGCCTAAGCCTAAGCCTAAGCCTAAGCCTAAGCCTAAGCCTAAGCCTAAGCCTAAGCCTAAGCCTAAGCCTAAGCCTAAGCCTAAGCCTAAGCCTAAGCCTAAGCCTAAGCCTAAGCCTAAGCCTAAGCCTAAGCCTAAGCCTAAGCCTAAGCCTAAGCCTAAGCCTAAGCCTAAGCCTAAGCCTAAGCCTAAGCCTAAGCCTAAGCCTAAGCCTAAGCCTAAGCCTAAGCCTAAGCCTAAGCCTAAGCCTAAGCCTAAGCCTAAGCCTAAGCCTAAGCCTAAGCCTAAGCCTAAGCCTAAGCCTAAGCCTAAGCCTAAGCCTAAGCCTAAGCCTAAGCCTAAGCCTAAGCCTAAGCCTAAGCCTAAGCCTAAGCCTAAGCCTAAGCCTAAGCCTAAGCCTCAAGCCTAAGCCTAAGCCTAAGCCTAAGCCTAAGCCTAAGCCTAAGCCTAAGCCTAAGCCTAAGCCTAAGCCTAAGCCTAAGCCTAAGCCTAAGCCTAAGCCTAAGCCTAAGCCTAAGCCTAAGCCTAAGCCTAAGCCTAAGCCTAAGCCTAAGCCTAAGCCTAAGCCTAAGCCTAAGCCTAAGCCTAAGCCTAAGCCTAAGCCTAAGCCTAAGCCTAAGCCTAAGCCTAAGCCTAAGCCTAAGCCTAAGCCTAAGCCTAAGCCTAAGCCTAAGCCTAAGCCTAAGCCTAAGCCTAAGCCTAAGCCTAAGCCTAAGCCTAAGCCTAAGCCTAAGCCTAAGCCTAAGCCTAAGCCTAAGCCTAAGCCTAAGCCTAAGCCTAAGCCTAAGCCTAAGCCTAAGCCTAAGCCTAAGCCTAAGCCTAAGCCTAAGCCTAAGCCTAAGCCTAAGCCTAAGCCTAAGCCTAAGCCTAAGCCTAAGCCTAAGCCTAAGCCTAAGCCTAAGCCTAAGCCTAAGCCTAAGCCTAAGCCTAAGCCTAAGCCTAAGCCTAAGCCTAAGCCTAAGCCTAAGCCTAAGCCTAAGCCTAAGCCTAAGCCTAAGCCTAAGCCTAAGCCTAAGCCTAAGCCTAAGCCTAAGCCTAAGCCTAAGCCTAAGCCTAAGCCTAAGCCTAAGCCTAAGCCTAAGCCTAAGCCTAAGCCTAAGCCTAAGCCTAAGCCTAAGCCTAAGCCTAAGCCTAAGCCTAAGCCTAAGCCTAAGCCTAAGCCTAAGCCTAAGCCTAAGCCTAAGCCTAAGCCTAAGCCTAAGCCTAAGCCTAAGCCTAAGCCTAAGCCTAAGCCTAAGCCTAAGCCTAAGCCTAAGCCTAAGCCTAAGCCTAAGCCTAAGCCTAAGCCTAAGCCTAAGCCTAAGCCTAAGCCTAAGCCTAAGCCTAAGCCTAAGCCTAAGCCTAAGCCTAAGCCTAAGCCTAAGCCTAAGCCTAAGCCTAAGCCTAAGCCTAAGCCTAAGCCTAAGCCTAAGCCTAAGCCTAAGCCTAAGCCTAAGCCTAAGCCTAAGCCTAAGCCTAAGCCTAAGCCTAAGCCTAAGCCTAAGCCTAAGCCTAAGCCTAAGCCTAAGCCTAAGCCTAAGCCTAAGCCTAAGCCTAAGCCTAAGCCTAAGCCTAAGCCTAAGCCTAAGCCTAAGCCTAAGCCTAAGCCTAAGCCTAAGCCTAAGCCTAAGCCTAAGCCTAAGCCTAAGCCTAAGCCTAAGCCTAAGCCTAAGCCTAAGCCTAAGCCTAAGCCTAAGCCTAAGCCTAAGCCTAAGCCTAAGCCTAAGCCTAAGCCTAAGCCTAAGCCTAAGCCTAAGCCTAAGCCTAAGCCTAAGCCTAAGCCTAAGCCTAAGCCTAAGCCTAAGCCTAAGCCTAAGCCTGGGCTTTCGGAATCTGTGTCGGCTGTTCTTGTAACTCCATTATTCGTCGAGTTACAGTAATGTAAATTGTTCCATGCTATGTTATACATGCTGAATATACGATTGAGTACAAAAATGACACCTTATGCTGGTTTTTTGAACCTATCTTATAAAGTATTTTTTTGTAGTACTCGATCGTATATTCAGCATGTATAATATAGCATGAAAAAATTTGCATTACTGTAAGTAATAGAGTTACAACAACAGCCAAATCAGATTCTGGTAAAAAAATGACTTCTGCGATAGATTTGTAAACAATAATATATATTGAGGTTTTTTGTGGTAATCGACATTCGGTACAGATTAGCGCTGATAAAAAGTATGAATTCTTACTGGTTAAGCGTTTTTTTTAATTATAAATGTTTGCTTAAGGCTTATCAATTAAACGTTTTTTCCGGAAAACTCAGTTTTTGAGACTAAATGAGCGTATTTAGACAGTTTCGATTGTTATTATGGAAAAACTTTTTAGTCCAATGGCGATCTCTAGTTTTTACAACAATTGAGTTAGTGATACCGCTCATATTAATAGGAATATCATTTGGATTGATGTTAGGTGTAAGTTTGTTGCAGTCTTTTTTAAAAGAAGTAGTATTATAGTAACTTAAATTACTTAATAACTATGTTTAGCTCCGTGGGAGATATGAAAGTTCTAATAATGTAACAAATTATCCGTCTTGGTATGTAACAGGACGAGCTTTTGATTTAATTTTATCTCCTGGTCAACTAAACAATAAAACAGTAAGTGCAGTTTAGGGTGAGGGGGGGGTGGGGTGTGGGAACACCGAGCAAATTTTTCAATCTCCGTCTATCACTATTATGGGGCTCATCCTGAAGAACTCCCCACCCCCCCCATTTCGTTTCACACCCCTAACCGCTAGTTCGCACCCCCAGTGAAACCCCCAATCCAACTCCAGGCTAATCCTACTTGGTAGGGGGCTATTCTGGATGAGCGCCAAAATTCCTCTTTACCGAAATTCCAGCGAACAAATTTTTAATCGTCAAGCAATTCATTATACAGGAGTTCCACTGTATCTGTTTTGTTTTTAAAACATTTATTTGATTTTTTTATTTTATATTACTCGTTTAGGACACAATATTGCCTTTAGAAACATTCCTCACTGGAGAATTACCGTCTTGTTCATTATTGCAAATTGATAAGCACAACTATAACAACTACACTATTTCTGTAAAATTTTTGTATGCCCCTAATAATACAGCTATCAACATTATAATGAAAAATATTAAGGTAAAATTTATAAATTTTTTATTTCTAGTACTTTTATTATTCAATCAATAATATATTACTGTTTAGCTTCGCTTCTTATATTTTTTAGGTATGTATACTTTTAAAATAAATACAATTTAAGGATCCAGAAAATGTTAAAGTAGTTTTAAAGCGGTACAATTTTAGAGAAGGTACACATCTAAAAACTTAATTGAGATGTTAAAGGACATACCCGACGTTGATCCACAAATTTTTGGAAATTTAACATTGAACGTAAAATGTGAAGTGATAGGTATCTTTTAGATTTGCTAGCTTTTATCGGTTCATTTCATGAAACGCTACTACTTAATATAAACTACATTTTTATCAAATATTTAATAGTAGTCTTCTAGGTTTTTCTTCTGAAAAAAAGTTAGAATCGGATCTCTCAATTTCCTTCCAACACCAATGTAACAATTCGTTGTTAGCTGGCATTGTATTCAATAATTCGATGTTATTTGACGATTTAACTGACCTATCAACTATTCAATACAAAATTAGACTTGCTAATACTAAGCGACGTTTTCGTGATTTTGCACAATCTATTCAACCATGGGACACAACGCAGCTGTTTTCAATACTAGCATTTTCTGGACCGCTTGATCGTAGTTACATGACAGGAGGAAATCCAGGATATTGGGCTGAAGGATTTTTAACAATTCAGCATGCTTTACATTTGAGTATAATGGACTATTTTGAAAATGTGGAAGGAAATGTTACTAACGACATTTTACGAGGCCGTGTGTTAAAGGTAAGAAAACTGTTTACAAAGCAAGTACTCAAACATGCCTCGCTTAGAACCAGCTCAGAATTTTTATATGAATTCTTTGTAACACCAATAGCACCAATAGATACGCTTAAAATTTAAAATTGTAGGTTCATTTAAAGGTTTTATACTAGTGTAACAAAGAAAAAGTCGATAACTCAAAAAAATAACAATGATATAAGCTTGAAACTCAATGCCAATTGGCGGAAAATTTTTAACTTAGTGTTTTAATCTCCGTTTTCTCGATATTTTCTGGAAAGCGCCATTCAGTACTTTGTTGAACCTCATGTATTTCATAATCTTTCTGTATAAAAAGTTTGAAGTCAATGAGAGCGGGGCAGGTCGGGTACTTTCATTGTTAGTTGCAACCTGTAGATAAGACCTTTCACTTATGTTATATATTAAGAAAAAAACATTGTTAATATCAACAATATCTTAAAACTTTTTAAATAATACGTTGTGCTATTAGATATAAAAGCCATCTATTAAACGTTGTTTTAGCTTAAGAGATTCCCGTTTCCTCCGTACTCACGGAAAATTATTGAACTTGGAGTATTATTTTTGCCTACTGTGTTTGCATTTTCTTTTATGACCAGTGTGGTTTATATTGTTCGAAACGTGGTGATGGAGAAGGAAAATCGGTTAAAAGTCCGTTTTTAGTATTTTTTAGTAGATTTGTTGAATAATTATTTTTTGTAATATATGCACAAAGATTGCATGGAATAACAGTTACGTTTAATCAATTTTTAAATTATTTTTCAATTTTAGTTTGTTATTTTTTATATTATTTTTTATTCGTTTTGCAAAACGAAAACTTAATCCTAGGAATACATGAAAGTAATGGGAATGCATTCATGGGTCGACTGGGCAGCCCATTTTTTTGGCAATTATTGTAAGATGATGATTACTGTTGGAACAATAACTATTCTTATGCATTATATTACCGAAAACACAAATGTTCTTATTATATTGATCTTTGTTGCTTTGTATGCGTTTACTGCGACTTACTTTGCTTTAATGGTTTCCACATTTGCAAATTCAGGTAATTTTTTACATTAAAAAATTTTTTAAATTTTGATGAAATTGTCTATTTGTCATCATTTTGTGTTTATGGTCAAAATATATAAATTTGCGTATTTTAAACAACTATTCAATTAGCACTGAGTTTAAATAACACAAAGCTACAAGTTTTAGGTACTGCAGGTATCTTAATGGCAGTAGTAGGTTGGATAATATTGTTTTTTTGGTCGTCTTTTTTTTCTTCGATTGATATACAACGTCCGCATACTTATGCAGTAAAGCTAATCAATTGCTTAAACCCCAACATAGCTCTCTACCTGGGATTGCAACTGATTGCTCAATACGAAACACAAGGTTCGATTAAAAGCTTTTTCAATCCTGAAATTCTTGTCAAATATTTTACCAGAAGTACATGAAAATTACGGAAAATTGAATTCATTTTTAAATATTAAATAATTTGCAGCACATGGCATGCAATGGTTGCATATAAATCTACCTTCTTCGCCTGATCAAGAATTAACGATGTTACAAATTTTGCTCGTATTACTTTTAGATGGTTGCATTTTTATAGTTATCACATGGTACGTGGAAGCGGTAAATCCAAAATCTGAAGGAATAACACAAAAGTTTTATTTTTTCGTATTAGTAAGTTGAGCTTAAAGTATACATTAAAACATTTTTAAATAAATATAACGTTAGTATTTTTTATAATGTCGTTTCTAGCAAATCAAAATTTATAATTTCTTTTTTCATTTATGACTAACTTAATGCCTTGTCTTACTGCTTTTTTTAACTGTTTTATTTTCCAATTTCTTCAACATAAGTACAACAGTTATTTTGAGTTTGTCATTTTTAGCCGTCATATTGGTTTCCATCATGGAGTAAATCTGTCAAGCCGCATAATTATTTACACGATGCTTGTGACAACGCTAACATGGAAAATGAACCGTCTCTTAGTCCTGCAATAAGAATTTGCGGTTTAACTAAGCTATATAATTCTAGAAAATGCGGGATTTTTAATAACAGTGTTTGTTTATTTTAAATATTATGTTTTGTTTTTTAAAATATTAAAAGTAATTGACAAAAAGTATTTGAAGGACTATATTGGCAAGATACTTTTAGGAAAAAAAGGTAGCTGTTGATAAATTGACGCTCAACATTTTTAATGGCCAAATTACTGCGCTATTAGGACACAATGGCGCTGGGAAATCAACGACATTTTCATTACTATGTGGAATATTAGACAGTACATCAGGAACTGCTTATATAAATAACAAAGACGTGCGGACAAAAATGACAATTATTCGGAAAGAATTAGGTTTCTGTCCACAGTACAACACGTTAGTTGAACAAATGACTGTTATGGAACATTTGAAGTTTTTTTGTAAACTAAAAGACCGGACATGGAACATCGTAGAAGCGATACAACTGTTAAAACAATTAAAATTAGAAACTAAAGCAAACAATTTTGCTGGAAGTTTGTCTGGAGGTCAAAAGAGGAAATTAAGTTTGTGTATTGCTTTGATTGGAGGTTCAGAAGTTAGTTTTATGTTTTGCCATGCTAAAACTCAAGTTATGAATTTACAAAGCTTTGCAGACTTCTAGTCATTCAAATTCTTTTATTTATGTTACACAAAAGAAAACATAAAAAAGCAAATATTCATGTTCTTACGATTTAGATCATATTGTTAGACGAGCCAACTTCTGGCATGGACCCTAGTGCGCGGCATGAAGCGTGGACTTTGCTTCAAAGAGAAAAGAAAAACCGTACAATACTATTTACAACACACTATATGGAAGAAGCAGACTTGCTTGGTGATCGTATTGCAATTATGGCAAACGGAAAATTACAATGTTGTGGGTCTAGTTTGTATCTTAAGAATCGCTACGGAACTGGTTACCGCGTAGTGTTAGTACTGAATCCAAAATCTAGCCGCGACAATATAGAAAAGTTGAAAGATTTTTTGACAAGGTTGAGTGACAAGATTACTATTCAATCCGTTGTTGGCAACGAACTGACATTTTCGATTCCACCTGATGAGAAATCAAGGTGAATAAATGTTTTGCGTTTTGAGAAGTTCCTTTAATTCTAACAATAAAACTATAACATAAATCAATATTACTCCCTTTTTTTAAATAATGGCTACTTATTTTTGTAATTTTGCTTTTAAAAAACTTTTTGTTGTCACCTTTCCCTAAATAAAATTTTTTAGGTTCTCTTATATTTTTGTCAAATTAGAAGAAAAGCAATCAGTGTTGAATGTCGAGTCGTTTGGCGTATCTGCAACGACCATGGAAGAAGTGTTTTTAAAGTGAGTTTAAATCTTACTATGCATACTTCAATTTTTTCAGTTATTTTCTTAATTCTATCTGCACGTTTTTAGAGTCAACAACATTGCGGAAAGCGAGAGTGGGATTGTTACAGTTGATAACGCGCAGGTTCTAAGCAGTTTAAACAAATTAAGAGGTTTGTCCATTTATTTTTTTTTGATATTTTTGCCTATTTTCTTTAAATAACGTTTAATGCTTTAGAGTGTCAAAATGTAGATTTCTTAAATGGAACAGAACTTTACATTCACCAATCAAAAGCTCTCGTAATATCCAAGCTTTTATATTATCAAGCTCAGCTAAAACAAGTGTTGGTTCAAATTGTTGTACCTGTCCTTTACATGGCGTTATTTGTTTGGACAGCAACAACATTTCCTGATGCGCAAGATCAAGTTCCATTAATTATTGACTACAAGAATTACGATACTGTGGACCCTGCAAATATTTATGTTAACTCATTGGACGAGCATTTACCACAGTAAGAAAAAGTTTCAAAAAAATTTGCTAACATAATATAACCCTTGAATTATATACTTTTCGTTTTTACTTCAGACGAAAACCTTAAATTCTTGTCCACGAAAAAAATCTCATAGTTTTATGTGATCCCTTTTTTTGTTTGATTGCCGTCGGCATTAGAGAAAAACTAGAGATCTCACAAAATTATGAGAGATTTTCGTGGACAAGAATTTAAGGTTTTCGTCCAAGGTAAAAATGGAAAGTATATAATTCAAGGGTTATATAAAACAGATAGGGTAGCCCCAGACTTTTTTTAATTATGGTGTGCACATAACTTGAAGTTCTAAAAATTTTAAAAACATGATGATTTTGTAACATGTATTATTCTACATTTTTTGTTTAACTTTTTTATTATAACACGTAATTGTTGAAAAATGTTTAGGTATGCAAGCAGTGTTGTTAGCCAGTGGAATCCGTATACTGTAAAGAAGATAAGTTATGTCGCAAATAATTTGACAATGGCTAACATGACAACAATTTTAACAAATAAATGTAAAAATGTAAGAGTTAAAACTATCATTATGTAGATACAGGGCCGCGCGGGAAAGTTTTGTCTAAATTTTAAAAAAAGGGGCGTCGGAGCTGGAAATTTGAATTTTGGGTACTCTGATTTCAACCTAAGTGATCACTGTTTATTTCCAGTGATCACTGGCATCAAGTTTTGTCAACGATATATTCAAAATTTCATTTTTCAAAAGCTTTTCCGCAATTTTTTAAATTTGAATAAAAATTGATTGGGCCCTATTCTTTTAGAATTGGTTGGGTATTATTTTTTGCATTCGTGGGTCTCATACTTCTTGAGCGCCAAAACATTTTTAAGGACAGGCCCTCTCCAGCTACCGGTTCTACTTAACTTTCTTAAACTTATAGGAAGGCACACGACGTTTTGGTTTACATAATCCTGTTGCAATACAAGAAGATGTAGTTCAAGGATTTAACATATCTTTTCTAACCGGGTTTTTCAATAATTTTGCTCTCCATTCTCCACCGTTAGCAATTAGCCTGTTAGATTCTATACTATTGCAACGGGCAACAAATCGAAATGTCACTTTTACGGTACTGTTTGCATTTTAAAAGTTTTCCAATTGACTTAAAAAGGGCGCTAGGACAAATGCGGTTTTTGGACATTTGCGGATCTACGGTTTTTAGACACTTGCGGATCTTCGGTTTTTGGACACTTGCGGATTTTGGACATTTGCGGATTTTTTAAAGGGGTTTTTTTTATTTTTTATTTAATTTAGTTGTAGTATGGTACTAAATGGTAATAAAGTTTAAATTGGCACTGTCTTAATATTTCTTAATGTTAAATAGTACTAAATTTTTAATCGGTACTGTTTTTATATTTTTGGTACTAAATAGTACTAAAAGCCCAAAAAGGTACTGTTATGTTAAAACCGTACCAATTCAAACTTTAGTACAATTTAGTACCATAATACAACTAAATTAACTAAAAAATAAAAAAAAACCTTTAAAAAATCCGCAAATGTCCAAAATCCGCAAGTGTCTAAAAACCGCAGATCCGCAAATGTCCAAAAACCGCATTTGTCCTAGCGCCTTAAAAAGCTTTTTCTTAATTTAAAAAATTAATTTGTTTTGGCAGACGGTAAACCATCCTGCACCACCGACTTACGAAGATAAAAGGAAAAATAGTCAAAATACACAGACTTCCGGAATGATTATCGGTTACGCTGTAATTGCCGCGATGAGTATGACAGTTTCGTCGTTTGCCGCGTTTTTAGTGCGAGAACGTAAAAAAAAGTTTAAACTTGTTCAAATAATGGCAGGTTTGCCATTTGAGCTTTACTGGCTAGTTCAATTTTTGCTAGATATGTTATTTTATCTTATACCTGCATCGGTAATATTGTTAGTATTTAAGCTATTTAATATTAGTGTTTATGTTCACGATAGTAGTATCCTGCTAATATTGTGGTTAGACATGCTGTTATTTGCATGGACGTCTATACCTTTTGTCTACTGCTTTTCGTTTCTTTTTGGATGTGCTCCAAAAGCAAATACTATCATCGTCATTTACAACATCATTACAGGTAAGCTTTATATAAGATTACTAGAGGTAAGATTTTAGTAATATTGTTTATTTAAAAATAAATAAAGTTTATTGTATTTTTTAACTTACTTTAGGAATGATTGGGGCAATAACAATACCAATCTTATTTCAAACTGACGGTCCTGACACGGCTTACACATGGGAATTAGTTTTTTCTTTAATATTTCCAACTTACAACATAAATAATCATTTTCTAAAGATTTACGATAACGAATTTAATCGGTTGACTTGTGCTTCTATCAATTGTAAAAACGATTTGTACAAATTCACTGTGAAATTTTGTTGTGGAAACGAAGAAGGTGGGGTTATGAGTATTTAATGTATCAGTTGTGTAATTATATATTTACATTATCGCTTATGTTTAAAGAGTAATTTTTAGAGAGGTCATTTGTGGATAATATTATGTCTAACACAAGCCAAAAAGGGCTGTTTTACGGCACTATATTCTTTATAGTTGAAGGATTTGTTTTTTGGATTTTATTGTATTTAATTGAATCTGGAATTTTATTTAAACTTTCACACGTTTTTTGTAAAAAATTGAAAGTGGAAAAAGGAGGGGTAAAGAACAAGGTATGTTACCACTTACCAAATTTAAGTAATTTTTTATAGGCTTTTAATATTGAAGACGAAGCTTGCATTTCACAGGAAAGTGATGTAGCTATCGAAAAACGTGCGATAAAAAACATTAAATGTGACGAATTTCCTATTGTAGTTAATGGTTTAGGTAAAGCGTAAGTCTATTTTTTAAATTAAAGTTCTCGCAACTGATTTTTTTAGGTAAGGGAGGGAGAGGGGAATGGAAGATAAAGTCGTAGGTGCACCCTGCCTCCGCTCTACTGGAAGCGGAGCCTGATACCGTCTCCTTCTCCCTCTGCCCTACTGTCAACGCGTTGATAAATAGGGGCTTCTGGGCCCGAACCCTGGGTTCAGGGCGTAAGCTAGCCTGGACCGGCCTATAAGTTCGCCTAGCCTGACCTTCTATTTCCCTCCCAACTTCAGCTTGATCTCGGCCGACCTCGATCAGCGGCTGGGCCTGAAAGGCCCAGTCCAATTTCCAAAACCTTTCCCTAAAACTCCCAACCTTCTCCCATTTAACTTCAGAACACGTTTTCCGGAGAACATTATCAGTGTTTTGCCGGACCGGTCCGGATTTTCAAAAATTGTAATATTGAAAATAACTTTTTAGCTTATGGTTTGAAGTTTTAAAAAATAAATAACTTTTGTGAAGGTCCGTCTTTGGCTATCAAGTTATTACCGAAATGGACCGCCCGGATCGGCAAGACCGATTCGGTCCGGCCGGTCCAAATGTTTAGCGAGGAACTTGTATGAGACGGACCTTCACAAAAGTTATTTATTTTTTAAAAGTTTAAATCATAAGCTTAAAAGTTGTTTTCAATATTACAATTTTTGAAAATCCGGACCAGACCCGGTCCGGCAAAATACTGGTCGGCATTGGCGCTTTAAATAGTCCGCTATCGTAACGGACTGTGGCCAGCCCACGATCTGGACGCCTTCAACTTATCGAAGCTCTCTGCTGCCTTCTTTTCGAAGAGGGCGCAGAAGACTGCAGAAGGCGGCCAAATTCCAGGCCCCGTCGTTTACTGTTTACTGTAAAACTAAATTAAAAACATTTAAAACCTCACTATAAAAATAATTTTTTCTTGCGTACTCTATCTGTGATTCCATCCGCAGCCCCCACCCCCTCCCAGCAACATCCCTGGTCTGAACACATACATATATATACATGACCGTCGTTCTAGCTTAAAAGATAGACATGGGGAACGAGCTGGGCCTGAGCAAAATCTTGGTTGTGCCGGGCCTTGAAATCCCAGAAAGGCCCGGCCCGTTCCCCATGTCTAAGAAAAGATCGTACAAATAGAAATCAGCCTATTTTTTGATTTTAACATAGTAATAAATACACGTACTAATGCAAAAAGTTTTAGTTATGGAAATTTTTTGGCTGTGAAAGGTGTTCATTTTCACGTAAACAAAAATGACTGCTTTGGTTTATTAGGTGTTAATGGAGCTGGAAAAACGTCTACTTTTCAAATGCTAACCGGAGAGAACCAAATAACAATGGGTAACGCTTACATTCACGGTTATAGCATAAAAAATCAATGGAAAAAAGTACGGTTTAATTTTGTTTTTAGATCTAAACTATTTTTGGGTGTATTGCTAGAGTTTTTTGCGTCGTTTTTACAATGTTTACTTCCGTATTTAGGCATCATCTTACATAGGGTATTGCCCCCAATATGATGCGGTAATGAAAGAGTTGACTGGATTAGATACACTGAAACATCTCGCCCGTGTTAGAGGAGTCAAAGAAAAAGACATTAAAAAAATAGTGAATACGGTTGTACAAGCCATAGGAATAGAAAAATATGCCAATCGACAAATTAAAACATACAGGTATTTTATTAAATTCGTTGCTAATTTTCCATATTTTAAAAACAAATAATTACAATTCACTTTGCAGTGGCGGAAATAAACGACGACTTTCAATGGGGCTTGCTCTGATTGGTATGCCGTCGGTTATGTTGCTGGACGAACCAACAACAGGAGTCGATCCAAAAGCCAGACGTTTTATCTGGAGTATACTGGCTAGTTTGCGTGAAGCTGGAATGGCTCTAGTCTTAACAAGCCATAGTATGGAAGAATGCGAAGCATTGTGCACTAATTTGGCAATCATGGTATCAGGGGAATTTAAATGCATAGGAAGCCCACAACATATTAAACACAAGTACGGGAACGGCTATAGTCTGGTTGTTACATTGAAAGACGAAAAGTATAGTAGCTTTGCAATAGAAAAGATTAAAGAAACATTTTCAGGAGCAATCTTAAAGGTAACTTATTTTAGACATATTTTTAAGATATACGTTTGTATACAACACAAATATGTAATAAAGCAAACAAATCTTCCTGTTGAGTATTCAACGTCCATAAAACAAAAGAAAAAATTAAAGTTTTATTTCTATAAAAATTGTAGGAAGAACATTTAATTCAATTGCGATTTGAATTGCCAAAAACTAAAGAGACTAGATGGTCACATTTATTTGCGAAATTGGAGGAAATATCACAGTTGTGTCGTTTTGTTGACTACTCATTGTCTCAAACTTCTCTTGAACAAGTAAGATACTAAGCGCTAATGTCGATATTTTTAATCAATTTTGAAAAATAATATTAGTGAACTAATACTCAATAATAAGTCACAAAAGTTTGCTATCACAATTTCATAACTTTTTAGCTGACAAAAAATACCAATCTGCAACGTTCAGAATTAGCTCATAATTTTAATACGAATTCTTTGGAGTACCAGTAGCACGTATAAAAAGTCTGAGCTGGAGGTTTTAAGTTTTAAAATTAATACATATATTGAAATTTTGCGTCAATTTGGCAATTTTGGCATTGTGTTGTAAGCACTTTTCGATGTTTCAGATAAGATAGGCTTGCAAATTTAAAATTTCAGTTCATTTGAAGGTTTTCTATCATTATATTAAAAAATAGTTAAAAACCAAAAAATGACAATATTAAAAGCTTGAAACACTATCCCAGTTTGGCGGGAACTTCATAACGTGAGTTTTTTGATCTCGATTTTCTCAAGTCTGGCCGCCAACCGCAACACAGAATTTTGAATATAGTCTTACATTTACAAGAAAGAATACAGTAAAAAAATTTGAACGGTCTAAGCGTTGCAGGTCGGGTACATTCCTTGTAAAATTAATTAATTTAACCTATTATCAGCGAAAGGTGCAGTTTTCCTTTTGTCGTCAATAAGCTACTAAAGTTCATCTACTAAAGTTCAAATTTTACAAAATTTTAATCTTTTTAGGTATTTATACAATTCTCGCGAAAATTCTGCAATGAACAGTTGGAAAATACCGCACACTCAGCCAATGATATTGTAAATGTCAGATTTTAAAAACAGCTGTAATATTGCATTTTTTGTTTATTCAATATAAAAACGTTTTTCAAATAATTTATACAAACCCAGAACACCGGGCGGTTCAGATAAGAAAGACTTTAAGTTGAAGCTTGTCATTATTGATGCGTTTGATTGATGACATTAAGTACAAAAATGGCAGTTCTTTGGAAATATAAATACTTATTTAAACCCGATTAAGCAGCCACTTCTACCGGACTGCCATTAACAATTCTGGACTTAACGATTCCGTCTTCGGAAACTTCTACGGTTTCCTTGCCATTGTCTTCTGTCCTTCAAACAAATTCTTTTATAAATTATTATTTATTTAAGACGTTTTAGTTATATTAAGTTTTAAAACCTTACTTTGTAGTAACAATTTTCTTTCCGTCTACAACACGAACGCTAGTTGTCGTTTTCTTCATTCCTTTTCCTGGTAAGTCACTTGCACTGAATCGAATAACTGATGAAAATTCACTGTAAAACTTTATTATCCTAATTTACTAATTCTTCATTTTTTTAAATTGACACGCAATCTCAACGTAAACATGAAATCCGCCTAACACCTATTATTAAAAAGGAAGCTTGTAAACTTCCTTCATATAAATATTATGAGACAACTTAACATTATAGCACCAGACCTACCAGTCGTTTTCATCTTTTTCCTTATTAAAAGCGCCGTCGAAGGACTTAGCGTGACAGTTGAAAATGTTTTTAGGGTAAGGCCGTCCTCCTAAAAATGCACAATTTTACAACACAGTGGGACTCCTTTAAAAAGTACTCCTCTATAACAAAATTTCCGTATAACAAACATCTCTTAAATCCCCGGAGACCAATACACAGTGAATTTAAAACCTCTATACCAAAACTCCTTCATGATGAAAAATTTTTGAATCCCCAAGCAATTCGTTATACAGGAGTTCCACTATATATTACTTCCTAAAACGTAACAAATTTTTTAAAATGTACCTCTATTCGTAAAAGGATAATTCATGTCGAATTGCATAAAGGGTCTAAACATGGGGTCATTAAATCTGCCACCAAAAAACTCTCGGAACACATCAAAAGGCGATCGTGTAGCATAACTTGGTGTCTGGCTTGCCGAGCGTCTTCTGTGATGTGGTCTGTTCCGTTGCAGATCCCCACGATCGTATTCCAAACGATGACTTTCTAAAAAATAGACAACTTTTTAAAAGCACACCCGGTCTACACAACAACAAAAAACGATTGAAAATGCGATTCCGGTAACACTTATAAAAATTAACAACAGTGATAAAGCTGGTTAAAACTTACCATCTGACAGTATTTCGTAAGCTTGAGCAATTTGTTTAAACTTCTTTTCCGCAACTTCACGATCTTCCTCTGGATGTTTGTCTGGATGCCATTTTAAAGCCAATTTGTAGTATCTAAAACTTATTCTAATAAGATGTGTACATCTCCTTAAGTGAAAGATAATTAACACCACATCCAAGGACAAACGTTAAAGTTCAAGAAGAAAAAATGTTTTTTGTGCATACGGTGATTCGGCTCATACAAATGTGTGTTACTTTTTGTGTTAAAACCAGAGTTCCCACGGGCTCCGGAGCCGGAGCTAAAATTTAAAAAAAAACGGAGCCGGAGCTGGAGCTGGAGCCGAAGCTGGAAATTTGAAATTTGGGAACTCTGCTTAAAACGTTTAACTGTTTTATTCTCCCGTTTGCTCAATAATTACAGAGGGGTGTCATAAAGTACAGATTCAATTTTTAAAACGTACGCTTTTTTAATTTCTGTTTCATCAGCAGTTTTTGAGACGCCTAGTACGCCATACAAACAATGGCCAACTGGCCGTGGAACCATTTTTCATTAAATCCTATAACGTTTCATATATAATTCGACATATAGCAAAGTATATTATACTTGTAATATAATATTTAAAATGTTATTTATTATCAACAAAAAACAGTTTTGCCTACAAACAACCAATAATTGCATAATAAGATGGAACAAGCAAACATTAATTAAACTAAAAACGTATCGTCGTGTATAAAACTTGATTTTCGGAGAAAGAAAAATGACCGCTTCTGACTTGAGCTGTCGCAGTTTCGCCCCATTTTGTTTTTCCTCTTGCCTTTTGTTTTTACCCAAAGGAGTTTCAGTTTAAAAATATTGAACTAAAGCTTTTCCTTTATTTGAAAAATTACCAACAAAAAAGGTTTAATATAAAAAATACAAAAAATAAATTTGACATGCCAAAAATTAACAATACAACTATATATGTTACCTTTGCTAACCTATAAAAACAAATTTTCATACCTTAAAACAAATCCCCAACAAACTTACTACAGTTCATACACCTCTAAGTTTACCGGTCCGTCAAAGGATCACTGTCTTGTAATAAACCAAGAAAAGAAACCAAGCTGCGACCTTGGTTATAAACTTTTCTTCTTTCATTCGGCTTGGATGTTATATTAGTTAAGACTGATTGATTTCCGCCAGGTTTTCTAATTGCAAAAATTTTATGGACTCTCAGTATGAGAATTGAAAAATTAAGCTTAGCCAAAGCGAGAAAAATTTGCTAAACAACTTTCTTTTCATATAAATTACTTTTTAATAAATAAAATTAAAATTTTAAAATTTTAATTGACTAATCTTTTACTTTACAATATTCAAAAGAAAACTTCTTTACTTCTACCATGGTAGACCTATCAAAAGTATACAAAATGAAAATTATACTTAAAAATTAACCTAATCGCATAATTCCGCTTTTAACTGAGAATAAATTTTACCCATGTAGTACACAAAACGTGCTTTAAAAAAATCAACAAAAAGTCACTGAACGAGGAAGAATCGCGCATTCGAGAATATAAACCGACGAAAAAACCGTCTGTCTTCAACGCTCTCGACACTAAAATGAGACGAAAAACAAACACCCTCAGATATTTAGAGAAAAGAGCGGTCATTGTTCAAGTGCAAAAAGAGCCAGCTGGTCATTTGAGAACTCTGTGTTTTCTAATTTTTTCTTAAACTCTGCCACATTCGTAATATTATTTTAAAGGCCTGATCAAATATTTTTTGTGCAGTGAATATACATATATTATTTAAAAATTATTTTTCAACGTTTATATTTTTGCAAATTAAACGAAAGTATAAGGATAATTTTTCAACTTCAGTTTGCAAAAAAATAGTAAATCTATTTTTAATCGTTTTCATTTTAACACTGTAAATATTTGAAAATAATGAATTTCAATCAAATTGTATAGCACGAACTTAAAAATATTTTCCGTCTAAGACACAAACACTTCTTATCCAAAAATATTTGTAAAAAAATCGGCTTTATGCTACTTACACTTCAATTTTACAAGGAAAGTACCTCACCTGTCTCGCTCAGAATCAGCTTAAAATTTTTATATGAATTCTTTGTACCACCAATAGTACCCATACAAAATTTTAGCTCGCGCTTTTTGAGTTTTAAATTTAAATTATTTTCTTTCCCGCCAATTTGGCAAATTTGGCATTGTGTTTCAAGCACTTTTTTCGGTTTTTCAGGCAAGATACGCTTGCAAATTTAAAAATGTAGGTTCATTTAAAGATATTCTACTAGTATATCAAAGAAAAATAACTAAAAATCAAAAAATGACAAAGTTACAAGCCTGAAACACAATGCCAAGTTGGCGGGAAATTCAAAATGTCATTTTTTAATCTCGATTTTCTCGAGATTTCCTGGAAAGCGCGATTTAGGACTTTGCTGAAGATCTTATATTTACATGATCTTTCGATATAAAAAGTTTGAAGTCAATCAGAGCGGGGCAGGTCGGGCACTTTCCTTGTTAGTTGAAAAAACCATTAATCACGTCGTTTTATAAAATATATAAAATAATCCTAGTCAAAAAAAATTGTAAAAATCAAATGCTTTTATATAAATATATATACTATAATTGCACGTTATACAAATATATAATATACTATGTCACAAAAATTGCAGGAAACACAAAAAAAATGTGAGCCGAGAATTCCGCCAGACTCGGTTGAATGCGCTGCAACGCAATGTTCAGTTTCCGACTTTTCCACCCAGCCCCACTATTCTTTTCCTCCTTGTTGTTACGAAGACGTTAAATAAAGCTTGACGTCGTAATAAATTTTATAGGCGTCAAGAATAGTTTTATTTCTCGTTCAACTTATAAGGAAGATACCCGGCCTGCAACGCTCAAATTTTATAAAATTTTTTTATTGAAAGATCAGGAAAGACCTTACGCAAAATTCTAAGTTGCGGTTTGCGGCCAGAGTTAAGAAAACCGAGATTAAAAAGTTAAGTTTCGGCTAAAATTTTTTTAGGTACTTGGTCGTACTAAGAATTCATATGAAAATATTGAGCTGAATCCGAGCAGGGCAGGTTGGGTACTTCCCTTGTTAGACATCAGGAACGGGCCGGGCCAACCTGGACCCACCAATGGGCCGGGCTGACCCGGGCTTGAAACAAATTTCGATCGGACCGGGCCTGAAAATTGTGCCCGGCCCGTTCTTGTAAGCTAAAAATCATGCCCAACAACAAAGAAAAAATTTCGTAAATTAATGAAATAAGTGGCGCGTTGTCAGCCGCGCGCTGTCATGTTCGGAAAAAGTCTTATTACAAATGCGTTAGAACCTTTGCGCTGAATAAAAAATCCCCACTGTATATTATATATTGAGACTTAAAAAACGATTTATAATAGTTGTTCATTCGGTTAATATAAATTTATTAGCTACAGCAATAGAAGCTACCGCAAACAATAAATGAAAAAAACCCGTCATGATTTATTACCTATTAGCGTATTATTATATGTAATACCATGTAAAATAGTATAAGAAAGAAACTTTTATTTACGCTTTTCAATTTTATTGTGTAATGTATATTAAAAAAGACTACTATACCCAACGAATTATTTTTCTTCGTAGTAATTCAAAAACCGACGAAACTAATAGTAATTATAAAAACGTCGAAATTCCTCAGTTTTTCGGTCAAAAAACTTAAAAACCAAAACTAGTTACTTTAATTTAAAAATATGCTTTTTTCTCTATTAGACTTTAAGATAAAAATAAATAATGTTACGTTATATAATAACTCGGTCGTTAATATAAAAAAAACAAATAATGTGTTTGAATACGAAAAAATATCAATAATTTGATATGACGGCACTTTTACGATTTGCAAAAAGTACTATACTTTATGAAAGCCTTCATAATTATAATAATGTGTTCACAAACTTTTTGAAGTTGGTTGTTGTGAAGAATGCTCCTGGGACATAAAAAGGATTTGAAACTTCGTCAACATAATGATTATGTAACTTCTTAAAAAGCTGAAAATATATATAAATGCAAAAATCCAAATCTTACCATTCGTACATCTTGGTCGCGATTGGATGAATCAGACGCATCATAAGTTAGTATAAAGTTTACTTGTGTATTGGTAACGTAGCCAAAAACCTAAAGATAATTCATTAAAATACCAACAACCCGTTTTCAAAAATTTTCACTACGTCTTTAGTTATTTTACTAAATAAATTATAACTAAAATCAAGTACAAAAACATTTCTAAATTTGGTAAAAATAAAAAATGCATCTTTTACAAATTAGAAAGACGTACTTTATAAGTATTATTAAACAGTAAACATCCCTGAAACAGTTCCTGTGGTCGGTTTGATGGAACTTTTTCCCATTCATCTAATACATCCAACGCTGAATAAGCCATCATTTGAATTGCTGTTTCCTCATTTATTCTTTCTGATGAACATTGGAAATAAATCAAACTTTTCTAAAAATAACAAAAAAATTAATTAAAAACTTACATCTTTTGAAAGAACAGAAAGTGCCAAAACCATTTTTTATTGCCTCGTATCGTACAGAAAATTTTTTACAAGCAATATTAGCTATTAGCTTTTTTCCGTTTTTTCTGCTTGCGTCCTTCCACGAAGATTAACCTCGCTAATACTTTTGTGGCATTTAGCTGCACTTTGCGTCTTGACTCCCGATTAATTCGTATGTATAAAAACTGCTGTCGTTTGAAGATTCGTATATATTTCTTTTTTTTGATTATTTAATCTTTTATAATTTTTTTTTAATTTTTAAACAATAACTTGAAGACATAAAAAGAACTTCCAAAAACTGGACTTCGTTTTGGTAAGTTCTTTATTATGTTGGTTTTTGTTATTTTACGTACATGTACTTTATTTTTTGTAAAAATATTTTTTTAGTTAACGAAAGCGGCAGACGGCTTTCGAGGTGTGTTATCGGGATGTGTTGAAATGGGTACAACGGCATCATCTCATCTTGAAAAGGAGCTCAACTCTGATTCATTTATGGGAAACGAGCGGTTTTATGGGTTGGTAAACGTAAGTTTTAACAATTTATTTCTGCATTCTGAATTTAGTTTGGCAACACATGCTACTGCAACTCCGTGTTACAAGCTCTATATTTTTGTCAACCGTTTAGGGACAAAATTCTTGCTTACAAACAACAGCAACGAAAAATAGGTATGGAAATGTTTTACTTTTGTTACGGAGTTTCGCTTATTTTAGACTTTAGACGTGCGATAGAAAATTAGAAGATTTTTTACTTATTTAGGTGGGCAAAAAGATAATTTACTAGGATGCCTTGCCGAACTGTTCTGCAACATTGCTACACAAAAACGTAGAGTTGGAACAATTGCTCCTAAAAGATTTGTTACAAAGTTAAAAAAGGATAATGGTTAGTTGTTTTTTTTTGATAATTTAATGTTGATTAAAAAAATGGTGTTTAGAGATAATTTTTATGAAGAGCTTTTTTAGAGTTATTTGACAACTTTATGCAGCAGGATGCTCATGAATTTTTGAATTATCTGTTAAATGCAATATCGGAAGCGTTGACAAGCAGCGAAGAAAAGAAGAGAGAACAGCAAAATGGAAATATTAAGGTCAACGGTGTTAAGAAAAGTTTGAGCAGCTTTGGAAATGATCGGTATATTTTACTTTTTTATTACAATTTAATTTCTTTATTTTCGTATACTATGCACTGAATATTAAAAAAAAGTATATTTAAACCACTTCTTTTCTATAATGCTTCCCCCTATTTTCCACAGGTAATACAAAAAAATTTGAAAAAAATGGTCTACAGTAAAATTTTTTCGACCTCTCCCTTAGGGACGTCCCTGCCTGTACGTGAAAAACGAAAAAAACGTTTTTGAAGAATTGCTCCACAGGCCCTGAAGATTTTCCAACTTCCTCTCACTCCAGAGAAAAACCGTGGCGACGCCACAAAATAACAATAAATTTTCGATTTTTTTATTGTGACTTTTCAGGTCGGGTTCGAGATCGGAGTTAACATGGATTCAAGAAATTTTTCAAGGTACTTTAACAAATGAAACTCGCTGCTTAAACTGTGAAACTGTAAGCTCTAAAGATGAAGATTTTCTTGACTTGAGTGTTGATGTCGAACAAAACGTCAGCATAACTCACTGCCTAAAAAATTTTTCGAACATGGAAACACTTTGTGGAGATCAAAAATATTATTGTGAAAACTGTTGCTCAAAACAAGAGGCTCAAAAACGGATGCGGATTAAAAGATTGCCACAACTGCTGGCTTTACATTTAAAAAGGTTTAAGTATGTAGATCATCTGAACAGATATACAAAACTTTCGTACCGAGTCTTGTTTCCATTAGAATTGCGACTATTTAACTTGGTAAGTACTTCGATTTTATTTCGTAAAAAAGGAAATTAAAAAATTATTGGTATATTTTTCAATTTTAGATCAAAAGAAGTATTTTTATGTGCTGCTAATTTGGGTTTACAAGTATTAAAACGTATTTCAGAAAGAAGAAAACAGTGATCGCCTTTATGACTTGGTTGCAGTAGTGGTTCATTGTGGGTCGACACCGAATCGTGGGCATTATATAACGTTGGTAAAGTCTCAAAATTATTGGCTTTTGTTTGATGACGATATTGTTGATGTAAGTTTCTAGTTAATAAAAAAGCTGACGTTAAACTGTTTTTAAAGTAAGTAATTCTATAATATTTTTTAGAAAATAGAAGAAAGCACGATAGAGGATTTCTTTGGTCTTTCTGATTGTAATTCTCAGAAAAATTCGGAATCTGCGTACATACTGTTTTATCAAGCACGGGAATGATGTTTTGTTAAGCGGCTACTTTTGTTGTATTTTAATTCTGAATAACACTAGTTTGTTTTGAAAGGTATTTTTAATATTGATTTTTTTTCAAATTTTGCTTCTAATCTCTTATTATGTTTCAGCTTGAATTGGAGATACAACGTTTTTGCATTTAAGTTTTTGATTTACTGTGACATGCAAAAAATTTTATTTTTCGAAATTGCACGTTAACGGGTGTCTATTAGGTGATTCTCTTGTTTGCAAACTAATAAAACTCTTTTTAAATATATATATAGATTATGGTTGGTGTGTTTCTTGTTGTTCTAATATAGTAAACTTTAACTAACTGCTAGTTAAATTTTTTGTTATATTGAATATTGTGCCGTTCTTTTAATTTTTATTCAATGCTTTGACTTTATGGTGAGTAATGTGAACAACCTGGTATACACGATAATGCCTGTTCTTTTTTTGAAACTTCCAGATATTTTTGTTTATAAGTAAAAATCTGTGATTATCTTCACAAGTTAAATTTGCTATCGTAAAATTGTATACTAATTTTAGGTATGATTTTTAATTGCTGTTTAATTACCTTTTATGATGTTTTACACGTTATATATGTTCCAAAACTATGTAAATAAATTAATAAAGTTGTTTTCTTACAAGTTGACTTATAAAAATTGTTTGCTCAATGCCCAATATTTAAATTAACAGTATGTTGGTTTGCGTACGACTATTTTTGTGGCACGTGCTATTATATTGAGTTATTTAGCATGAAAATCTGAAAATGAGCTATTTAAATGGAAAACAGGTGAACCCACCTTTTCTTCAGGTATGTGATTTTATTTTTATTATAAAGTTAAACAATTAGTAATGTTTAAAATGTAATTATAATTTTTGTGTAAATTATGACAGAATGTGAGATTTTTAGGAAGAAGAGTTTGTCGATGATGGAGACATTGAGTATCCGTTTGAGGATGTTGGAGGAAGTGGCGACGAGAACAGAATACGCGGAAACTGGTCTTCACACATGGATTACTACCTTTCCGTGTTTGGCTTCACGTTTGCGTTGGGGAACCTTTGGCGTTTTCCAAACCAGTGTCATCTCCATGGCGGTCTGGCATATTTAATACCCTACATCGTGTTATTCTTTATCAGTGCTATTCCAATGTTATTTATGGAGTTGAGTCTTGGTCAATTTGTAAGCCTTGGACCAACAGCTGTTTGGAAAGTTGCGCCAATGTTTAAAGGTGAGAGGAAAATTTTATTTTCCTTAGTGTCATTAAAATACAGGGGGACCTCTGTATAAGGAACCTGTATATAACGAAACCCCTGTATAACGAACAACTTTTGAATAACCGGCTAACATTTCACAGTGCATTTAAAATCTTTATATAACAAAACCTTTTCATAACGAAAAAATTAAATCCCCTGACGGTTCGTTATATAGAGGTTTCACTGTATGGCTAATATATATTTAAATTTAGGTATTGGGATAGCAATGGTTTTTATCTGCTCTGTTACTGCTGTTTATTTTCAACTAATAACAAGTTGGTCGCTTTTGTACGTTTTGAACTCTTTGAAATTTACATTGCCTTGGGCAACATGCGGGAATTCATGGAATTCAGATCAGTGTTCCGTTTGGAATAAGGGGGCTGTAGAAAACTGCCGTTTGTCTAATGGTACAATAATGAACAACGGCACATGCGCTTTTATTCCTTCTTTACCTATGAATTCTAGTAATTCTTCTAACGTAGAACAAACCAATTTTCCAAAAAATCATGTTATCCCAAGCTTGGAATATTTTCAGTAAGTTTTAAAAATGGTTAATGTAAATTGATAAATATTTAGTACGGAAGTGTTGCAAATATCAGATGGTATTTCGGATTTTCGAACCGATTACTTCAATTGGAGGCTGACTATTTGTTTGCTAGTTTCATGGTCAGCTATATTTTTGTGCTCTTTTAAAGGAATTAAAACAAGCGGAAAGGTATTTTGACTTATTTATTACTTATTAAAAATATATTTTTCTATTTATTGAGTAAATTATAATTTTTCAATTTTTTAGGTCGTGTATATTACAGTTGTTCTTCCGTATATAATTCTTTTTGTATTAACTTTGCGGTTTTTGACATTGCCTGGGTCGCTTGAAGGTCTGTGGCATTTTTTCTATCCTGATTTTAACGTTCTTCTTGATCTGAAAGTAAGTAAAAAACTTATCATTGCAGTTCCATGGCATTGTTATGTACTCTATATTATAATAGTTTCTTTAATTGTGAAATTTCAGGTTTGGGGTGATGCCGCAATACAAGTGTTCTACTCACTTTCAAGTTGCACCGGAGGCTTGATACTGCTTTCAAGTTATTCAAGGTTTCATAACAATGTATTTCGCGATGTATGGCTGGTTGGTTTTGTGGATTTAATTACTTCTGTTTTGGTGTCGGCACTAGTGTTTTCGGCTATTGGATTTGTATGTCACGAAATGGACATGTATTTGGATGAATTTAAATTACAAAGTAAGAATTTGTCATTTATGATTTTTTTGTGTTGTTTTGCTAGTTTTCTCACAAGGGAATGTTACAAACTGTTCATCTGCGATTTAGAAATGAATGATACTATGCGAAAAAGCGTAAAGGGTTCACTAAAAATCTATTTTTAAAAACTACCAATTTAATAACCAGTAGATAAAAAAAAGCGTTTAATAGTGAACCTATTTTTTTTGAAACCGTGACGTTTTTGCTGCCTATGACCGCACTATGAATGCTCGGGCAATTTTAGATCCGGGCGGTCCTACACTAGGTGTTGTATTTATGCTTTTGGTACTGAGTGGTAGTACATCCCTTAAAATTATTTAAAGTTTAACTTTGTGATACTCTGTAATACTTTAAAAAATATTCGGCACCATACAACTATACCTCCAGAAAAAAATCTGTAGGGACGTCCTTGATTTTACTCTACCTTTGTAAAATTCTCTTGTTAATTTCAAGACCTAAATATTTGTTTGTAAATTACTCGATAATCTACTTCAGATGGAGTACAATTGGTATTTGTATTTTTTGCGGAAGCGTTGTCAAAATTGCCCGTTGCACCATTGTACGCATTACTATTTTTTACAATGGTAGCGCTAATTGTATTTAATACTGAGTTATTTTTGGTTGAAACTGTCGTATCATCAGTATCAGACGAATATCCAGAGAGGATGAGGAAAAACCACAGGCACGTCATGACTTTCACAATTTGTGTTTTCTTCTTGCTTGGAGTTCCTTTGTGCAGTGGTGTAAGTTTACAGTACAATGGGACTTGGAACTCCTGTGAATCGCTCGGGGATTTAAACTTTATTCGTCATACAGAAATTTCGTTATACGGAAGTTTGTTATACACGAGTTCTGCTTTCCTTCAATTATTTATAGTATAACAAACATTTTTTCAAAAAAATTATATGTAATATAAAACCGTCTTCGAATCGTAGTGTAATATATAACTTTAGGCTGGTCTTTATTGGATTGTATTACTGGAACAATTTGTCGCAACCTGGTCTTTAATTGGCATCGCTTTTTTTGAAGTTACCGTTATATGCTGGGTTTACGGATCAGACAATTTTTTGGATAATATTAGGTGGATGACACATTTTTACCCACCCGTATATATCATGTGGAAGATTATTTGGAAATTTGTATGCCCACTTGTGTTTTTGGTATGTATTTTAAAATGCAAAATTTAGTACTGTAAAGTACATTAGTTTTTATTGCGTTAGAGAAAGGTCGATAGGAATTAAACACAAATAATTTCTACAATTAACTTTCAGAGTATATTAACATGCATTTGGCTAGAATATAAACCGATTTCTTATAATGGAATTATTTTTCCATATTGGGCCACTATATTAGGATGGGTTATATCAGCTGTTCCAGTTATTATTATCATCATAACTGGAATCATTATGATTTGTCGGACAGAAGGATCGTTCACAGAAAGATGGCAAACTTTACTATGTCCTGATGATGATTGGGGCCCTGCTTTAGCCGTTCACCGTTCCGAATACTATCCATTACAAATCCCAGAAGCACGAAGGTTAATGTCATCACAGCGTTTTACAAACAATGAAGTTTACACGCCTTCTATAAAACCGTGTTATGACGAATCCGCTGATTTGCTGGTTAGGAGAAGAAACGACAAAACAAAAAGTCAAAGTAGATATGCGTCACCAGAGCGAGAAACCGTCATCTAAAATTTTAAAAAGCTTCATATTTAATATAAAGAGTGTATTATACGATTTAAAATTCTGCATCTAAGTAATATAAGATCTATGAATACCATTTACTATTGTTTAGAACACCTTTATAAGCGTTTTTTGACATTAGACTCGTATAATGTTAATACCTTGCAAATATTCGAATCTGTCTTGATCTTAATTTTCTTTTCTAGTAATTCAATTCTTAAAAGAAATTCGTTTTAGAGTTAATATCGCGGATTTTCTATTAGTTCCGCGACAAGAAGTAAAGTAATTTTTTGGGAAAATCTTAAAAACCTTTGTGTTATGCTATATCATTCGTAAATTCCTATATGACTGTGAACCCGTGCCTTAAAGTACTTGCCATAATTCTCTCACATGCTCAACTGTTTTCTCAAGGTGCATTTTTTACAACGATTTACGCTTTACAATGTTTTTCCGAAATTTCTTATGACAATAAACACAGATTTATTGCATATTCTTTGTTATTTATTTTTAGATATATACATGTACATGATTTAATATATAAAAAAGCAAGCAGCTGATAGAACATATCAGTTGTTTTTGTGAAACGTCTGTTGAATTTATTTATTAGCTGTTTTTGGATGCAGCATGTATGTATATAAAAATTTTAAAAGTTTACTCGTAACGTTATAAACAAATGCTCTTACTAGGGAGGGAGTTGCACCAAATATCCCTTAGGATGAAGGAGCATAAAAAGTTACAGGGCAACCGTTTTTAAAATTGCTAATTCTATGTGTAAGGTAGGATAGGTAAGTAAGGCAAGAAAAATGCTTTAGTATAGTCTAATATACTATGGTATAGTAGATAGGGTATGATATAGCAGGTAGGTATAGAGGGGTAGGGATCGGTAAGGCCAAAAAAGTCACGAGTAAGGTCGGGTAGGGCTAGAAAGATCAGGGTTTAGCGGGGTAGGGAAGGGAAATTATGGGTTAGGGGGTGCTTTTTGGGGGTAGGGAAATAAAATTATGGGTCAGGTGGTTTTAGAGGGGGATGACGTAGATTCTAGGCTTGGAGGATTTTCGGTTACCTATTTTCTAAGGTTATCTATTTGCCGAGATTACCTACTCGTAGGCAATCATCAATGACATTAACTAGAGGTATATTAAAGCCCATAAGAAACCTTATTTTACTTTCTTTTTTTGTCTTAAGCAAACGAATGAGTTGAAACATCAATTCAATGTGGTTAAAATTAGTTTGGCATGCAGAAGACGGTGAGTTCAAATATCGACGGTTTTTTAGCGTTTTGCGATTGTAATCATAAATTTTGGCTAGCCAAACTATATTTTGATTGAAAACTTGTCTTTGGTCATATTTTTGCATGCTAATGCCATTTAGCAATTTTTGAAAATACTTTTAACGATAAATTTTGTGCTCTTTCAAACTGTGGAAGTCTCATTTATAAAGTCGAGGGATATTTGGTGCTACTTCTTAGTTAATACTTTTAGGGTACTTTTCTTGAGTTAATGGTTGTGTGCTTTTGTATTGTTAGCAGGGACGTCGTTTGGGGGGGGTGGTTCGGGGTGACTCCCCCCCCAGAGCCGATCCGAAAAAAAAACCTGTACGTGAAAAAACGAAAAAAAAAATTTCGAAAAATCGGTCCACAGGTGGACCAAAAAATTTTTTTGGGCCTCCCCAGAGAAAAACCGTAGCGACGTCCCTGATTGTTAGGTTGTTTTTTACACAAGTTTTCCTTATATTTTTTTAATTTAATCAATTTGAATTGGATTGTACATGCTAAATTAAAAAGAGATTTCGAGCATCAATAAGGAGCAAAACTAATCAGAACGGCATTTTTTAACGAATTGTTTTATGGCCAGAAAGTCGCTTTTTCTCTTTGCTTCATTCGTTTCTTTAGTTCGTTATTTACAAACGGACTTTAATCAAAGTTTCCTCCAGCCCTATCGACGTCTTCGTATTCTCATACTTTTTCTAAAATTTACACATTTTCGAAGATTCTCGCTTATTTGTTTTTACTTAATATTTGTAATACTAAAATTTAGCAAATGGTTTTTAAAATGGAACAAGCTTTAATTTTATCAACTACGATTATCATCGCAATTTCATTTAGTAACGTTTGTTGTGCGCCAGTAGAACCACAAACATATCACATACCAGCTAGCGATCCTTATGTGATGGTAAGTACAAACAATCATATATTACATTTATAGCTAGAAATTTAACGTTTGACTCACTACTACATTTGCAAACTCAAATCTTTTAACGACAAAACATTTTTCAGGAACTCGCTTTGCGAGCGACACGAGAAGTGCAGAAACGTGAAAGTGACGAAAAGCAAGTAATTTTTTTAAATACTGAAAAAGCTGAAGCAACGATAGACAACAATGGGCGGTCGTATGAGATTAGATTTATTGCCGGGATTACAAATTGCTATTTTGTAAGTATACGATCTTCCAGGCACTGTTTTTAAATCTTGTCTTTATAACAAATTTTTACATTGAGAACGCTTTTTAGTAAAAATTGCCATATTTTTACAGGGAGAAAAGTGCAACGAATGGAATGTTGAGGACAAAACACTTTATCTAGCCTCTGTTTTCATACCTGAAAACCAACATAACACGGAATTCGATATAAATGTTGTGCCTTTAAAACATATTGATTGGGATGGTGAAGCTTCTGGGTATGGCTGTAAAGCTTTATCTTGTGGAATTCAGTAGATTCAAGTTAAATAAATAATATTTTTATCTGCCCTTAGTTTTCTGATGTGTTGTTTGTAATTAAAAAAAAATTCAAAACAATAACCAAAGTAAAAAACCCTTAAATTTTAATATATATATAGCTTAAATTTAATCGAGTTTTCTTTAATAAAAAATCATATTTATTAAGACTCAAAATAAGTTACAAATGGAAATGCTTCAAACGTCATTACAAAAAAGTCCGACGTGTTAGTCACTTTAATAACCGAGTTTATCATTCAATAAAGTCCGACCATCTCCCGTTTGGCCTTTTGGTGGTTCCCACATAGGTTCTTCGTCTTTTTCAATTTCCTGAAAATGTTTATTAACAATTATAATCTTTAAATAAGTTTTTTTTCAAAGAAAGAAACTTTTAAAATAATAAAAATATTTAACATCAATTTCACCTTATGTACATTACCTTTTCCGTTTTGTTTCGTTTTTCTTTTGAATCCATCTCTTCAAACGTATTTTCATCTTCTTGGACTTTTCTTTTGTTTTTCGTGATTTCGTCCTGTTTCCTCAATTCTTTCCTTGATAACAGACCGTAGGTCTTGCCATCCGAGCCTTGCTTTTGCGACTTTTTCTCTTCAGATTGATCAGATTTAACTACTGTGACAAAACTTGTACACTCCTCATGTTCAAATTTCATACTTGTTTTTTCCTCAAACTTTTCTAAGCATTTTAATTTACAGTCAGAATTCTCAAAGCTTCCCGGTTGTTCGACATCTTCCAAAACATTCAATTCCAAATCTTTACTTTCCGTTTTATTCTCATTACCTTCTAATGGTGCAGATTTACTGTCGCATTTAATTGCCCTTTCCACATCAGGATTTTTTGTGGTTTTCGAAAACATTTGAAATTTGACTGGTCTTGCAACCTGCTTCATCTTTTCCATGACCTTTATTTCATTTCTTGCTTCCTCCAGTTTTTTTTTCAGCTTGGACACCTCCATCCGTATTGACAAACTGGCATTTAATGAGCTGACATTAATTTCGTTTGATGATAAGTCAATATCCGATATTGGTTTTAATAAACGTTCCAGTTGATGGTTTATTGCCTTTTCGGTTTCTCTTAACTCTACCAATCTGGCTTTTATTTCATCATAATTTAACGCTTTTTCTGTGACACCGTTTTCTGCCTAAAAGCTAGGATTTTCTTCGTAATTTTAATTTTATAAATTGAATAGTCAAACTTAATCTTTTAATCATTAAAACATAATAAAAACCTTGCCTTATGTCTTTCAATGCGTTTCAGTCTTTGAGCCTCAATTTGTCCTGTTCTATCATAAAACGTATCCTCGTCATCTTCGTAAAAATCGTTTCCTTCGTTCATTTTCTTCGACCAATTTATTCCACCATCTAATAATCCTAATGTGTCCAAGTGTGTACAAACCTTTAACGCGCACTCTTTTTGGGCAATCTGCAACGATTCAGAAATAGCCACAAACGTACTTCCATCTCCACCGCAAACGTTGTCCGGAAGCCTAAATTACAAAAAAAATATAAAAATTTAAAATAAATATTTTCAAATACTTTTCGTTAAAATTTAATAAAACCTTTCTATACATACTCAAAACCGCTAGTAACTTCATTCTTTCCACCATATGAGGTTTGAAATTCAAAATCAAGCCCTTCCCGTTCACAAAATTGTTTAAGTGCATTTACAGGATCGCTGTGATACATTTTTGAGTTTGAAAGAACTTTTGTTGGATTTTGAACAATATTCTTTGTTTCTGCAGGTTCTCGTTCAATTTTTTCATCCGTGCCAGTGATAAATAAATGATAATTGGCTTCTAAAAGTTAAACTTTATACCAATGTACAGGTGACTATAACTTAATATGGAAAAGTTTCTCACCAAGTTTTTAAACTAAAAACTTACTAGCAATCTGAAGCACGCTTCCTGGTTTTGCCCTAAAAAATACGCCCTTAGGCAACTCCTGCTTGTTTATATACGTGCCATGTGTACTCCCTTTGTCAAACACGTACCAACCCCGACCGTCAAAAGCTTCCCCATACTGCATATAACAGTGAATACGGCTCGCTTCGCTGACATCAACCCGTATATCACAAACTTCTGCTCTTCCTATTGTAACATAACTCTTTCTACCAGCAACATCTTTTAATTTTACCGTATCCTTTAATACACCATTCGACAAAAGCTCCACTGACAAATCTGAAGATGTAGGCGGCATTTCAGCCCATGAAGGAGGAGCGAAATCATCAACATACTCGATTTTTTTTCTTGATGCATCTGGCTTGGGAGACCCGTTGTTTACATTCAAAGAAGACTTCTGTTCTGATTTTTCACATTTTCTGTCTGGCAGCTTAGGAGCTAAGAAAACACTGTCAGCTTTGTCAGACATCTGAAACTAAAACAGTAAGTTTTTCTAAAACAACGCTATTTTATAACAAAGATTGATCCACGGCTAAAAAAAAAAGATATTTAACACGACAAAACGTTCGCTTAAAATAAGCATTAAAATGATAATTTAAATTTAATATTTATTTAGAAATTTCGAAGTATGAAAAATATAGTTTCCCGTTATGCTGTTCGGATATATACACGTTTTGAACAAGACAAAAAATATGTGAAGTGAAATATGCCATTACTCAACCAAACTAGAGCGTCTCTTGTTCAACTCGGCCTTCGTTAATAGGTTCTTCGTCAACCAAAAGCGGGACTGCATCGGCATCCTGAAATGACTATTGTAAAATCGTGTACGGTTCAAATTTAAAAAATGATACTGTGAAAACTCGCTAATATGACTCCGCTTAAAATAGAACCACCATTATAGCGAATTTTTTAGGGCCCCCTAGAAAAAATGTTTGCACTGATTCTTTAATAAAAAGAACTCCTGATATAACAAAACACCAATACAGCGAACGTTTTTCTAAACTCCTTGCAATTCTTTATATAGGGAGTTCACTAGACATAAAAATACATAAACGTCGTGCGATTAATTAAACTATGTTTAACACTCACTTGTTTTCTCGAACTGATAGCAAACAAAACGCCAAATCCAACGATAAAAAAACAGAAGCACAAGAAAGTGCCAACGCTGACAAAAAAAACATATCTTTTTGCCGCAGTTAATGTTTTTAGTTGATCTTTAGTATTATTATCAAAAGTCGCCACTTCATGAATCCATATCAACGGTACTATTTTAGGCTGAATGTTTTCCAAAGATGGTAAACCTCCATTAATAATAGCCAAATTTAATTGCGTACGTTGATTGGCATAAACGACAACTGAAGCAGTAGGCTCAATGCCCAATTCGGTTTTATCATCTTCTGACGGAGACTTTAAGCCATCTATAGCGTCGTGAACCGCTGGATGAGATCCATAAAAATGCGGTTGGCTCATGTATATTCGGGGATTTCCTGGTAAACAGCTACTTACGTCCATAACTCCTGAAGGAGCACATCCGCTTTCCTAAAAACATTTTTTAAAATAAAGAAAAAAATTTTAAAATAATAAAATTAAACTTACCTGAATGTATGTATTATTGAAAAAGCGGGGTGAGTTTGGGTTACAAAACCCATTTGCCCTTTGTAAGTCAATATCATGCATGTTTCGTGACGGACCATACGTGTAAACTTCAACATTTTCATAACTCGTACTTCCAGTTCGTTCCATCTCTATGGATCTGCAAAGTTGCCCAACAAATATATCTAAATAGTTAGATGCGCGTCTATCCAGACCAGGCGGAAACATTTGACCATCAGTTCCTTTAATTTCACGCGCTTTAGGGCCATAATAAGCAATCGTGGCGTTTATGCCATTATGTTTATAAACCTTCGACAAGTCCATAATGTCACCGACCCCAGTCCCGATTTCGTAAGTCCCATCATCAGTGCCGTTCTTCTGAAGATAAATAATTTAATGCTTTATAATTTTAAGAAAGAAACTTGTGCATGTGCTTGAACGTAAAACAGAGCGCATTTCACTATGAACTAGTATAAAATACAATTTCGTTACAGCAGAAAAATCTAGACTAAGACTCCGAGTGCTGCAGTTAGAAACGATGCCTAAAAATATAAAATTGCATACCTGATAAAACAAACCAACTTTCAAAGGTATCTTCTGAGCCCTACAAAAAGACCTTACAATCGGATTACTATTACAAATCTTTCCAATTAATTCGTCTTCGTACCCATCGAATAATATTTTTCCCACAGACGTTGTCACAAATAATTTCTCCTTTTCCACTCTCAACAAAGTATCTACTAAGGCTTTTAATATACGATTGTCGGGCAGTTTATCAATAATTGTCTGAAGAACAATGTTTGGTATTGTCACTGTATCCGTTAAAAAGCACGAAGAACAAGACTTTGTCTTATTAAAGAAATATATCTTATAGTTGCGATAAACAATCCTGGTGTCGTTCTCAAAAAAGGAGGCACGTTTGTGTTGTATTTCACTGTAATTACATACTTTCAATAACAAAATATATAAGTATTAAAAATTTTCACTTAAAAAATTGTGCATAAAACTTCTTTTAAAGTTAAACTCACTCAAAAACGTATGGGCCCTTCTCCAAAACCTTAAGCTTTGCATTTTTCGCTTCAACGTCGGCAGAATTAAGAATGGAAAAGGTGTAAACTGACATGCTCATGTCATAATGAGGATCCATCCAACTCTTCGTTGTATCAGACAAGCTACCGTTTTTATCACGACTTAAAATTGCTTTCTAAAAATTGTTATCTTAACAACGTTGTTTCTTAATGAATTATTTAAAAACACAAGCTTATCTGACGTCAGTAAACGATAGTGTTCAGTTAAAATAAACTAAAATTAAAATTAATTAATTAAAACTCTTACCTCGCCAACTTGGCCTAAAATAACTGTAGGAACATAGAAATAAAATACAGCTGCTACCACACCAGCTATAACAGCCACTAAAAAGGTAGTCCCTTGTCCAACTTTCCATTTGTTGCAGTTGAACATCTGAATGAAAATATACATTCATAAAAATATATTGTTTATTATGCAACTGATATAAAAAATTAAATAAACTTTCAATTTTTCAGATGAATTTAACAACATATTAAAAACCCTAACAAAACTAAATAACTGTAATCTGAACCTTCATATTTTATTCTTTCACACACGTATTTTGAGTCGCTCGGTTCAACAATTACTCGCTTTCAAACATGTCCAGTTTTACTTCAAATATTACGACCGTTTACAAATAAAACACTACACACGATTATATTTATTTAAATAAAACGTAACAAATTTGAATTATTATATATACACGACAAAAAAGGTACCGTTATGAAAAACCCGCAGATAATGGCCAAGATAAATGTAAATACGAAGATAAAAAATGGGAAAAGAAAAATAAAAAGAAGCGAAACAGTCGACACAAAAACAAAAATGCGTCAACTGTTCCTATAAACCGGTTCTGTTAGACATTAGGAACAGGCCGGGCCTGAATGTTAGGCACGGACCGATCTATGTTTTGCTCAGGCTCGGCCCAAATTTTTTTAATGTGGAAACGGGCCGGGCTTTTCCAGGTTTTCCAGGCCCGGCCCGACCTAAATTTTGTTCAGGCCCGACGCGGGCCGTTCCCCATGTCTAGGTTCTGTGAGATATCTTGATGAAATCGTTGCAAATTCAATTTTAAATTGAGGATTGTTCTACTACTTTAGGATATTTTGAGTCTTTGGCATCTCTAATTGTGGTACGACGGATCGTGACTTGACGAACTACTTTACGAATGCGGCCAGTCTAAATAAATTTAGTTTTAGTTCTTTGTGAAACAAAATATCTTTTAATTTTGTGAATGCAAATTCCTTACCCTGTGTCCTATGTAAATAACAACCATTACACCAGCTAGCAGCGAAAAGATGACTCCACTCGTACCCGCAAATTTGACAGCTGCTTCTGTGGCAATCAATTTCTGACGAATTAATCGGAAGTTTTCGTCATCAATTTCAATGTCTTCTTCAATCGTTATTACAGGAACTACAGCATTGTAAAATTTCTTTAGATCCAACCCGCTAAAAATTATATATTTTGTACTCTTCAAGTTGAGTAAATTATACGCTGCAACTCTTTTTTACTCAAAAAAGTTAAGCTTACGGCATAGACATGTTCTTTCCATTCCACATGGCAATATTTACTTGCATACGGCGTTGCGCCCTGAGAACGGCACCAAGTCGTGGTTCCAGATCGACTTGAATTTGATCGCGGTCTGGGTCCGGTTTTTCTAATCCCTCGACCGATTCCAACACAAAATCAGGAGCGTATAGGAAATTGGGCATTGAGATGACAATTGGAGGCTCCCCTTTCTGACAGCGCGACAAATCCAGTAAGCCCTTAGGCAAACATGTTTCGTTTTGAGATTGGTAAAATTTTTTCCCTGTGTCCACGCAAAACCCTTCATTTCCTTTCTTGTTGTAGTCAAGAACATAAGCTGGTAACACGTAACGATAAGCGATGATTCCTCCGTATTCTACTTCTTCTTTATACACTAATTCAATCGTTCTGGAATTAAAGACTTTAGGAATTTTCAATTAACTCAGCTATGCCCGTAATCCTCTCACACATAAATCAAAATTTACATAAAAGCACAATAGAAAACAATGAGCAAAATGGGCTTCAACCGGAAGTATTAGTTTGTAAATTTCAATAAATGTAAAGATAAAATTCGCAAAAAGGTACAATTGTACAAATGTTAAAAATAAATAAAAGATACCTGCATAATTCCGCACTAAATACTCTAAGGGGTTCTTTTTTTGATACAAAAGGATGAAACAGGCCTCCATCTGTCCCTTTAATTGATCTAGCTTCGGTTGTAGACCACCATGTTTCAGGTAAAATGTCGTGAGAGTTCCAAGTTATCACTTTGCCTAAGCTTTCACCATCATCACTATAACCATCAGCCACCTCGTAGATCCCAGTTGCCGTATTATTGGTCTAAAACCGAACGAATATGTTTATCTTGATCTCTTAATATCCTTTTCAAAAATGCTAGCTTTTTATTTAACAGAAACTTTAAATTTTACAAAAATTAAAAGATTATCAAAAACTTACTCCATATAACAAACCAATACGTTCAGGAAGGTCCAATATTGATTCACAGATAAAATTTACGAAGGGAATAGCACATACTTGATCCAAAAATGGGTCCGAATAACCGTCAAATAGTAGTTCTGACACTTCCACTTCCAAAAATGGAGTTTGAACCAACAATGCAGCCGTAGCTGCTTTCATGGTAGGTTTAGTAGCTGCTTCAACAAACTTCTAAAAAAATAAACAATACCTAATTACGCTCATCGACAAAATCATACCTGAAATATAATGTTAGGTACCCAGACCCTATTGTGAAGATAACATTCTGAGCAGGAGTCTGCGTCATTAAAGAAAAACGTATGGTACGTTTTAAATTTCACTGTCCCATTTCCTCCTGACAGTACCTGTAAATATCAAAGATAAATCGACAATTAGCAGAACTTACTTCTCTGCGTTGCTTTTCATCAAATACGTAGGGACCAGTCTTAATTAATATGGGACGACTTCCATTGACTACAGCATCAGGATTTTTTACTGAAAACGTGGATATCATCCTTTTAATTTTATAATTAGGTTTCATCCATTTATCCAACAGATCACTGCCTTTTGTTAAGCTCGATGCCTAAATCAACATGTTTAATATAATTCGAAAAATTCTAAGTATGTATAAAAGAAATCGAATAATTTTGAACAATATTTAATAATAAAAATGAATAAGATAACCAAAAATTTAAGAAATACCAGAACTTTACCAACTCACTTCTCTGATGTTCTTCTCCACCATGGCGGGAAGGCTGATCAGAATACCCAATGAAGCAATGAAAACAATAATAGAAATTATGATTGCAGACAAAGCAATAATATGCCATTGCTGCAGTCGGTGCGGTTTATCCTTGCCAGTCATAACCTGAAAAGGAGCCGAAAATAAAAAAAATGCTGAAACTCGACATCGTATATCTTTGAGCGTATTACTTGTCCCAGTTGAAAAATCGAACATAAAGAATTTTTTTCCATAAAATAAAGTTCAGAAAACAGAATACATTCACCGATTTTAAAATTAGAGGTAAGCAATACATTGTATTTAAAAATTAATTAATTAAATAAACTATAAATTAAAAATCTTTTTGTGAAAAATTTGCTAGGCCAAAAAAAACTTGTTTACTTTTTTTAATTATTTTTTAAAGCGATCTCGTATGACCGGCTCGACCGTACGACTAATTTTTAAAGTGTGACCTGCCTTTAGGTCGTGCCGGCACAATGCGTTGCGTCTAACTCTTGTAATCCCTCCCCAGACTACAGTTATCTGGGTAAAAATAATAATACAAAACAGTAATAATAAATATATAATTTAATAGTATTAACTTTTTCGATGTGGATTAGTTGAGCATATTTTGAAAATGGACTTATTAGAAAAAAATTTTTCATTTACCCGACCAATGTTCAAAAGTTTTTGTTTGGCAGCCTGTTTTTCTAAACCAGTCTGTGTAGGTAATGACCAAAAAGGGCACAATAACAAAAACACCGTTTAATGATTGTTAATTACTTAAAATACTTATTTATTACTACAAAAACGTTTGCCTTATTATCAACATTGCTATGACAGACATTTGAGAAAGAACAATGTCATTTAATCATTTAATACACAAAATTTAAAATTTTTACTTAAAATTGAAGAAGCCTATGGTTAAATAATCCCAAAGCACCTAAAATAATTAAAATAATTTAAGACTCTTAAGTAAAAATAATAAGCCAATAAATAGAGTGAAAAGTATTGTATTGTTGTAATAAACTGAACCCACTTTCATAGGCATGAAATAGAATTCCTTTTTTTCTAAAGCAACACATCGCGAATTGAGGTAGAAAGAAATGGAAACTGCTGAGGTTTAGAAAACCGACCAGCCCCAAAAAAAGATTCAGGTCAGGTGGATTCGCGCGGCATCTATGCATTTATACATTTGAACATTTTTATTTTTTTTGTTCGTGCCACAAGTCAAATGCTTTAAAGATCATTTAAAATGAATAAAGATAAAATTCAAGTTTTGTTAAAAATTTCTGTAAAATTTATTAGTCTCTAGTATGTATTAAATATATATGCATTGTCAAAGTTGAATAGTTAACAAATAGAATGACCGGGGATTTAAAAAAAGGGATGGGGGGGGGTGGGATTTAATTATACAGCAAGTTAACTGTAATAAAAAATAGTAAAAAATATTTTTTACAAAATATTACAACAGAAAGCTACAATTTTAAATATAAAATTGTTTTCAAGTTAAAAATTTTAAACGGCATGCGAACAAACAACTTCGAAAATGGGTCTTCTATCTGTTTTCATTACAACTATAAACCTTTGCTGTGTAATAACGGAACGCAAGGTTATAGTGAAACGAATGCAACGCTTTGAGTAAGTTATAACTAAATAATGACAAAATAATTCACAGTGCATTTTTATAAAAACATAACTTGGTACTTATATTATAGATATGCAGAATATTTAAACCCGTTTAATGATTGGTAATACAAATTTACTAAAAAACGAAAACTGCAAATAAGGTTTTAAGTAATATTTACTTGCGCTACTGTTTCAAAAATAACTTTGAAAAAAATCTTTGCGAACATAACAATTACAGCAGATGAAGTGTTCCGAACTTAAAAACTTGCGAAACATTATTCAATAACTTAAAACAAACATTGAAATAATAAATGGAACTAGACGTCGAAAACTAATGACAGTTAAACGTCATCTCAAACTCTTGACTTGCAACTAACTTTTTTATAAAATAAATGAATTCAGAGAAATTATGACCTCATGCTTACTTTTTAAATTAAGAACGGCCAAGGCCGACCCGTCAATTTTCATAGTTGACAACAGTGTACAAGGGTCTCTCTTGGCAGTTTCGGTACTTGACTGGCGGACCAGTTGCCGTGTCATATAATAGCTTTCATAATTTAAAAGCAACTTGATTCTTTTAAAATGAGTAAAACATTACGATATTACGGAAAAAATTTAAAAATTATAGAATTTTCAAGATGACAAGTCGTAACTATCCTGTTTCAAAATAAATTAATCTTGTTAAATTATTGCCATTTTGTAAAATCACATCTAAATTGTTAAACTTAATAAATTTTAAAAATTTTTGTATAAATGAAGGGAACAATAAAAGTAAGTAGAGAAAGAAACAAATCACGTTTAAAATCGTCAGACACGAGCGCTTACTTACCCCAAGACTGTCTTGACGTAAAGTGTTACGAAGACCGGTTAATACAAGAATTGGTTGCGGTTAAGTGTTTTATTACGTAACGGTTTTACTTTGTTCATAATTATTATCATGTAAATAGGTTTAATATAATGGTTTTTACACTAACTAATTTCGTTGAGCCATGTACATCTTGTTCAGAATAAGAAATGTAAAAAACAACGATTTATTTATATTTTACAACGCTTCCTGAGGTCAAAAAATACAGTACCGTCAATGCTGCCACCGCGGTCGACAGTATTTCATAAAATGCTTAAGCGTAATTATTTTACTAAACAAATTATTGTAAACTCCTGAAAAATTAAACAAATTATCAACTTATTTCGCTTCTTATTATACGTATCTATCAAATAAAGAAACACCACATTACCTGTCAGATTTAGGGATGTTACTATTAAAAATATATAAACATTTCATATTGAAGGAATGGCTGAACACAATTTGTTTATGGTAGAACAAAATTAACATTTTAAAAATTGTAAAACGATAAAAGGTATTGTAATTTTAAAATAAAATAATAAACAAAGACTTAATCAATAAAATAGGCGCTTTGTAGCGGTTTAGCCATGAGTTACGTACATTCTTCATAGTATGATAAGAAGTATTAACAAGTTTAAATGCAAGTATGTACATTACCAATAGTGTACTAAAATAAAAGTATGCATATTTGATTATAAGCGACATTAATAAATATTGGCGTTATTGAAAATTTTTCGTTATTGAAAAAAATTTTAGGTGTTGTTTTTATATTCGTCGAAAGTCTCCGCGCAAGATTCGTTTAAAAGCACGCTTGAACTGTTGGTTTGCAAACGCATAGCAAATAGGATTCAAAGGACTATTCATGTAGCATAAGTAGTAACTAATAGCATATAACAAGTTAAATTCATCGGACTGTTTACAACGTTCGCAAAATCCGTATATTGTTGCCAGCACGTAAAATGGAGTCCAAAAAAACGTGAACGAACCCAATATAAATGTGATTGTTCGTAAAGCTTTTTTAGCCCGATTCTCTGATTTTGATTGAATCGACTTTTGCTGTACCGTTCTTCGCTTTTTTCGCGGTTTTCTAGCGCTTGTATTGCGCATTACGGTAAGCAATCGGCGCATTGTTATTGGACCAGTAGCTGCTTTTTCCACTACTACACTCAAAGATGCAAAGGTGTTGGTTGTACTTGGCGGAGTGTCTGTTGAAGTAAATGCAGACGGTCGGTCTACGGTATACTTTTTTAAACTTGGTCGAGTATGTCTTTGTGTATTGAATGAATCGGTAGAATGAACAATTGCATCTTTACAATTTGAAATCGTCGATGTATGTTGGCATCTCAAATCCTTTCGTTCTGTTGTATCATTTTGAGTATGAAAATGTTCTGTACCCTGTTGCTTTATTCTTTGCGGATGTGGCGGTTTACTATTTAGAGATGAAATTATTTTATGAGTTTGGTCTTTTTGGTCTAATTCTTCATTTACTTCATGTTTTTTGGCTTTTGATCCTTCAATTTCAGTTAGTGATTCATCGACAAATCCTATTACTTGTAATGTACCCTTGTGAGCAGCACAAAATTCGTTGTTTGAAATTGTTTCTTCTATATTTCCCAGCCTGTTAAACGAATTAGAAGTAGATTGAGCAAGATGTACAATATCTGGCGCTGAATGAACACTAGTCTTAACGTTAAGCTTTTTTGAAATTTTAGAAGGACTATTTTGTACACTGTTTGTGTAAAATTGTGACTTAGTATCGTAGTTGATTTGCGTTTGGTTTTTGCCATTTCCGCATTGTGTTTGAGAAGTACTCCAACGACTGCTGTGACCACTATTCCTTTGTAGGTTTAAATTTTTCGAATCAAATTCATTGCAACTGTATTCTGCATCCATTCCGTCTGCTGTGCTGAGGTTGTCGTACTGGCTGTCACATTCGCTAACAATATTTTGTGTGCTTGCTTCTATACTGTAAGTTGTCTGTGCTCCACGTGCGTAATCTTTTCGTAATTGTACATAGTTTCTTTGCACGTTATTATTCAAATCGTTGGATCGATTCTGAGACGATTGTGTTGGAGGACTAGGAGATCGTGAAGGTGTCTAAAATAATAATAATAATTTATATAAATTTTATTATCAAATTTAAATAAAATCAAGAAAACTTTGTAAAAAAACTAATTTTCTCACATAACGTAATATTTAACATACTTTTCTGTACTCCTTTAACGGTATCGGAGTTTTTGCTCGTTTTATAAAACTTTTTGTCGCAATGTTTCCATCATCGATAAATGGTATTTCATCAACAATACTAAACGCCAGGCTAATTTCGTCGTTTTCGATGGGCATGATAGAAAACGATATGCTAGGCTCCTGTATTGTGCTGTATTCAACAACTTTTTCACATGTTTTTTCAACCACATTCACTTTGTCACTTTTAATGCAGTTTTGTTGACTACTTGTAACTTTTAATATTTTACCATTTTCTTGAGCAAGTTTTGATAAATTTGTCCTAAATGTTACATTGAATGAATGAATTAATCGTTTTTTAAAATATTGATTACTTTTTGATCTCTATATTTTACTTTATACATGTACGTTGCTATTTCCAAAGTTTAGTGAAAATTGGCGCAATGTTATCTGTTTCTTTATTAAAATTTTGAGATGTAAAATAAAAAAAACGAATGAAAACTTTTGCGCGCGATAAAAACTGGCTGGATAAAAGTGCCGTTGGAATTTAATTTAGTCGCTAGTAAACCACAAAATTTCCTAGTTTTGAACATTTGAATAGAAAAACGTATAAATTTTTCTGCGAATAAATGATCGAAAAAGGCGTAAATTTATGATTATTTTTTTTAAATTAAAATTTTTCAAGCTTACTTTGAGTATAATGAGTCTGAGGTATCCGGTGGTGAGTCAGCTGCACTATTGGATACAGCTTCTGAAAGTGCATTCATCGTCGAAGGTGCTTCTTTTTTGGATTTACGCATCTCTGACAATACGGCTAACCGTTTTTGTTTCTAAAACATTGTGAATTTAGTTATGTTACAGAAAATTTAAAAAAATTATATAAAAAATATAATATATTAAAAAAGTACCTGATCGCTTTTCACGGCTAACGCCTTGGCTGCTTTGTAAATTCCATAGTACAAATATAACATAACAAACAGCGTGGACCAGTAATATGCTATGTACATGCTCATGTTGAGGTAGGGATCAGTCATGAATTGAACATAACATTCGTCTTCTTTTAAAATGCGTCCTTTGCCAGAGAACGCCCCATACCCGAATATTGAAACCGAGAATAAAACACTTGGAATCTAAAAAACAAAAAAAGTAAAGCAAAAGAATTTTTATATCTTATAGAAACTTACTAATAAATAAAAATAATACTGAAAAATAAAAATCACGTACTATCCATGTTGCCGCAATAATTGACAATACTCGTGGTTGAGTCCGCCAATTTCTGTAAGCCGCGGGATACTTAACTGAACAATACCTAAAAGTTTTTTATTGATGATTTGTTATCTTTTACATCAATATTTTTATAAAATAATTGAAAAATATTATAAAAATTTTTTTATAAGGTTCTGTGCAATTAATTTTTCCCGGTTTTAAAATGTTTACAAATCAGGGTTGCGGTTGTGAGTGGTCCTGTTATATCACACATTTTATACTCATTTTACTTTTACTGTCTTACCTGTCTATTGTAATTCCAAGGACGGTGTAAATAGACGCTAAACAACAGGAATAATCTATCGATAGCCATAAATCGCATAAAAACGCACCAAAAGGCCAGTGCTGATCTTTAATAAAGAAATAGGTGTACACCGGGATACCTTCTAACCCAATAACCTGAAACGCACTTATTAGATTTTGCTAAAAAAGACAACGAATTTCTAGTCACTTAACGTGTATTTTTGTTTGTTATTTCTCTTCAGTAGTCAAAATTCAAAAGTCGAACAAATTCAATTTTTTATTCAAGAGTCTGGGCTTTTCGTAATCGAAATGTTTGTTTATTGTATAAAATTTTTAGCAACAAGACCGTAAACTGTTGACCCTTTGGCTGTGACGGCAATTCCCTTGACAAATCAGGCCGACGAATGCATTTTGATGAATCGTTGCCGAATGAGCCAATGTCAGCGTGTTAACGCCTTCGGGTCGAGTGTTTTGCGGCTCATCACCAGACGCGCGGAAGCCACAGGGGAATTGCGGCAGAACATATGCGTTGAAGGATCACGGGCTTGAAAGGATTACGCGGAGGAAATTATAGCACAAGCCACTTTCAAATTGCGTTAAAAGAACATGCTCGTTTAGGCAAAAAAAACTACAGGAGAGTTTATATTTGAATTAAGTGTAAACTTTTCAGTGGCTTCAAAGCTTTTCTCATACGTTAGTAAAACTCAAATCAATGCGTTAAGATTTATAGAGTAGATTAATATATGAGATGAGAAAAGATAAAAAAATAATTTTAATAGTTGTTGTTAACCATGAATTTTTCATTCAAAAAAACGTTGAAAAACCTTCCTTCTGTAAGAAAAGAAAATACAAACAGTACATTAATCACAATGTTGCTTTTCTAAGCCCTCAATTTATCAATGCGATTTACTTTTATTTTTGTGACAGAGCACCATTTTAATTTTCTTAAAATTCTATAATAAACTTTTTACAACTGAATTTTCGGAGCAACCCTAGAAATTTATTTTGTATGGAAATACTTTTGAATAATTTGTCGGTCATCGATACGTAATATTTTCGGTTTCTACGCACTGAACTTTTAAGAAGTGCTTAATCCTACTGGAAACAATTCCAATGATATATTGTGCAACAAATCACCCACGTCGCCATTTTCCTTAACCCCTAAAGATTAAGTGTTTAAATTTTTAAAAGCGTTAAAAATAGCTAAACGTTTCAAAATATAATAAGGCGTATAGTAATACAAAAGTTTCTTTTTTGAAATTTTTTGGCAATGTTACAAAAATCCCTTGAGGTTCAACACGAGCCTTATCAGTCTTTCTGCTACCACAATTTAAAATTTCATACGCAATCTCAGACTTAATTGAACATGACTTGCTTCAGCCAGAGGCATTTTATCATGGACACACGCTTCCATCAATCCGATGACATCTCTCAAAAATGAATCTCTTTTCGGATGGGAATTACCGTCTAATTGCCTCAATACCCTACGGCGCTAGAGGCTTTTTAAACGCTGCGAATAGCAAAGACAATTGCATGGAAAAACACATTCAAAGTTAAAAATTGAAGTTAAAATAAAAGTTTTATAAAGAAATTTCAAACTCATAAAATTATCAAACGGTAAAATAAGACTTAAAAACTATAAAAATTGCGCATACACAACCGCTTTAATTTTTCCGTAAACTTAAAACTTTTATTTTTTTCTATTTCTCGAGACTTTTCACCATCAACAAAATATTAATAATAATATAAACTTACAGTGAAAGTGCCCTACCGGCCCCACTCAGAATCAGCTCTAAATTTTTATATGAATTCCTTGTACTACCATTAGTACCCATAAAAAATTTTAGCTCGCGTTTTTTAGTTTTAAATTTGAATTATTTGGGTTTCCCGCCAATTTGGCAAAGCTGGCATTGTGTTTCCAGCACTTTTTTCGACTTTCCAGCCAATCTACCCTTACAAATTCAAAAATGTAGGTTCATTTAAAGGTACTCTACTAGTATATCAAAGAAAAATTCCCAAATGTCAAAAATTGGCAATTTCATAAGCCTGAAACACAATGTCAACTTGGCAGAAAATTCAAAACGTCATTTTTTGATCTCGATTTTCTTCAGATTTCCCTCAAAGTGCAATTTAATACTTTGCTTAATATCTTATATTTACATGATCTTTCTAAATAAAAAGCTTGAAGTCAATGAGAGCGTGGCGGACCGGGTACTTTCCTTGTTAGTAAAATTAAAAACAAAATATACAAGCGAAAGGCAGATTACTCACCAAATCGGATATGGCCAATGAAAAAATGAAATAGTTTGATGGATGCCGAATGTTTTTATCCAGGTAGTACGACATAAGCACAATAAGGTTTCCTAGTACCGTGATGACCGAAATTACGGCCATACAAAAAACAAGAACCCAGTTGGCGGCGGTTAGATCTACGTCCACGTAGACGCTAAGCGTCGACGGTGTTGCATTGAAGGCAGGCGTCGCCATACTCTTCGAAAACTGGTCTTTCGAGGCGCTAACGCTGTGGCGCCGCCACAAAACATTTGGGCCAGTGGCACCTCGTAATGAAGCAAGTTATGGCTGCTAAAATTTACCTGTAACTATTATGCGTTGATATGATTTTAAAATTTTCAAACGCGACAACTAAACAAAAAAATGTACTTTTATATTGTTACTAGTGATAAACAAAAGTTAAAAAATAAATTTGGGGATCAAGTTTAAATGTCATAAAAACAAGACAAGTTGTGTGGATCCGGTTTACGATCTTAGTTATGATTCCCATATGATGCATGACTAAATCATTTCGTGTGGTAATTTGAACTTTTAAAAGCAATTTTTAAAACAAAAAATAACGTAGTAAAGAGGTAAAGCTAAATTACACGGATAAATTTAAATTTTCTGTATGATAGACTTGTAAAGTGTACGAAAAAGCAAACTTTTATCGCGCTTTAAACAAATGAATATTTATAGTTTCAATTAACAAATATAAATTGTAGGTAAAACATATTTTATTAAAAACTAGAAAAAGATACAAAATATTTGTGCCATCAAGCTTACATTGTAAAATGCTTCATTTTTAAAGTTTTTAAAAAACGTTTAACAAAATTTCCTTGCATATTTCCAAAAGTTAAGAAGAAATAAAAATGATTCCTTTGCTTATCGTATGAATAAAAAGAGTAAAAGATTTTAAAGACAAATGTATTGTACGAAGTAAAATTTTACAATTAAAAAAGTGTTTTATTATTTTTTAGAACGCTAATATCACAAGAAAAGTTCGCCAATGACTGAAAACCCACGATGAGATTTGTCTTAACTACTTTATTTCGACCAACTTTGTCCAGCGAACAAGCCTATTAAGAAAACTGGTAACGGTTTGATCAGACCGGAGGTTGTGTCAAAGCCTGACCATTTTTCTTACCACAACGTCTTTAGTGTTCTTCGTAAAAGGACTTCAAAACGAAATTCGCCGATGCTTTGAAGAAGGATGGGCGGGGTTAAGCTCGAATTAACCACCGTCCAAGTTTGTGCGCCAAAAAAGCCGTCGACTTCTTCACTTCGCTCTCTATGGCCGCGTTGTCGTAGTACATAACGCAGCCTTATTATCGCTTTATCTTTACTTGCCGTCCGCTCTCGCTGTTCCATCGTGCTCTTTTAAACGCTTTCCGTTAGTTTTGCGAAAGTTGATTTTTAAATTTATCGATGCACAACAAAGGATAAGTTTATAACTATTAATGGTCCACCTCTTCTGCTATACATTATCCAAGTTTCTATTAATCAGCTAAAGTTCAAATGTTTAATTCTACACGAATCTGCACAAACTTCTATTTTGTTAACACTCTACAATTCGCGCCTTAACTTTCCCTGTCGTCTATAAATCCGTCCTCTCTTCTTCCCTAAGGACTGTTTTGCGTTCCGTTTTCGGCCTCTCCGTCAGACGCGCACGTCAAGAGCCCATGAATGGAACGGTCCGACTATTGACCTGACAACTTCAATCCACCCCAAAGTTTTTTTATGTACGGTGCTGATGAGTTATCGACCGCCGCGAAAGAAAAATAGCATTTTTCCTTAAAAAACGGTTTTTAGTACCGTATCGTATGTCAGGAATTTAAACTTTTGAATTTTTTTGAATTGCCGAAAATAAAACTAATCTTTTGAAGTTGCTCAACTTTTCAAATAAACTAAATCCTCGCACATTATTTTAAAAAATCAAAATTAGAATTTTTAAAAATATTTTTTTAAATAATATTAGAGCAAAAATTTCCAATTTGTTTCGCCTATTCTTTACGCCATAGTTCATCCCTTATAAAAAAATTGTTATGGCAAAACCACAAATAAAAAATAATTTTGAAAAACATTCATAAGAAAGGCCAACATCTTAAAGAATTACTTTAACTACTATTACACCCGGTGTTTATAATGAGTATTGCGCGCTTAAAATTTGAAACAAAATAGTGACTGAAAAAGTAGACCAGCAAAGTGCAACCTTTTTGACGGTCCATTGAAATCGTATCCTTTTTTCATGACTTGAAGCTTTGTGGAATGCAGATTTCGTCTTAAAAGTAGAACGGCGCGCACGTCAGAAGTGGTTTTTACAAATAAAAATTTTAAAAAGAAAGAAACAGTGTACGTCGCGCGTCCTCTCATTTGCTACCGTGGTACGAATGATATCTTAAAACGCACAATAATAATTTTCATAAGCACATTTTGCATAATAGTTTATAAACTGTAAGAACTTGTCACGATTTACACACAACGATTTTAGTAAAAAATAATAATTTAATGAAAAATAAATAGGATTTCTCACGATTTTTTTGTTTTGAGGTGTCACTTTAAACATTATCACAATGCTAGTTTGCAAAAATGGGCATTTAGACCCATATACCTTCAAAAAAGTACTTTGCAGTAATAAGCAATAATGACATTTTTCAAAAGAAAAAGTTAATTTAAAAACTTTTTGTTGAAGCAATAGAACACCATTTTACTATATTGTTGGATGATGTATAAAGTTGTTTCAGTAATTAATATAGTTTGAAACAAAGTTTAATTACTAAAATATTTTTTAAATTACTTTTTAAAGAATCTCAGAACGAAAAATCTCGTTTACAAAAAATTAAAGTTGTTTTTTAACTTTGGACGGCAAGCATAAAATACTTCAAACAATGTAAAAACGAGAAACAGGTGAAAGGCGAGCCGGGAACGTCGCCACCGATATCGTTCGTGGTTATTTTTGGGCCGATTCGCGGCTGACCGAGTTCCACCAATATTTAGTCCTAATGTTCCGGAAAGCAATAAACGCTTTTTACTCTCTCACCTCCATTAGAGCAATAACTGTCACAAATCCAATACTCAAATATTACAGCTGACAAATTTGTGGTGATACTAAATCGTTTAACACCAAAAATGAAATAGCGAATTAAAAATGACTACACAAATTTTGCCGCCTTATTAACTGAAAACTAAAAAATATAATTCCAACGACACGTCTCACAGCATTCCGAACTTTTAGAAAAAATGTCGGTTGTAAATTTTGGGTTAAAAATGAAAACTAGTCTAAACATATAAGAGAAAAACAAAAAAATAAACAAAAAATAAATAAAAAATCTTATTTTTAATATATAGAAAAAATTTTGGGCTTTTTAAGCATATACAGTTCATATATCTTTAGTAAGTTTGAAATTTTGAATGATTTTTTAATTTTTTGCTTACTTTAGTTTTTAACTACTTAAAGTTGACCTTTGGAATTGGCCTTTGGCATTGTTTTTATGCTCATGTTGTAGCATTTTTAAAACTCTACAAAATGAAGGTAATCATAATCAATTTCTAACTAAGGTTTTTTTGTTATACTCCATAATCTTGTTTTTACAGTACAAATTGAAATATAACACGACATAACTTGAAAGTATCAAAAAGTAATCAAAAATTGCTCTGTCAGAACTGTTTGTAATCGTATCAAGAATGTTTTTGCTAAATTTGACATTTTTTGGACTCGAAACACAAAAGTTATTAATCGTCAAAAAGTAGATAGTACGATTACATTGACTGTTTGTTAAAATTTTACTAATTCTTTTACAAAATTTAAAACCGACATTTTTTCTAAAAGTTCGGAATGCTGTGCGTCTCAATTTTTTAATTGTAAAATGGACCTTAGAAACTAACCTGGTTTAATTCGCTATGCCAATCTATGATAATTATAACTATTTGAGTGCTAAGACTAATAAAAATCCAGTTTTCAATACGTCAAATAACGTTTAAATTTGTACCCAGCATTTTCATGCGGTTTTATTGCCTAAAGTTTAGTAAACTGAAACTTTACTAAATTTAATTATTTGTCCCACTGTTTCACATTCAGCTTAATTATCCTATTTTATCATTCGAATCACGAATAAGCTTTAAAAAGAAGTTCAATTTTCCTTTTTTTTAGAAAAACTCCTCAGAAAATACCATAACCAGAATTTAATATATTTTAATTAACTACATTTTGATAAAGTTATAAATAGTATGTACATACAATGAAATCATGCTGTACATTGTGGTATAAATTTTTTTAATCACAGTAGAAGAAGCCAAAGAATAAAAGCAATACCAATTCCAAAAAAAACATTGGAAAGAAGTTGTTCTTCACCTGCTTGCACACTTCCATCGTTGGCTGAAAATTAATATTAAGTAGAAAAACACAGTTAAATACGTAAAGATAAAAAACGCTCAAGCAAAAATAAAGTTCCCAAACATTGCTTCGCGAACTTCTTTCATAAGTCGTAATAAGCAAGACAGAAAATACATACTTAAAATTCTAATGATTATACTTAAAGTATATCTAAAAAGTTAAAATTAAATAAACGTACGCGTGTCATTGCGCCGTTGACCAGCATTCATGTTAAAAAACGATGCCATAAAAGATATAGGAAAGACGCCAATACCGAGTGAAAACTGAACACCACCTTGTCCGCCATCACCACCCCAATGGAAGGTGGGAAAACCATTTTGAGGTTCTTCTGTTCTTTGCCCTCTCGGTCTTGGAGGAATTTTAGATCGAGGATCGGTCTCATTGCCGCCTCTGCCATAGATAGGGATAACTTTGTCTTGCGAAATTGCACTTTTGCACACTGGACACAACTGCTGATTTGGACGTGTTTCTAACCACTGATGAAGACAAGGCCAACAAAATAAGTGTCCGCACTTTGACACAACCGCATCTTTTGCCACATCCAAGCAAATATTACATTCAAATCTAAAAAAATATAGGAGTTTAAACGATCTTACAAAAATAACCCAACATCAAATTAGCCATCCAACACATCAACAAAGAAAAAAATCAGGTTTAAACGTGTATTAAATCAATTTTGAAACGTCTAAAATCAAAAAAAATAGAAAGATTTACCTCGCATTGTCTTCGGCTTTTTCAGTATTGTCTTGTTTACCAGGTTGCTTGGTAGCTGTTGAAGAAGATGGTCCACTCTTTTGTTCTTCTGTCATTTTAGAACCATCAATTTTGCATAGATATACACTGAAAAAAAAGTTAGAAGTCGAAAGCGAAACCTATTTATTTTTTATGTGGGCGCAACTCGCCATGTAAAACAACAAACGTAAAAAACAAAAAAATTCAATTAAACGTTTCTTACAATATTAATAAAAAGCAAGTATACAATAAAATTGTTATTGTCGTCGGTTAAAGCATCACCTGATAAATTAAAGACGACTTGACTCAATGTTTTATGCGTCGAGTGTTTCCTTATTTACACTTGGACATTTTCAAGAACTTTTTTTCAGCGACGCTTTTCGACGGCGTTTTTGTTTTCCAAACATGACTGGTATAGGAGCAATTCAAACGGATATGGAGACAATCGAAAAAGAACTGTTACATGCAGAAGTAAGTTTCATAACTAGACATGAGCAACAGGCTTGAAAGTTACGTCCGGCCTGTGGGCCGGGCTTGAAAATTGGACCCAGGCCCGACAAAAGTTTTTTTAAATTTTTCATTTTAATCCCCTTGATGTTTTTTGGTTTTATTGGGTACTATGACCCATAAATGATCTGAAAAAACAAAGCCAAATTTCCGTTTAGTTTAAAATTTTTTAAAACGGGCCGAGCTTGAAAATTGGGCCCGGCCCGTTGCTCATGTCTATTCATAGCATTAAAATAAAAGTAAAATAAAACGAAATATAATTAGAATTATTTTAGGAAAAACATGAAGAGTATTTGGGAGTTCTTCGAGATTTGGCCAAGTTTCAAGCCCAAAGTAAGAAGAATGTGAAACATTTGAAGTATTTGTATACTCAAATTCAGTGTGATATTAAAAAGTATGTTTTCTATCTTTGATATTATTGTAGTTTAGAGCAGAAGTATCCAAAATCAGTCCAAATCAAGAGGAACTTGATCATCTGAAAAAGCTTAAGCTACGATTAACGGAAGTCAAGTTTAAAATAGATGAAATGAAAGCTGAGCTGCCAGCTGATGATAACGGGTAAATCTATTTTAGTTTTAAAATGCGATTCGCAAAATTTTAGTCAGAAAATTAGCTTGTGCTGCATGTTACCATGAGCACATAATGCTTGTGTTTAGATAAAAATTTTATTAAAAGTTTTTTCACAGGTAACAAATTTTATATGTTAATGGTTGCGTTATTTAGATTGTATTTATCGATTATCTTGGGCAGTAACTTGGACGTATCACTATTGAATCCGGACGACAGATATCGCTACAAGCAAGAATATGAAAAGTTTAAGATGACTGTCACTTCTGTGGCTATGGTTGTTCTTCTTTTGTCATACTTTATGCCTTCTCGAGCAACAGACGCGTTGTCGACATTTTTGATGGTTTGGTATTACTGTACATTAACCATTCGTGAGGCAATTTTACGTGTGAATGGATCCAGGATTAAAGGATGGTGGGTTTTGCATCACTACGCGGCTTGTGTACTTTGTGGAATAGTTTTAATTTGGAGAGACGGACCATGTTATAAAGAGTTTAGAAATCTGTTTATTGTTATGGCGTTTTATATTGCGTTGGTACAAATGATGCAGTACAAATATCAGACGGGCTGCTTAAGAAGACTTCACGCCTTGGGGCAACGGCATTCAATGGATATCACAGTTGGTATGTTTAAATTTGTTATTTAAAAAATTATTTTTAGAGGGATTTAGCAGCTGGATGTTTAAAGGCTTAACTTTTATACTGCCGTTTTTGGTTATTGGATATGTAAGTTTTAATGAATAAGGAGGCGTTTACTGAATAGGAAACGCAAATTTTTTAAAACTTTTAAATATTTTTTATATTTCAGCTGCTTCAAGGATATTGCTCGTTTTACTTGTTCCACATGTATTTCTTCAAAAATTGTTCACAAGACTGGCAGGTCTTGGCTTTGGCGGTATTGTTTGGAATTGTTAGCTTGGGAAATATTATTACAAGTGTGATTGTATTCTTGAAGAAACTAAGGCAGCATACCTCAGATGTGAGCTTGTTGGCTTCTAAGTATCGGCTAAAAACGGAGTAATAGGTTTTATTTTTACTACTACACGATATGTTTTATTTTGTTCCTTGCCTTTGATTTAAATAAGTGTTAGTTATTCATTTCTTAAATATCGTTTTTTGTAAACCTAAGGTTAGTATGTTTTTAAGAGAAGAATAATTTTGTAATATAATGCAGCTTTTTGAATTTAAAATAGTTAAAAAGGATTAATTAAGAAGGAAAGTACTTTACCTGCCCCGCTCTGATTGACTTCAAACTTTTTATATAGAAAGATCATATAAGATATTAAGTAAAATACTAAATTTTCTAGCCAATCTTGAGAAAATCTAGACAGAAAAAATAAGTTTTGAGTTTTTCGCTAAATTGGCATTGTGTCCCAAGCTTATAACTTTGCCACTTTTTTGACTTTTAATCATTATTCGTTGACATGCTAGTAGAAAACCGTTAAATGAACCTACATTTTTAAAGTTGTAAGCGTATCTTGTTTGAAAATTTGAAAACATTGCTTTAAACACCATGTCAAATTTGCCAAGATGGCAGTACTTCAAATATTTAAATTTTTAAACTTAAAAATTAGTTGAATGTTTTATGAGTACTATTGGTGGTGCAAAAAATTCATATAAAAATATAAGCTAATTCTGTGCGGGGCACCTAGTACTTTCCTTTTAACTAAAATGAAAACTTTTATTGCCTGTTTAAATTGAGAATAAATATAGTAATAAATTAAGTTTGTTGCATGAACGTCTACGTGTATTAATGCTATTTATGTACATGAGCAAAAACATGTAGAAGTGAAGGGGGAGATCGATTTCAAATTCTATGAATTTAAAGATAAACCCATGCTTGTGAAATCACGAGCATAAAAACGCTGCATGAGAATGATGCCATAGAGTTCGTTCGATTGGTCCAAGCGTCAGCATCATCCACTGCCTCTTTGTAAGAACTTTCTAATTCCGAGGAAAATTCATCCAAGACGTGAATCTTGAAACCCATGTTGTAATTTGAAGCTGACTGAAAAAACAGAAAATTATTTCTTTATTCGTCTTTAACATTATGGTGTCATAAGGGGCGGGCGCGAGCAGTGTCTTGCCGGACGGGTCCAGTCCGGTCCGGACGAATCTGGATGAAAAATTTGGGTCCGGTCCAGAAAAAATTTTTTATTTTTCAGAAAGTATGGCCGTATAATACTATAAAACTCCGCCGCAAGCTTAAAGGACAGAAAAAGAAACTCGGTACAGGCAAAACACTGGACGCGAGTGGGGGGAGGAGGGGGGTGTTAACTTTACGGTTTGGTTAATTTAATTTTTTCTAAAAAATATATATTTAAAATAAGATTAAGAACGTACGTTTCCGTATACCAAATCCGGTGTATTTTTGTCAGGTGTGAAGGACAACACGGAAGATTGAGCTTCCTTATTTTGGCACCACATGTGAAGAGTTTTTCGGAATTCCGAAAACGTTTCGTATTTATCCGGATCTGTTGCATCAGATTCCCAAACACAAAGTTTGTCAGATGGAAATTGAACTTTGCTAATGAGCTTGATTTGCTAAAATGTTCTGTTTAAGCACCTTAAGATCAAAAATTTTTTTAAAAGAGTTTTCAAGATTTAAAACTTACACTTTTTTCGTCAGTTTCAAGTTTATTAAGACCTCCAAATGGGTCATCAGAGACGTAAAACGAATTATTTGATCCTCCCTCGAGTCTGAAATCTCAAAAAATAACGGATGAATATAAAATGTTTTTTTAAAATTAATTTTGAATAGTTCTATTTTTATATGAGAATTTTAAGCTAGAATTTGAATTTTAAACGATAAAAACATACGTGAAAGTGTAGTTGATTCCCCTTTTTAAGTAAACTTCAGCCAAATGACCGTTGGTATACCACACCAAATCGGATGGATTTAGGCCTGTGTAACCTTTGTATCCTTTTTGACTGCCTGGGGGTCCTAACTGTAAAACAAAATTCGTTTGTAGAGGAGCACCCACAAGCGTCTGTGGCTTCCATGCACCAAGTTTAGAAAATTTATTTGTCACAATTGGTACAAATGGGGGAATGTGGTCGCCAATCTTCCCGATAAATACATGCCCAAAATCGACCCTAAATTTGTAACAGTAGACAGACAGCCAGTCAATGTGGTTAATGTCGTATTCTTTAGGCAAGTCGAGTATGATGTCGTCTCCTCCACGATATCTTTGATTCATAGGCGTTATTTCGGACACGGAATCCCGGTTACGAATAGGAACTTTCACTCCGGCGTCGTGTACAACAATACCGCCACGGCCGACAAAAAAATAACCGTCTGGAGCCTTGTCGGCATCAAAAGTAAATGCGAAAATTTTAATTGTGCGACGATCTTGAATTAGAATAGGACCAGATCCTACACCGTAACGTAGACCAGAAAGTTCTTTTCCAATAAATTGGGACTTTGGAACGGTAACATCGCTTGGAATAGAGATAAAGGACAGCGCTTGCTGCTAAAAATAAAAAATATTTTACTTTTGTGTAAATTATTAATATTTAAAAACATTTTTTAACTATTTAAACTTTGCTCGCTAATTAAAAAATTAAGAACTAATTCAATTGGACAAACAACAATTTTCTTGGTATTATAACGAAAAAATTACGTCATGTTAATGTTTTTAATTCCATAAACATACCTCTGACACAGAATATACACTGATTGTTTTAAATTCAGTTATACGTTTACGTTGTGGAAGGTGCAATACCACTCTTTCTACATTTTCGTACGTTCCCAGCGGCGTAAGGCTGGAAGATTACTTATATAAACATATCGTCGAAAAACACACGGTTTAACTTGCTTAATATAAAAAAGAAAATTTTGATTTGATTATATATATAATTAGGATAAAATATACGATTTTTTCGTAAGTGTAAAGTTCTTACCCGTATTCTTGCGTGCGTAATTTATAACCATTTTTTGTAGAGGAATCAGTTGAATCAATCCAGAAAAAGGCTTCTAAAAAAGGGACAAAATGAAAACAACTTTTTCATTATGATAATACAGCATAGGCCAACTCTTTTTTTCCTAGATCATTAAGACAATTAAGGGATCAATAGCTATGTAAACGCTCATCACTGTACTGTCATTTATCGTTAAAAATTTATATTTTATATTATATTCTGATTTTATGTTATATTATGACTTTACGAGTGAATATTGAAAAATAAATAAATAAATTTAGAAGAAAAAAACATCAAATAATATTTATAAAATAAAATTCTTACTTATATAATACATAAAAACAAATTTTAATTTAAAAAAAAGTTAGAAAAAATCAGTTAACTTTTGTAGAAAGATAATTTTATTAGATTACATGCCGACAAAAGAAATTTACAACCAGTATCATCCCCAGGGTCGCCGTTATTTTATCTAATAGGATTAAAGCAAGCAGATGTTCATGGCCTGTTGTGACCTTTTGATGGGGGCAAAAGACAACAAATTTTTAGAATTTTGAAAAAATGAAAGAAGCTTACCGGCGGTTCCAGTAAAAGTAAAATTGAGAACTTGAAAGCATGACTCGTTGACCAAATACACATTTCCACTCAATCCAACGTCTGTCAAATCCGCAAGCTCACCAAGATATACACCATAGTCCGGATCATAGCTGTTAATGGCTTGCTCTGCCGCATTTACTGAAATATTTTTAAATCAATATTACAGATAACGAGAAGGTAGAAAAACGTCTATTTCTATAGTTTTTTTATTAACTCTAAAAATTAATTTTTGCTGTGCGATCTAAATATTTGCACTACTTTCCGGTCTTTCCCGTTCTAATTAAAAATTTACCTGCAAATATGGAGCAGAGGTAAAGCCATGTTGTTATCCCCATAATAAAAAACTGAAAGTTTTAAACGATATAAAAAATTACGTCGGGTTCTTAAACTACTAAAGTCCATAATACAAAATTAAAACGCAGTCATAAAAAACGAAATTAGAAAATAAGTTTAACTCCTGTATAACGAATCGCTCGAAAACTTGAAATTAGTTCGTTATACATGAGTTACAAATGCACAGTTTAGTGGTAGACGGAGATTCAAAAGTTGTTCGTTATGGGATTTTCGTTACAGAGGAGTTCGTTATACAGAAGTTCCATTGTAGTATAATAATCAAATAAAAAATAATATTATATTAAAAGACGGGAAATAAAAGGTTTTATATAATAGTTTTGCTAATCTAAGTATTTTTTAACTCAGAAGAGCAAAAAAATACTTACTAAGCAAATTTTTTAAAAAATTTGAACAAAATTATTATACTGTCACAATAAAATTAAACATAAGAATTTTAAGACTAATATTTTGAAAACGCATATGCATTGTCCTCAAATATTTCCAACTGCGCGCCCCTCGAATCTCGGCAAGAGGTCATTGATGAAGCATGCTTGTCACTCCATCTGTGAGAACCGCTCGGTTTCGCGCAATAGTTTCCAAACGTTCTTTAATTATAAGTTCAAGACAACAAATACTTTATTTATAAAACAAAGACAAAAAAATCACGATTTTATTTATAAAATAGTACAAAATATTAAAAACTGAAGTGCTATAAAATCGAATAAAGAGTATGATAATTTTGAGGCAATTAAAAAGACAAACTTTATATTAGTAGTCTATTTTTGCTGTAATAGGGTAATGTCCATAATTGGTAGCTACTCGTATTAAAATTTAATCGCAGCTGGTGAAAAAAGTTTCCGACTGGGAGGAAGCGCATAAATAAATCAGTACGACATGCTTTCATGTCCTTCGTTTAAATAACGGTCAGAAAATTTGCATACCAAATTTTAAGGTTTGCCTTTTTAAACGTTTTTCACTTATATTTGAAAATTAAATTCCACGAAAAATCAATTTTAACTGGATATAATACATGTATGTTTTTTAGAAAAAAGCCGTTACATTCAAATTCATTCATTTTCTTACAACCTCAGAAACCTATAAAACCGAGCGACTGCGCAAAATCAAGGGCATCGGCTGTATTTTTGGCGTTCGCGTAGAATAGTAGAAAAAATCGATACGTCTATGCAGAAATACAAAAAGTTATAAATAGAATGGTTGTCGTTTAAATGTTTTACTAACAAGGAAAGTACCCAACCTGCAACTCTCAGAATTAGCTCAAAATTTTTACACGGATTCTTTGTAGTACCATTAGCACACATAAAAAATCTTAGCTTGCGGTTTTGAGTTTTAAAATTGAATTATTTGGGTTTCCCGCTAATTTGGCAAATTTGGCATTGTTGCAAGCACTTTTTTTTGATCTTCCAGATAAGATAGACTTACAAATTTAAAATTGAAAGTTCATTTGAAGATTTCCTATCCTTATAAAGAAAAATAGTTAAAAGTCAAAAAATGACGAAGTTAAAAGCTTGCAACACTATGCCAATTTAGCGGTAAATTCAAAACGCGATTTTTTGATCTCGATTTTCTCAAGAAAGGCCGCAAACCGCAACTTAAAATTTTAAATAAGGTCTTACATTTACATGATCTTTCAATAGAAAAAATTTGAACCAAATCTGAGCGTTGCAGGTCGGGTACCTTCCTTGTAAATGGAAAATTTCAATAATAAGATCTTGCAAGAAACAATAATAAATACTTTTAAACCTTCATTAAATTAAAATAAGCATTTTTGTAAAAATTATTTTTCAAAACGAAAAACTTTGTGTCGTAAATTATAATAACAAAAAATAAAAAAAAATAAAAAACCTTCATTCTACCCTACCACAATTCATATAATTACTTGAAGTATAAGAAAAGATGCTAGGAAATTAACATCATGATCGTGCGAATGATGGATGCTTCATGAGCCATATGCTACCTCGAAACAGACGCATCTGTATGTAAATTGAATTGTGTTTGTATGAGAAAATACGCAATATAATAAAACCAAAAAATAAGATATTTTATTTTAAACAATTAAAATATAATAAACTTTACTTATAAAACTTTTTTTTGGTTATTTTAGACAAGCCAAAAAATTTGAATGCCATTTATTTATAAAAAGCCAAAAACACTAATAAATAAAAATTGTCCGAGGGTTGATCGGCCTCAATTAAGGTAAAAAGACAGGACGTTTAGTAAAGCAATTAACATAAGGACTCTCTCGTCATAAGGCCTTTTCTTTAAGACCTTTTAAAGAAATCTTTGAACTATCCGTCATAAATTGCAGGTGCTCAAAAGACACTTTGCTGTCTAGTTGATTTAAAGTGTATAATTTACAAATAAGGTTACATATTTAGGATAAAACAAGACAAGTTTACATAATTTAACGACAAAGTGACGGTCAACGCAAAATACTAAAGGCTTTTCCTCTCCGAAAATACACCTTCTACTAATTTTTTGCGCATCAAGAAAAATGAATAGTTTTTTCTTTGTTCTAGATCTGGTCAACGTTAGGAAACAAATATCTGAGTTGGATCCGACGATCCGATTCGCGGTAGCTTGTGGTAACTCTAATGTTTTGGAAATCGAGAAATTGTGTAAAATGACAATGGGTGTGATTACATTTTATTTAAACACAAAAACGCAAAAATAACTAGTATCTTAAGATATGTGTTAATAAAATTATTGTAAAGCAGTACATGTTTAGTACATAACCGTCGTTAAAAAAAAATATTGAAGTTTAAAAAATTTAAATAAAATACCTACATTTAAGATTTTTGAACTTGGAAAGAGAATCGGGTAAAAAACTACTTTTTAAATCATCAGATAACACATTGACAACGCTATTTTTCCGTGCGCAATTCACGAAAACGCCTGATTTTGTGTGTTGGCATCTCAAGTGCAGCCTCTTGACGCTCGACCATGAACAAAAATCGCCACACCGAGAGCTGTTTTTGTAATTGACCATTGTCTTAATTACCACTCGTTTGGTCACATTAGTTCTACATTAGGTTTGTCATTGTTTTGAGAAAAATTTTAAGTACGTCTTTTAATTTTGTAACAAATGTTCGAATGTGCAACAACTTAATATTGTCAGTTATAATAATGGTAATAATATTATAATATTTGCGCATGCGTTTAATTTATTGAATTATGAAGAAAAAAAAATTGTTGTATTATCAAGCGAATTTAAAGAAACTGTGACTTAAATGCCTTATCACTGGTTCGGAAAACAACTTTTATGTATAAAAATCAAATTTTATAACTTAAAACGTCCACCTATGGATCGGTACCTTTTAATATTATGCTTCATTACTGCAGTTCGGAGTCTAAATTTAAATATAAGAAATCTTCACGCTAAATTTGACGTTCAACAAAATTTTGTGTACGTTAGTTGGACGGCTCCAAAAGTTAGAGACGGTATGTAAAGCCGAATTTTACTTAATGTAAAAATTCCAAGCCAAAAAATATTAACAATAATTGATGATAAGAAAGAAATAGCTAAAAAAAATCTTTGATTTTTTATTTTTTATATTTCAGATGTCCAATATCAAGTAAAATATAGATTATCAAACAGAGACTATCCAGGAAATGAATGGCATTATTCCAGGGTACGAGAAACAGAAGCCCCATTAGATCAAATAAAAAATTTAAAAAACGGAGATGAAATTGAAGTACATGTAAGAGTATTGCTCAATTTGTTATTAGAATATTTCTTTCCAGAGTTGAAACATTAAAAATTAGAGTAATAAAATTGTAAGTGACAATATTAAAATTAATTTTAAAAATTTTAAAACGTCAAAAATAAAATACAAGTCTTTAGGTAAAATCGGAACTAGATGGAGCAAATTCAAGTTTACCGCTGATAATTAATGTGATAAAACAAGTAAATGTTGATGGTCTTATTTTAAAAGAAGATGATTTTTTACCTCCGTTAAACTTTCAAGCGCTTGTTCTTGATCCTTACTCTGTAAGATTAGAGTGGAAACCATATAATTTGAAAGAGAATGCATTTTATATAGTTAACACAAAACAGCTAACGCCTTATGGTCAAGAAAACCTCTTAAGACAACAGGTAAGCTTAAAAAATAACGCTTAATTAATTGCTGCTCCTTGTTATTCAATTTATTTAAACTTATTCAAATAGCAAAAAACGTTTTCCTAACTGAAAGAAATTCTCAAAATAATGTTTTTATTTATAATTTTATCTTCACAGAGAAACTTTTTAGGTTAAAGTTAAAGATACATTTCTTTTGCTTAGAAACTTAGAGCCAGGACATAAGTATGAATTTACTATTCGCACTGCAACGACTTTGGATCAAACATCCAGTACTGCAGCAATTGTTGAAGTTAGTATGCCAGAAGGTAGGCTTTATTACATTATTTGTTGTTTAAAAACATTCAAATCATAAAAATTTATGTGTTTTAACAATTTAAAATTTAAAACGTTGGGCTTACGCTTTAATTTTTTAAGTATAAAAAAGAAAAAAATTTACAGTTGACAAGTTGTATGAAGTAGGAAATTTAATAATAACCAGTAAATTCAATATTGATAACACGGGTGTTGTAAACCTTACATGGCAAATTCCACCAAACATGAAAGACCAAATCCGAAAATATTACGTGGAATACGCAGCAGCATCAGACACCGATTGGAAAAGTTTGACTTTTGACGGTAGTAACCCAACAATAATTCTTAAGGACTTGATCAGGTGTGCAATATAAAGCTTGTAGTTATATAAATTTACCTTTAAATTACAAAATGTTTTTTTTAAATAACTTATATTAATGCTGAATTAATTTCAGTGATACTACGTACTCTCTCAAAATACGGACAATATTATCAAACAACTTCGAGACAGATAGCGGGACATTCACGTTTAAAACCCCAAAGATTCCAGAAAATCTAATAAAAAACGTTGATGTAATATACTCAAGCGAAACGTCAGACGTCAAGATACAATGGGAGCTTAAAACGTATGTCGGTTACAAGATAATGAAAAAAATTATTAGAAAAAATTTTTTTCTGATAAAACCCATGCAGCTGCAGGGCCCTGTATAACAATATAACTTTTAAAGGACCACAGACCATCAATCGTTTGCCCCCACTTTTCTTGATTTACTAGTTAGCAATGAACTTTTTTCGCGCCAAGAGTAAGCGGGTTCACTGAATAAATGATTTTCTTTATCTGAAAATAACCCGCTCACGTTTTGCGCCAAGTAAGTTCAGTCTCTTGATTTCTCGAATGAAAAGGCAGAGCACTTATGGTCTGGAATTTTTGAAATAATTATAAATTTTAGAGGATGTGTTACATAGCAAAAAAACGCGTAATAAATAAAACTTTCAGCGAAGTAAGCAGCAACTTAATTAATGGATACGTAGTTTATATAAACCAGGACCTAAATGCCAAAGAACATACATGGCGTCGTATTCAACATAATTCACCAGAAAAATCGATTTCAGTTTCTGGACTGCTCACAGATACTATTTACTATGTTAGAATACTGCCTATCTTAAATGATGGAACTGAAAAAGCAACTACAATAGTTTATAAATTTACTACTCTATCTCATCAGCCTATAAAAAATCAGAAAAGAAATCGCCGACATATAAAATATGGTGAAAAACTGATAATGAAGAAATAAAATATTTAATGAACAAATTCTTCATAAATTGTAACAGTGTATTTTTTATTTTTTTATTAAACGCCTAACAAAAATTGGTTATACAAAATTTCTAATAACGTATAAGTTTAAAGTTTTTTAATCTTAAAAATTGACTTTACAACTAAATTACAAATTTTGTAAAAAAAACATTTTTAAAATTTTTTCAAAGTTATATGCTTTATGACATAACGCGCATATGCTTTATGACATAACGCGCTTAAGTTTTTCATAAACTTTGGATTTTAAGAATCGTAAATATGCAAACAGAAAAGTTCAATAACTATTTTTTGGCGCGCGTTTGCCATTTAAAAATTACCTTTTTTTCTATTTTTAACCTTGAGCCGACAGAAACGTTGAAGACCAAACATTTTGCTTATGTTTTCAAATGGATGACGATAAATTTAGCAACGTTGATTTGTGTTCCTTACACTTCCAACGACGATTTAAATGTATTCGGGATTCTAGAAGATTTAATTCTAATTTTCATTTGAAGAAAGTTAACGATTACACATCTAGTAATGTTTATGAGGTAAGTGTATTAAATAATTGGTCACGAACGTTTTAGGTTATACATGGACAAGACAAAAAACGTTTAGTCCTTGTTTGGCGTTTGTTTTTTGAAATATTTGCTAATAATCCGACTAACTAGTTGATTTTTACACTGTTTTGGCGTGTTAAAATTTAATTTTTTCTAAATTTCTATAAAATAAGGTGAGGTAGATCAGTACTGTGTCAAGTCCTATCACTTCGTACTTTTTGGACGGTTGGTTGTGGACATGCTAATGTCTGTTTTTCTTTTTTCGTCTTATCTGTTCGCAAAGACGGGGGTAAGGGGGTTGAAGATTTTATTTGTGGTGTCCGTGGTGGTTCTTGGCCGTTTTTGACCGGCCGGGCATGGACCCCGTAGCGGTGCGTGTGCAATGATGAAGAGTTGGAAAAAGGAGGGCGCATTGGATTGGGACGAATTGAATAGGACGACCAAAGCGGCGGCATTTTCCCTCTCGTACTACTATTTCTACTACGATTACTACTCAGTCATTGTCAGCGGGGAAGAGAAAGAAAGGCGAGAAAGCAGGTCTCTACATGTGCTACTCACGAGCCGTTTTTGGCCGCCACTCCGCTTACATCGGCCACCGCTTTCCTTTTTTCGACAAGGATTTTCCCGTTTTTGACAGCATTGCAAGTAACGTGTCTAAACTTTTTTCACTCTACTCCGACGGCATGCAGTCAAGTGCCGGTGCCGTTTTACCTTACTAGGCTACACAGCGCTACAAACGTATTTAATAACAAGATTTCTTTTTGTTTTATTTTAAAAAAGTGCTAGAAGTAGAATGAATTTATTTTTACTGGCGTCTAATTTTTGTGCTTTAGAATACGTAGGACGTGTTAAATAATTATAGAATTATTTTGTTTATTTTTTAACTTTACAAAAACATGTATGACTAAAAGTTTTAATTTCTATATATTTTACACATTTCGCTGAAAATGCTTTTTCGTTTTTAAATTTTTAAATAGTTGAGTTTAAGTTTACTAAACGTTTTTATACATATTTGTATATTATTATTCCATCAGCTCCTAGGCTAATACAAAGTTTTTTTTTAAAAAAATGGGGTTTTTTAAAACTTTAATAGAAATTACAGATGCGAAGAAAATATAAGTGTATAATTACTTCAACCATAAAATGTTTTGAAAATTACTATTTTAGAGTCAGAATGAAATATTGTCAATCGTATAGTATAATTTATATATATATATAAAGCCAACCAGAAATTTGTTAATTTTTGGGTTCAATCAACTTGCGTGCATTTCAAAATTTAAGAAAGTTGTCAGTTTTTAAAATTTTAAGTTGATTGTATTTTTATGATAGTTATTTTACTTTACTGGATTATATTAAGTGAAAACAATTAAATCACTTACATTAAGTCCGGGGTATCTTTTAGCAAACACAGCAAATGTTATTAACAAGGAAGGTACCCAACCTGCAGCTCTCAGAATTAACTCAAAATCTTTATACGGATTCTTTGTAGTGCCAGTAGCACGTATAAAAAATCTTAGTTTGCGGTTTTAAGTTTTAAAATTAATATATTTAAAGGACCAGTTCGCCCATTCAAATATCATTGGCATTCTGTCGCAAAAATTCGACATTCATTTTTTTTGCAAAAAACCTGAGAAGGTCGGTCCCAAATTGGAAAATTCATTTCGACACCGACCCACTCACGTTTTTTGAGAAAAATGATTTTGATTGAAATGGCCTGATTTTCGACGCTTTTTGCGACAGAATGCCAATGATATTTGAATGGGCGAACTGGTCCTTTAAATTTCCCGCTAATTTGGCAAATTTGGCATAGTGTTGCAAACATTTTTTTGATGTTCCAAACAAGATAGGCTTACAAATTTAAAATTGCAGGTTCATATGAAGCTTTTCTATCATTATATTAAAAAAAAATAGTTAAAAGTCAAAAAATGAAGACGTTATAAGCTTGAAACACTATGCCAATTTGGCGGGAAATTCAAAAAGCGATTTTTGATCTTGATTTTCTCAAGACTGGTCGTAAACCGCAACTTAGAATTTTGCGTAAGATCTTACATTTACATGATCTTTCAAAAATTTTGAACGAAATCTGAGCGTTGCAGGTCGGGAAATTTTTCGCAAAAAAACAGCACAGGTAGCGAGCTACCTATGCCGGTTTTTTTTCGACCCCCGCCCCCCAGAACAAAAGTCCCTGCCCGCCCCTTTCAACGCTCAGATTTTTTTTAATTGAAAGGTCATGTAAACGTAAGATCTCCTGCGATATTCTAAGTTGCGGTTTGCGGCCAGACTTGAGAAAATCAAGATCAAAAAGTTGCGTTTTGAATTTACCGCTAAATTGGCATAGTGTTTCAAGCTTTTAACTTTGTCATTTTTTGACTTTTAACTATTTTTCTTTAATATACTGATAGAAAAGCTTCAAATAAAACTGCAACTTCAAATTTGTAGTGCTTGCAACACAATGCCAACTTTGCCAAATTGGCGTAAAATTTAAATATTGGGTATCCCAACTATAAACTTCCGTTTTTAACAAACTTATTTTATTATAACAACCGAAACAAAACTAATTATTCTGAGATATATACTCTAACATTGTCTATGCCTTCTTTGCAACATCCCTTCAAAACGTGAATGCCAGAACTGTAGAACTAGTTTCAAAAAAGTTATAACTTGTAAAAGTCCGCGGAATTTTATAGTTGGGATACCTAATATATAAATTTTAAAACTTAAAACCGAAAGCCAAGATTTTTTATATGTGCTACTGGTTCTACAACGATTCTGTATAAAATTTTTTAGCTAATTTTGAGAGTAGTTCGTATTGAGTTGCAGATTGGGTACTTTCCATGTTAGCGTAGCACAAATAAAAATACAAGATTGGTATATTTAGAAGACATTGTTTTAAACTTGAATTTTGTACTTCTTTTTAGTTGAGAAAGCTTTATAATTTTCCAAAAAAAATTCTTTATAACGGTTCCGTAATTATTTTGAAAATTTAAAGTCTTGCTGTCAATTTGAACAGTATTAACATGTTCGTTGAGGTTGAGAAAAAATTGATTCTCGTCATTCCCAAAAAAAAACAATGGCGCTGTGGTTGGTGTGGCTTTGGAGTCAGACGCATTGACAGACTTTTTATTCTCTTCAGGTCGCTGGGCAAAAAGCATGAAGGATGTAGGAGTTTAGAAGTTTAAATTTTTATTGCTGCATGTAACGCTTTCTGACTTATATCATTAAGGCTATAATTGTGGTGGGAAAAATTTTAAAAGAAAAATTTAAATTAAATTATAAAATGAGCAAAAGAATGCGGAAAAGTGAATCGATGCTAACAGATCGGCGGTTTTCCCTGGGGATTATAAAGTGATGTAAGTTTTCAACGCATACTGTTGGAGATATTAAATTTTTAAATTTAAACGCTAGTGAAAAGTTGAGTTCTTACCTTTTTTATTAAATTTACTAAGTTGACAATTTTTAAGATTCTAGATTAGATTAATCATTAGCTGTATTTTAATCAAATTACTAAAAAGATTAAACGTTAAGACTTTTGACATCTCTGAATTGACATTTTAAATTTTAGAAAAAAAGAACATGCGTTAATTTTTTTTCGCCGTCTCATCGTTTTCCTAGTCTTCCTTTCAATCTTTTCTTCAAATCGGGCTTTGGTCCTAAATCAGAGAAACGACAGGAGTTTATTCATTGGCTTTTTTGAGGAATTTTCTTGTGCCTTTATCATTTTTATTGTCGTTAATTTTATTCTTGTATTAGAATATATTTATACTTGCTGCCTTATTTGCTTAAGTTTTTACGATTTTGATTATATAAATTACTTTTACAATTATATGTATTAAATTTTATTTAAACTTTTTACTTAATAATACTTTTAGAAAAGAAGTAGCACAAACATTTTCAATAATAAAAGTTTTTTGGAACATTACCCTACTGTTGCCGATGTATTAAAAAATAGCAATCAACAAAAGAGTTTAGATCTGCCCTGTTTAGAATACTTAACTGGGAATTTATCAAGCTCTCGGCCACAACAAAACAACGACTTAATTATTGAATCATTAACTACAAATACCTATAGAAACAGTAACATACAGCAAAGAAGGGATTTCAATAAATTGGTACATTCAACGTCAGCTGAAAAGGAGAAGCAGTTATATTCTAATATAAAAACCTCTTTACTCGATACAATTGGCTTAAAACGTCAAGCTAATCAACATTATACGAAATCATTCAACAACTCAACAAACCTTATAGTACCAGAGAATCCTGACCATAAAAATTCGTCTTTGCGTCGTCTGAAACGGCTTAGCTTCTCAGGACGTCGCAACACAGCGAAGCAACAGTCCGCGACGAATGCTCTCGGCACCATCACTGCTGGAAGGTGTCCGAGCTCGTGGGCAACAGTCGGACCACAACACGCAAACCAAAAACAATTAACTGGTCGTAAGTAATTTTTTAATTTATTTTATTAAATGTAATCATAAATTTTAATGTTCTTATAGTGAAGACTTCTTTCTTGTATTATTTTTTTACCTTACAAAATGGCAAATAAGTTAAAAAATTGAATTAATTATAGAAGGGAGCTTTTATAAAAGCAGTACGTTGCACGTTACCTCTGAAAAAGAAAACATTTCGCCGCAGTCCATGCCGGATTCGGCACAAGACGATCAAAAAGTTGATCTTGAGAAACTTCTCAAGTCGGAAACAGCCCGTGCCCCATTTCAAGTAAGTGCCATTTAAAAAGGTGTTTAAAAAACTTTTTACATGTATATAATTATTTATTATTATTTTTTTTAATTTAACTAATTTTTACGTAACACAAAAATCGAAATAAATTTTATATAATTACATTTAGCACTTTCTCCAACAACAATTCTGCATAGAGAATTTAAATTTTTATCTCGCCGTTGAAGATTATCGTACTGTTCATGATGTCAACGTGAGTTTTATTTTTTAAATTCATATAAATTTTGTATAGAAAAGAAGCGATTTGGCCCGACAAATTTATGAACGTCATTTTACCCCAAACTCAGTTGAACCTGTCAATATTGACAATGCAACAGCTAAAGGCATTATTGAGTGTATTCAAAAAGAAAACTACGCGGAAGATATGTACGATGTTGCTCAATACCAGGTATGTCAACTTGCCTTACTTTTTTCTTATCATATTTTAATTAAGTAGTTTTAAACTAATTGTAAATGCAAATTTTTGGATAAGTTTAGATCTATCTTTATTCATAGTAGTTGAAAAAATAGTTTAGATATTTCATCTTCTAAAATATGACTGCTGGCCACGTTACCTTAACTCAGGAGGCAAACCCCTCGGTGCCAAAGAAGTAAATGACTACAAAAAAGGTAAATTGTTGTAACTTTATAACATTACTTTAATAACGTTTTTAGTGTTAAAAAATTAAATAATTAAACGTTTAGATCAAATTTAAGTTTTTAAATAACTTTTATTTTCATTTTAGAAGGTGAAGGTAGTATTCGTAAAACGGGACCGCAACCGGGCTCAGTTTCTGCCCGATCTACAAACTCTGCCCAACTTAATGCAGACAAAAGAGAAAAAAGGAAATCGTTTTTTCGCTTTTTGCGGCGGAATAAAGAATCTAGTCAGGACCACAGTTCGGAATCGTGCGGTCCTTGCACATCTGCACAATGTCAGGCTCTGTCTGGCGGAATCTACGGAGAATCCGAGCCTTATTCTGCAACTGTTAATGAGATTAGTTTATCAATGTCACCTGCCGCTACGAAACGCCGAATGACTAGGGAACGGTCTGTTCCCGCACCAACTAATCGTTCTACAGTCCCACCCAACAGCGGAGGAACCAGTACGAATATTGAGGATGTATCAACACGAGTGTACGCTTCACATGAATCGTTAGAAACGGGCTTGGCTTCAGTGTCTCCAGTATTAGAAACAGTGCGAAAAACCTCTAGTGAAAGCGCTTCTACGACGCCTTTACCATCTGAAACGCTTGCGGTTAGTAACAGTATTAATTTACCGTCAAAAACAGCAAGCGTTAAAAAGAACAGTCAAAATGAAGGTACACACATAGCCTCATTGTTGCACGATGAAAAAGAAGTAAGTTTTGATTAGTGTAAAGAATATTATTTTGTTTTACATAGTTTAATAATATATTTTATGTTAATTTTTTTAGTAATATTATAATATTTTCTTTGCTTAAACAAAGCCGCTTTCAAAAAAACGATCAAAGGTTTTAGCCGTGCTCGAGCTGTTCAAACAATGCGACCAGGGTATTGGCAACCAATAATAAAAGCTCATTATATAAAAATACGGGTATTTTGTCTTCCGTGTCGACAGCGTCAGACGTATGTTTTACGCGACTACCCATTTTGTACAGTTCGGCAGTACGTAGCGATAGAGAAACGCTTACACCGCCATCTGACAGTCACAGTGGCGGACTGCAATGGCAAAAAGCTGATTACGTGTGAAGTAAAACTTACAAAGCTATTGTAGGTTTGATATAATATATGCGCAACAAATAGATAAACCAATTGCTTTCTTTAGTCTTGTCGCATTTAAATATTGAACTCTTGTAGTGTGACAGATTACTTTCTTATCTCAAAGCCTTTTTTAAGTCGTTCAAAAAGCATTTACGGTGTTTAAATAAATTCTAAATTAAAAATATATTACTTTTATCAATACTTTGAATTAGTGATGTTCTTCCAATAATAATTTGCCAAAAAAACCAAGGTATCTCGCCATTCCTAACACAACCTTAAATTCACTCGATTTTTTGTATTTTTTACGTTGTTATTGTATTTCCTTTTTCTAAATTTGGCCTTTAAGAGTTTATTGCTTTCAACAGTTTGTTTTAATAAAATCATTGTACTTAATTTTGGATTTTTTATGGTATTTCAATACAATATAAAAATTTAACACGCAAAAATAATCACATTAAAGTTGAAAATAGTTTAAAGTTTCTTCAACTAGTGCTTGCGTACGCCATAACAATTCTTCTTTTAATTCTTTACTGTTTGGTCCGCCGGTTACGCTTTCCATGTTACAGTACAGCGGGGCTCCAAAGACTGCTAATATTGATTCGTAAGCCATGCTTTCATGGTATGCCTTGTAAATCTAAAGTAAAGTTTACGTCTCTATTTAACTTGTTTTTTTATTAAAGTTTACATTTTTTAAAACTAAAACTTTACGAAAATTTTATACCTGCTCGTATGTAATAAATTCCAATTGCATTATTTCGTTAACCGTTTTCACATACAGTTTAAGAATACGTTCATAGTTTTTTCGGCGGTATTGAACGGTTGTGTTCGAAGCTAAGAGTCGTAAAATGTCTTCGGCTGGGTTCCCAGCCTTTGCCATTTGCCAATCGATAATAGCAGCTAACTCGGAAGATGGGTTTCCTTCGGGGTCAGTCTTCCATAAAATGTTGGCTGACCACAGATCTGAATGGAGGCATGCTGGCGGTATTCCGGAGGCTATAATCAAAAATGAAAACAAGATATTTAGAAACCTGGAACTTAATTATTTTAAAATAAAAAAAATCAAGTTAGGTGAAGCTATAAAATTTTGAGTCGTAGCTTTTGTAATTCTTACGGTAAGGTTCCTCAACGTAAGATACTTTATCTAACGAATCTGGTTGAAACAGTGGCTCCATTCTATCTAAAAGACTATTAAACACATTGCCTTTAATTTTCCTTAAGTTTTGAGCAACATCTTTACATTCAAGTATAAAGTGTTCGGCGCCTTTAATACGTCTCCCAACTTTTTGAATCCAGCCAGGGTTTTTCCATGAAGCCGCACTCAGTTTTGCTAACTCAACCACAACCGCTTCAACTTGTTCATTAGTAAAGCCGGGGAACATATTATCTGTTTTGGCACTTTTGCTCAAATCTTCCATTATGATTGCTCCATGATTATGAAGTAACGAATAATGATGCCCATAATAGTACTTAGGTAGTTTTAAATTCAAATCATTAAGTTTTGTGAAGTAAGAATAAAATTCGCATTCTTTCTGTAAGTTAAAAAATATATTTTCACAGAGCTCAGCAATATGAGTTTTGGTATGTTCATAGCGCGGTAGAAAACTTGCAAAACATCTATGATTTAAAAAACGTTCAAAAATTTCAAATTAATTTTTAATTTGAATAATCAACATACTGTGTGCGCTTGTGGTAAAAAGAGGTCCACTTGCGACGTGTCTTCTTGTTTTCCAGGATTTTGAAAACCGGGGATCTGTAATAAGCATATAAAAAATAGTTACAAAAATAAATTTTAAAACAAAAATAAAGAAACATTAAAAATTGAGTTTACTTTTAGTAAAACGGTGTCTATTCCAGTTGAAGTATTCCATTTTAAAAAAACTCTGACAATCCTTGACATAAATGCGGGGTTTGTGTCATTCTGGAAAAATTTAATACCGTATATTATACAAGTGTTTGCATGGGACTTATATTTATTTTGTTGCAAGGTATGGTATTTTTTCAAAACAAATGCTTTAAATAAGTTCTTTAAATAACAGTATCAAAAAATGGAACAAACCTCTACTTTATAGCTTGCTAAATTTTCTATTTTAAAGCAATCTTTATCTTCATATTCCCAAAGTTTTTGTACAATAAATTCTATTGTGAGACTTGTGTCTAATATAGTGTTAGTCATTTAGAAAATATAATATACACGGAAAGAAAGTCAATATAACGGTATTAATTTTTTATATGGAGATGATAAAAGATAATAAATATGATTTTTTCGTAAAAAAAGCAGTTTGTCAGGCTAGTTGATAAGAAATGTGTATTTTTTATAAAACTTATTTATAAAATCATGCATAAAGCATGACATACAGATTAAAAATAATTAAAAAGTAAATCTTTATTATAAAAATAGATTTTGTATAAAAACAGTATACATTTTACGCAACAAGACAAATAATAATTAGTAGAAGTTTTAAATAAGAAAGAGATCATGTAGATAAACTATACAAAAGAGTAATATAAATTGTTTGGAAAATGCTATCGTAAAAAGGTTCAAATAACAAAAAATAATTTAATAACAGAAATTGTTTAAAAAAGGTAAAACTTTAGTTCATCGTTAATAGACATAAACAAAAAATATTAAAATATCCGTTATTGATATGATATCATAAATAAAAGCATAACTTTAAAGTAAAATACTCGTATTGTGAAAAACATGCGAAAAATAAAAAAAGCGTGTTAAACGTTTCTGCATGCGTTCCAGCTAGCGAAATATTATAAAAACTCCACTATGTGCATAAAATGTAATGTACAGAAACTTTTGTATAACGTATCGCAGAAATTTGAAATGTGTTTGATATGAAGGAGTTTTAATATAGAAGTTTTAAATGCACTGTGTAGTCGTACGCAAAGATTTAAAAGTTGCTTGTTATACAAAAGTTTCGTTACAAAGGAGTTTGTTAAACAGGTGTTCACTGTTTATAAATGAAGCTAAATAAGGTCACATTGCGGTAGAAAGATGAACAGAGGGTGAAGCTTTTGAATAGCCGTTTGGAACAGACGGGTTGTAGTCAGAAATTGGGTGATCTGTGTATATGTTCTGCAGGTCTCCGTTGTTAAGTATTAAAGTGTTTAAACCAGAATATCCATTGCTTTGAGTGGGAGTTTGACTTTCTTCGTACTCTCTGTCTGTTGGTGTTTGTATTGAACTATGTGCAACAGATATAGGCTGCAAAGTGCACAAATTAAATAGCATTGTAAAATTTAAAATTTTTAATAGATTTATGTAAAGAAAGCCTACAAATGTATTAAAACTTTTATGTACACAACGGATCTTGTTGCAAAATTACCATGATATATTTAAAAACTTACTTTTTCGTAACCATCATTTTCCAAAAACGGTTCGTAAATTTCATCAAGTTCGCGTAGAAGTCGTTGCAGATTGACAGCAAGCTCATCAAAAGTAGGACGTTGTGTTGGATCGGGATCCCAACATTTGCACATGATCTTCTCGTACAGCTCTTCTGGACATGCCGAAACTGGAAAAGCAAGTCGGTGGCCCCGTGCTAAGTATCGATAGACTTCTTCACTCGAATGTAATTCTTTATACGGCATATGTTCGCGCGAGAAGATTTCCCAACACACAACTCCAAAACTCCAGACATCGCTTTTTTCCGAAAACTAACATTAAATTATTAAAATAAATCATAAATTTAAATTTTTTTATGAAAACTTTAATGAATATATTTGATTTTTTTACAGTCACTTATGTATACGTATATTTAAAACCTACCGCAAATTCTCCAGTCAAGCACTCGACAGCCGTCCATCTAAACGGCAGCTTAACATTCTGATCTTGTGCTACATATTGATCTTGATTATTAGCCCTACGGCATAAACCAAAATCAGTTATTTTGAGTTTGGTATAATCTTCGTTTAAAATGCAGTTTCTAGCCGCCAAGTCGCGATGAATAATTTTTTGTGTAGCCATGTATTGCATACCTTTTACTAATTGTTCAATATAAGAAAATGCGGTGCGAGCTACTAAACTCTAAAAAATTAAAAAATAAGTACTAAAAATATAATTATAAAATCGGAATATTAAAAATGTTTTGTAGAATATGTATTAAAACTTTAATTCAAATAAATTTGACCATTTAATTAGCGGAACAAATATTTTGCTGGCACTTTTGGTTTGAGGACCGAAAAAGTAAAAAAAAATTTGGTAGGCAGGTCTTGTAAATTTTTTCCCAATTTTGTTTTTGAAAATCAAAAGAGAGCCGCGTTTTACTTTTTAAATTTTTTTCTGTAGGATACTCCGGAGTCCTCTTCTTTCGCACTTCCTGTCGCAGATACAGTCTCTCTATAGTGAACCCTACGTATAAGCAACTCTCCTTATAATAAACAAGAAATTTGGCCTCGCCAAGTCAATTTGCAAAAGCCTCTCTGTAAAGACAACACCCCTTTTAGTAAACACAAAATGTCGGGCCCTTCGGGTTGCTTATATAGAGAGAATAATGTAAATAATTTCTTGCCTTTTGCTTGTTCGTGAGATACGTATGCAGATCTCCACCCTTCACGTATTCCATCACCACATTCAAATAACCGTCCACACATTGATAATAACCAATACACTCAACAATGTTAGGATGTTTACATTCTGATATTAGCCTAACTTCCCTCATCGCTTTTTCGAGTTCCTTTGTCTCATAATACTTAATCTTCTTTACTGCAACTTGCAGTTCCTTTCTTCCACGTCTCATGCAGGCTAAATGCACAGTCGCACTATTACCTAAAATTTAAAATAAAATATTTTTTAAAAAGTAGTAAAATTATACAAGCTCATTGAAACTATTAAACACTAAATGTGTTTTTATAAATAATTTTTTAAATGTGTAAAATTTACCTGAACCAATGATTTCCATAAGTTTCACTGTGCTTTGGTTCAAAATGGGAACGCCATTTGCGTCCAAAAACCCTCCAGTCCCGTCTGTAGCAAAATGATTGTAGTCAGACATTTCAACTTAAAAAACAACAAAACTAATAAGAAAAAATATGCAACCAATGAATAGTCTTGTCCCGAAACCGTAAAGCTACTTATTCAGTCAAAAATTAAAATATCTACATTACATTGCTTTCCTTTAGTGTTTTTTGACCAAATTATAATAGTACCCGAGTAATTTGCAGTTTGCACATGATTAAATGTAAAACCGTAACACAAGATTGAATGTAAAAAATTAAGCAAAGCAAATATAAAAAATTTTCTCTCCAGAATATTAATTTTTATGTTAAACCGAACCAATAAAAAAAACAAAAAATTGGCTAAATAAGAGGATAGTTTTAAAAAAAGGTTTAGGAAACTTACCTAAAGATTGGTTGTCATTGTTTTTATCAGGAAGCACATTGCTTTTTGTTAACAACATACGTCGTTTCCTTTGCTAAATTTTTTGGTGATTTCAAAAATGTATAATCAAAATACAAGTTTTAAAAATATAAAAAATATTAAAAACTTACTTTTTTATGGTAACATTTCATAAACCATGTAGCGCAAATTAACATGGCTACTGCAGTCAAAATTGCAGCAGCAGCAGCAACGTATCGAAGCCATCTAAAAATTTCTATTATAATAAAAAATGTATCAAATTAAAACCATTTTCACAAAATTTGTATGTTGTATAACATGCGTTTTATTTAAAAGGTTTAAGGCATACTTCATCGATCGTCTCGAGGCTTCATTTTTGTCATCTTCGTAAGACTTCAGATGATTTAAAGTATATATTCGATTTACTTTACTTAAATGTCCAGAAACCTCTACACGGCAGTCTACGTACGGTGCTTTTTCCATTTTGCAGTTAATTCTGTAAATAAGTTTATTAGTACAGACAAACTTTTATATAAATGCGTAAGAGAATAAAAATATCCATATAAAATTTTTAGCTAAATAAAAAAGATATAAAACTATAACTTACAACTCATTACTCCAAATCGATACCTTGCATGGCTTACCACACACTTTCACGTCAACTGGATCAATGAATTCCAATAAGTTTTCTCCCACAATTGACACTGTTTGTCCTCCCAGAGACACAGTTTTTATAATTGGTGGACAAAAATTAGTACAGAAGTTACCGCCGTTTGTTTTACAGTTTTGAGCATAAACAGAAGAAACAACTTTTCCAGTGCTATTTGAAAAAGCACAGTAACCACATTGAAGTGAATCGTTCCAATTTATGGCATTACAGCTATGATATAAGCTTGCGCATCGATTTCTTACGTATTGGAGCTTAAAATAGAATTTTTTGTAAGATTCTTATTTATATTACTATAAAAAATTTGTTATAGTCATGAAATTGCAGTCGAAATCTAAGTACAACACAAAAAAAAATCTAAAAAATCTGAGTACACAAAAGATGCATCTAGATGCTATTTTTTAGTTTTTTCCTTTCTAAACTTACGCTCCTGTCTTTAATGTAAAAATAATAAATATCATCTTCATTTATTCGTCCAACTGCAGTCAAATCAGCCCTTTCACGCCACAATAGCTCGTTGTGTCGTTCCCAAGACTTAACACGCACAATTTTGTCATCACTTGTATGAATCCAAATGGTGTCGTCAAATCCACCATCAAATACATTCAACACTTGAGAATTGTCTTCTATTTTAAAAACCGTAATTTTTGTACCGTTCAATGGTAAGTAGTTTTCAATCCATCCAGCGCGGTATTGGTTCGATGTACTCATATTTAAAGCGCAATTTTGTAACACAGAAGATCCCATATTAAAACGCTGACAAATTGGAACCCTTTTGTTAATTAACCACGAAAATGTGTAGCATTTCTCGATATTGTCTATTTGTCCACTTATGCATTTCTAAACTTTTTAAAATATTTATATTTAAACAAATCACCTCAAATTTTTTATTAAATTTTTTATGAAAAAAATAATTTTATATTTCTCGTTTTAAATTTTTGAAAAAAATCTCTTACTTACGTTTTGAATGTCTTTTGGATTAGTCATTTCTTGACAAGTTGCCCATGTTCGTTCAAAATAGTTTAAAACTTGAACCAGTTCATAACGACATACAACAACTGATGACTCATTTACATCTCTCGCAGCCACAAACAAGTATTTTTGGTCGTTTGAAACAGAAGCGGCTGTTGCATATGAATAATGCGTCTTATCTAACGCGCCTTAAATTTTACTTTTGATATTTTACTTTTCATCAAGTTTTCCCAAAAACACCTAGATCGAAAAAAAACAACATTCTAAAACCTACAGTTTAGCGAGATGTCAATTTTTGATTCCAAATTATGCGTTTTGTCACCATTGCAAACACGTATTAGTTTGATATTCGATATCTGATGTGTATGTCGTGACTTTTCAACCAACAACCTAGGATTGTCAATTCTCGTCGCAGTGTTTAAAAAATATGAATACTCGTCTTTAGTAAACGCCAAAACGGAAGGTTCATTATGGTTAAACTTGTAGTCATCTGCATTTCCGATAGTAGCACCTGATCTAAAAAATTTTACTAAATTATTCTTGTAAAAAGTAATCTTACATTTTATTTAAAGTACTAAAACAAATTGCTGGAAAGTATAAAAACTCTTGCAACATAATAAATCGCAAAATTTTTTCTTACTCAATGTCGATAAATGTAATAGTGGCATTTTGAAGTTTTGCTTTTTCAATCACTTGAATCACAAACGTTTTTTCGCTGGCCGTTGCTCGTACTGAGCTGATTGCTCCGGTAGAAAACTCAGAGAATTTAAACTGTCTTTTCAATTCAATGCGTTTTATTGCGTAATCGAATTCAAACAAACTAAAAATTTTGATTAAAAACATTATATGTTTAATGCTATAAACTTTAATTTTCTATAAAAAAAATACTTACTAGCAATACTCTTCACCACAAAATATTAACTTGTTTTTTAAGTGCAATTTAAATACATGTGCGAATGCAACCCGACGCTCTAACTTGTAAAAACACATCAACTTTAAATCGTATTGTTGCAAATGTGTTGCATTATCGCTTATTTCGTACACATGAATTTCATGTTGGTCTAATGTTGCCAATATGTTCGAGTGAGCAGAAATGGCAATGAGCTCAGAATGTGATGACAATATTTCACGTATTGATTTATGATCGGAATGTTTCTTTTCTTTTGCCAAAACTGGCAAAAGTAAAAGTAAGAAGAAAATCATTTAACAGTATCAGTAGTGACGCATTTTGGCTGAAACTGGTAATAAGTTAACAAAATTCTTTGTTATCTCTCTTGAATATCCCCAATATGTAAAATAATTTTTTAAAAAAATATTAAAAAAATATTAAAATGTTTACAAAAATAAAAAACCTCAATTTAAAAGGAACTTTGGAAATATATCAAAAAGAATCTTTGATTTAAAGTAAAAAGCGGAAAACGCACTCTCTACCGGCTGGCGAAAAGATTGGAGCGCTTTTTTCGATTTTTTAAACGCTCACAATCTAAACAGAGAGATCCGTCATCGTGTGATAAAATGTACATCTTGGCAAAATTTAGTGTTAAAAACTAAAATGAAGTTTGAAACAGAAAAGATCTTACATTTATTAATTATTGAAAGCCTTAGAAGTTAAATTGACTTATTTTATATATTTAAAAACAAGGTAAATTTTGTAATTTAAATTTTATAAATTTGCAAACAAACTGTAATTTATAAAACAAAAAAAATATTCAGGGTTGGCATTTCTCAGTGCTTTATTGAAATTTATTACAACGATTGTAAGGAAATCGTAGTCTCCGGAATTTTTAACTAAAAATATGAAAGTTTTATTACAAAGTTAGTTATTCAATACAAGAATTTTTTCAAAATAGTTTAATATATAATCTTAAAGATGGTTGAGTTTGGCAAAGAATACACGTATCTATTCAATTATTTAATGATTGCGACGCTTTGCAATCAATCAAAATCAAGCTGCGCAATCATTTAGTATTGTAAAAATGACGTTTACAAACCAAACTGTAAAATAACGTTGAGTGTAAGCCGAGTGCATCGACAAAATTCTGTTTGTTTATTGATCTAATAGTTCCCATTTTGTGAAAGCAACTTTCGGTGTGCAGACGTTTTGCAATGAGCTCTAAAGCGGTCAAAACTATCTTGATGTGCAATCCTACTTATTTTCAAGTACGTTTGAAAGAATTAATTGTTAAAACCGTACGGCAATTATTTTTCCATTAGGTTTAGAAACGTTAGGTTAAGTTTAACTTAAGTAAACAACGAAATTTATGCCTAAAAATTGGACAACATTTATTTAAAAAAATATATTACAGATTAAGAGCTATTTTCATGCATTTTTAAAATTTTATTTATTAGTAAAAGTAAAAGGTATTTTGTTACAAAAAACATAGGTGTTAAATTTTTATAGGTCAAATACTCAATAAACCCTTGGATGAAAATAAACCAACCGGTTGATGTTCCAAAAGCCAAAAAACAATGGACAGCATTGAAAGATGCAATTGAAAAAGCCGGGGCTGAAGTAAAAGTCATGGAACCTCACGTAATTAAACACTTTTTTTAAAAATTTAATTATTTTAATATTTCTATTTACTAATAGAAAACTTAGTTAAATATCGTATTTTAATTTTAGTTTTTTAAATTTTAAAATGAACTTTGAAATTTAGGGTGCCGAACAGTATCCCGACTTGGTGTTTACAGCGAACGCTGCTACGGTACGTGGCAAAACTGCGTATCTTGCCAATTTCTTTTACCCGGAACGGCAAGGAGAACGTTACTTCTACAACAAGTGGTTTAGCGATAATGGCTACACAACAACTGGCTCTTTAGACATACCATTTGAAGGCACTGGTGACGCTTTATGGGCTGGATTCAAACGCGACAAACTGATTTGTGGCGTTGGACCTCGTACTGACGTCAGAGCACTTGATCAGTTAAAAACAGACTTAAGTGTAAATAGCAATGCTGAATTTAAGACGGTTGGAATGAGGTTGATTGATCCTAGGTAAGTTATACATGCTTTTTATGAGTATAGGTTGTAAACATAAAATATTGTAAATTGATACGATAAAGGTATTATAGATATAGTCATTATTTATTTAAATTAGCATAAAATAAGACTTTTTTTAGGTTTTATCACATTGATACCTGCTTGTGCCCTTTAAACGGTGACTTGGGTATATACTACCCTTACGCATTTGACCCTATTTCACGACATAATTTAAAGAATGAGCTTGAACTGATTCCAGTTAGTCACGATGATGCTAGTAGATTTGCATGTAACGCAGTTGTTGTTGGTAAAACGGTAATTATGAACGAAGGATCTGAGTTGATTGCTCGTGATCTTCAAAAGTTTGGATACGACACTGTTTTTGTCAACATGTCAGAGTTTCTGAAGAGCGGCGGTTCGTGCAAGTGTTGCACTTTAGAAATATAATGTATTTTAGCAGTTTTTGAAGCTTATATTTAATATTCAGATAGTTTGAAATAAAAGTTTGACAAAATTTATTAATATATTATATCGACTACATGAACAAGTGTATTATAAATTTAAACTTATTTCAAGTTTTAAAACAGGGTTTTATACGAAGAGTATCTCCATGGTTACAATTTTATGAATAGTGTAAAAAGAAAGAAAAATATTTTTTTAATTTTTTTTTCATTTTATTATTTTATAAAGCACTACAATGTTAAGTCGACGTCGCGATGAAATGGCCTTGTCTGATGGCATTTGGCAAGATCGTGAGATTCAATTTGATATTGATCAAAGACAGTTGAAACTTATTCCGGGCGAATTCCTCGTTGAACGAATCGAAAATGTTGAAGATACCAAAGGAAATAATGGGGATAGAGGAATTCTTCGAATAACGAACATTCGTTTGATTTGGCACGCTGTGAATTCGCCAAGAATAAATTTGAGTATTGGGTACAATAACATACACGGTGTTACTACTCGTATTTTGAAATCAGTATGTTTATGGATAAAAATTTATTATTATATTTGAATATTTTAAAGACAGTTTTAGTAAATAAAAACCTAAACAGATTTTTTAGAAAGTTAGAGGACATGCTGAAAGTTTATACTTAATGGCCAGAAACGCTAATACTCGTTTTGAGTTTGTTTTTACATGCGCTAATCCTACACACGTGAGTTGAAAATAAACATAAATGTTTAATAAATATTCGTATATGTTACAATTATTAAATTACACAAAAAAATATAAAAAATTTAAGGGAAAGAGGCCCTTGGGGTCAATAGGTCATACTTATAAAGTATGCTACTCTACAACTTAAAAAGTACTAAAAAAGTTTGTTGCTTTAAATATGATACAATTTACAAATTTTTAGACTAAACTGTTTACTACTGTCATTGGTATTCATCGTGCTTTTGAAACCACTAAATTGTACAGAGAATTAAAAATGAGAGGCGCATTGGTCGATGAGCAAGAAAATTTGCGACTCCTACCTTTAGAGCAGCAAATCGACCGTCTTGAAGGTGTCTGGAATTTGAGCACTGACCAAGTAAAGACATACATTTAGCACAATTCTACATTATAGAAAATTATTTTTAAATTTAATTAATTATAAGCATTCTTTTTTAGTAAAACTTCTGTCAACATCTTACGTAATATTACATTATAATTTTTAGGGAAATTTGGGTGTCATGGTTATAACAAATATTAGAGTCGTGTGGTTTGCATCCATGAACCCATTGTATAATTGCAGCGTACCATTTTTGCAAATGCGCAGTTGTCGTATACGGGACTCTAAATTTGGCACTGCCCTAGTTTTTGAAACCTCCGTTCAAAGTGGTGAGTATATTTTGGGATTTCGAGTTGACCCAGAAGAGCTGTTAAAAACAGTATGTAAACAAATACAAACGTTTCACCAAAATTACATGAACGCGCCGGTATTTGGAGTACAGTATCAAAAGGACATTGTAGTAAGTCAATATCAGTAACTATGTATAAAATACAAGGCACTTATTATACTAATTTTTTAAATATTGTATTTTTAGACTAAACTTATATTTGTTTTTTCAAATTGAACAATATTAAACTATCAAAATATTGTAGAATACATATTCTAGGGCGCAGGTTTTACTGCGTTAGAAGACCTTGAAGTCAAACCGGTATACGACGACATACACATTGATAACAAACCGTTTAGAGTTGATGCATTTGCAGCGTATTTTTCTGATAACACAGGCACGGCTGAGCAAAGACCTATTGTTTATTCGGATGAACTTGGTGTAGCTATCGAATGTTTAAAGCAAGGATATAAGATCAAAGACCTTTGGTCAATGAGCATGGACTAATACAACTAAGGCTTAAAAAGTCTCATAACAAATTTTTGATGTTCAAATAAGTAAACACGTAAATTTTATCCAGAATTCGAAAATATTGTTCATGTATATGGTATAAATTATTATAATTTTTTTTCATGTACATGTATTTAACACTCAAATTTGCGAATGTATGATTCTAAAAGCCAATCAAAAATAAGAAAACTTGCCATCGTCAGTACCACATTATATTTTATTAAATTAGTTAGGTATTTGCTTTATAATCCTTATAATACAAATATTCAAATCTTCTTTCCGGCCGATTGCAATTCTTCCCGCAACTGTTTAAAAAAATCTTGTTCTACTGTTTCGTCTTCCCAATTATCTTCCCACACGTTCACATCACTGACTTCTTCTTGTGGCAAATCTATTTCGTCTTCATGTGCTGGAAACTCTTCAAATTCGTCATCGTCATAGTTGTGATATAGCTCTTCGACTGTTTGATCCGTATCAATAGGGACCGTGTCTACTTCACTTTTTTCATTCTTTTTTACTTCAGGACCAGTAGAATTAGCGTCTTTTTCAGTCATTCTAAAAAGCTTCGGCATAACTTTTGAAGAAAAAAATGTGAAATTAAATAAACTATAGTTAAAATTTCATTAAAATTTTCATAAAGTCTAAAACATTTAACTTTTAGTTTTTATACTGTAAATCAGACAAAAAATGAAAAATACAGTTGTATCAAAGTTTTCGCAGATGAATTATCTGTAATACAAAAAAAAATATAAAAGCGCTTAAGAAAACGTAAATTCGTCACTAAAAATGTAAGCGAAGTTCCAATATTGACTAAACACGAAAAGAGCACGCGAGTTGTTAGAGAAAGGCTGCTTAGGCTGTCTTGCAAGTTGATAGAGAAAGGATGCTTCTATAGCTGCAAAGAGAAATAGCTTTCCGTCATATTAAAGTTCTCCAGTTGTGGCCGCGTGGCGCAATGGATAACGCGTCGGTCTACGGAACCGAAGATTGTAGGTTCGAATCCTGCCGTGGTCGAAACTTTTTTACAAATCCAGTAAACGTATCATTGGTACTTTAAAATGTTTTATTTTATACAAATATTTCAAACTTTAATCAGTATATAAATTTTTATTCTTTAAAAATCATTTATTTAACGTTTTATGGTCGTATTCTTCAATTGTCGTATACACTATTTGTGATACTTCGTTTATACCAAATCCTTCAGCACTACTCATTGCACTTGATCCTCCGTGGCCGGATGAGCTTGAATCTACTGAACGTGTTCGGACAAGATTTGTTTGAGTTTCGTTATTTGGACTTAAAGATTTATTTTCTTCCGCGTGCTGTTCTCCACAATTATTGGTTTTTTGTTCTACAGCTTCATCATTAACTTCAGATTTAGTTTTATTGAACTCATAGGAGGATTCTGATATTCGCGGTTGACGCAATGGTGGTAATCTGGCTTTTTTTGCTGACGTGCTTTTTATCGCGTTTGTTTCTTCTTGATCAGGTTTGTTTATATAATCTGGGAAGTTTTCGTAAGACGTTTGAACCTATAAAAAATGATTATAAAAAACCAAGTGTTATGAGAATCATCAATTTTACAACTAATAATTTATTATAAAATTAAAGTGGTTTTACTTTATTGTAAAATCATTACTTTAAAAGTATGTATTACCTTGCATTGTAAGTTCTCAACTGATACTGATTGTTCCTTATCGATAACTGATGTTCTAGATACGATTTTCAACTTTCTGTCGCTTGCAGAGATCGGTGCTCGAGAACAATGTATTTCGTTCAAGCTTGGCTGGCTGGTATGTCGTGGATGATGTTTTGTTTGCTTTTTAAGAAAAGCCTGTAAATATTAGAAGAAAAATTTTTGATAATTTGTGAGTCTGTTTTATGTAAATAAATTAAAAATAATAAATTATTTTAAATTAATAAATTTTTTTACCTCAATACTCATTAATCCTGGAGCACTTAACGAACGTTTTACTTTTTCCTTTTGAATAATGTTGTTTGAATTTGAAAAATCTGCTTGAATGTGTGATTGATTCTTAAAATTAAGTTTCTTTAGTTTAGCGTACCATATCGCAAGGAGCTTATGATTAAATCATTACCATTTTAAGAGCTTCGGCCACTAACCACTCAAAATAATCTGCAATTGTTTGAAATTGTGGCCTAGATTCTGGTTTTTCTTGCCAGCACATGACCATTACTCCGTAAATTTCTTCTGGGCAATTATGCGGTGGTTCCATACGATAACCGTCCTGTAAAACCAATAGGGTAAATAAAATATTTAAAGAAAGTAAAACCGAAAGCGTTTTATAAAATTTACCTTTAGAACGTTGTAAAGCTGTGGCATTGAAATACTTGGGTACGGAGTACCACCCAAAGTCATAATTTCCCATAAAACAATTCCAAAACTCCAAACATCGCTGTAAACCGTATACACATTAGCTTCAAGTGCTTCTGGTGCCATCCATTTTATGGGCAATCTACCAGCTCCTTTTTTGCGATAGTAGTCCTGATAGAAAACGTTCCTAGACAGCCCAAAGTCTGATATTTTCATACTGTAATCTTCGGCTACCAAGATGTTGCGTGCTGCCAAATCACGGTGAATTATTTTTTGGCTGGCCAGAAACTCCATTCCGTGTGCAATTTCGGTCGCAAATCTAATTAAGTCTTTTAAGGTTAAACTTTCTAGAGATGGTTGTTTTTCAATTGTTGAAACATTGTGCGTTGTCTCATATATTAAACTGTTGTTTTCGTTTTCTGTGCAGTCGCTAGCTGGGTTTGGGCGATGTCTGCGTAGAAAGTCTCTTAAAAAAACTTAAAATTCTTTGCATACTTCAGTAAAAAAACTGTGTAACATTGTTAAATTTTTTCTATATAAAAAGTATCACATTTCAATGTGCAACTGTTAATAGTATAATAAAAATATGTTTTAAATACCGTAAGTTTCCATGAGGACAGTACTCAAGAACGACTAATAATGGTCCCGTTCCTGTACAACACCCAATTAACTTAAGTATGTTATCGTGTTGTCCAATGCTTTTGAAAATTTGCATTTCACTAACTAATATAATCAGCTCTTTTTCTTGTGCCGTAGGTTTCAATTTTTTAACTGCTACTTTTGTTTCAATACTATCTGATTTCCCTTTTGGAGCCATGGTGCCTTTCCAAACTTCACCAAACGCGCCTTCTCCGACGATGTCCGTTAAAGTTAAGCGAGTTCGGTCGATTTCCCAAGTCATATCAGTTGGAACTTCGTATTCGCTTACTCCGGATTCTTCAGAGTTTAAACGTTGTTGATCGCCGCTAATGACAGGTTCGACGGTAATGGCATAAGTAGAAGCCAAGTCTGACCACACGTCATCTTTTTGTGGTTTTTTTGTTATAATTACCTTAAAGTTGGCAATAAATTACTCAGATAAAGGTAAATTAAAAATAGCCAACGGTAATTTTTTAAGTGAAGCATGAAACACTATATAAGGTAACTAAAATGTCAAACTTACTTTTTTCCGAACCGCCATTTTATCGAGATTTTGTATTCGGTTTCGTTGAAGCCGTTCAGAAAAAAAGTAATATAAGGCAGCTAGTCCAGCACACAACAGTAACATTAATATAAACAATATCAAAAGCACAGTGTAAGCAAGTGGCCATGCTGGATACGGATTATCGGTAGGCAAGGTCATAGCACGGAACTCGTGAACTGTTAGCGTAGCGTTGGCCATTGACTAAAATTTTCTCGCAATGAATTTTAAATTAACAAGGAAGCTACCCAACCTTTCCCACTCAAAATCAGCTGAAAGTTTTTATATAATTCTTTTGTATTACTATAGTATCCAAAAAAATTTTAGTTTGCGCTTTTGAATTTTAATATTAAAATGTTTGTTTAACGCAAATTTAGAAAGTTTGGCATTGTGTTTCAAGCATTTAGTTTAACTTTCCAAATTTAAAAATGTAATTGTTTTAAAATGAAGTTTTTATTCAACATGGCATACTTACCATACCAAGGGTATTTCCAGCGACACATGAGTAGATTCCTTGATCAGAAATTGATGTATTAAAGATTACTAATGTGTAAAGCTTATTGATATTGTCGTGGAATATGCGGGCTTTCTAAAATTTAAAGTTCATTTAAAATTTTTTAAGTTAACGAATTCTTTTATTGTAGAATTGGTTTTGTTTATATATACTTTTAAGTTATATATTCTTTTATATAAATATACTTTTAAAAAACGATAATAATTACCTTAATTTTGTTCATGTCAATAAAATTAAAAACGTTTTTATTTTGCTTTTCATCCCATCTGATGTAACTACCGTCTATTTTCACTAACTTAATCCACACTACATGAGGAATAAGGTCAGAAAGTACTTGGCAGGTAAAATTGACAGTCATGTTTGCGTTGACCGTTTGATTAATCAGCACATTAGGCAATATTATCGGTCTCGAACGTATACGATCTCTGACTTCGACACGAAAGTCGCGACGAATTGTGCCAGCGGTATTAAAAACGTCACATGAATAATGCCCTGAATCCGCTTCTGAAGCGTCTTCCAATTCCAAAGACCACTTTCGGACCTTAAACATGGCCCCACTTCGCCGATCTGTTTCTGGACCAACTTCTTCATGATCTTTACGCCATATTACTTGAGGTTCTGGTACACCGCCTGCTTTGCATGATAATTTTAAAGTTCTACCTGATGGTAAAATTATCGTATTTTCTTCATTCGGTTGTTTAAAGTATGGTGCCAGTTTTGTAGGCACATCTGGAATCCTCCACCTTCTTGTTGTCCAAATATTTGTGTACGATCGTGTAGTAGTCGTTGGCATGGGATCTTCTTTAACATCAATTACAACAACGTTAATGTCACTGTCTGATGTATTATGTCGGCGGTTAGTTATAAATGCTCTTGCTCCAATGTCTGCTATAGGGTGCGTTGGAGTAGTAGCTTGTAAAGCTAAAGCCGGCGCCAAAGACACAAAACTAGAATTTTATTATAATTATTTTTAAAAAATAACTTTACTAATTATTTTTAAGAACAGTTATAACTCTTTGATTAAATTTTTGAAAGAAATATGATACCTTTGAGTTGATTCTTCATAATCTCCATCTTCAATGTTGTTTGTTAAATCCTGATGAGCTTCTTTCTTTAAAGTTTCAATTTCCTTCTTCTCAGCTACTTTTTTGTCCATTTTGTGTTGTTCGACTAATTCTGGTATGCGATTTTTTAAAATGTGTTGTGCCTTCCTGACTTTCTCTTCCGTATCTAAATTAACATCGTATGATTTTAAAGCATGCCGCAGTCTAAGCATTTCTATATCATTTATTAAGCCAGGAAACATGTGTTGTACGTCCGGTATTCCAAGCCGTTTTAATTCGTCGAAAAATTTGACTGCATCTAAAATAAACTTCTATTTTAATTTATACCTAATGGCGTGTTCACAGCAAACGTGTCTTCAGCGTGCTCGGAAGTGCCATCGCTATATGCTGTTTTCTTTTCGTCTTCACATCTTCCGTTTACACAGTGCACATTTAAATTGCCACTTTGACGAAACTTTGTGACTTCAATGTCTTTTGCGTACTCATGGCAATAATCATTGTAAAATGTGTCAAATTCATTACTAAATGCGGGATCTTTTGTAGAAAGCCACTCGCACACACACGATTCGGACGTTTTAACAGGAACAACATCGGCGTCGGTGGACAGAAAATAGTCACAATAGTCTATAATTAGCTTTTCTGTTTAAACAGAAAATAAAAATGTGGTACATCGAAAAAGTAACGTGTGTATTATATTGCGAAATTAAACGCTGTGACGGTTAAAATTCGAACAGCGTGCGAGTTTGAACGTTTTGCAATCTTTTGTGTTATTAGAGAATTCGAAAGCACTAGAAACAAGCAATGTCACACAGCTTACCAATTATATGTAACGTGAAATTCCTACTAATGGTTCCTTCGTTGTTCCACACTTTACATGCCCAATTACCCTAAACGACAATACAATAATAAAATTTGCAACATACTTTATCCTTAATTTCCACCCTTCGGATCTCCAACTCTACGCCCTTATCTTGATATCGAGGATTTTCGGTAAAAAATGTGTAGTTTAAGTATGCATCGCCAAAATACCTAAAAATTACCTAAATAAAAAAAATTTTTGCAATTTTTAATATGAAGTATACTGTAGTTATTCAGCTCATATAATAGCTTTAAAAACCACTCACCAATGAACTTTCGGTTGCGGCCGTCCCACGGCACCGCATTTCAGCTTCACGGTATCTCCAAGAAATGTATACTGGTGTTTTCGAGAATTTTGAATAAAACGAGGAGGACCATCTAAAAACATTATTGTATATATTATAAAGTGTCACAACAGCAACTTTTATACAAAATTCTAAAAATGTATTCATTTTATTAAATTGTGCCTAAATTATATCAAATAAATTTATATTTAAATTCAAAAGAACTTAAGAAAGCTTACTTTGAGTAATGTATTGTGCTACAAAACATGAGATCAGTAGTGATAGAAAAAATACAAACTTTAGCGGATAAGTTGTCATTATTTGCTTATATTGATAAGTAATCACATTACCGTTGTATGGAATAGTAAATCAAGCAACACTATAAAAACTTGTTTTATATGCAATTAAACTAAATTTTTATATATATAATAAATTCTGTATTAAATAAGCACTTTCTAATAAACCAATAAGATAAAATGAAAAATTTTGGAAATGTTAAATTAAAAATTTTCCGACGGTAATTTCCTTTTACAATAACATAAAAATAACAGCTTTTAATTGTTAAAAGATCGAGCGCAAATTGCGAGACCGCTGCTTTTTTTCCAATTAGTTTTGACGAAATTTCGTTGTCGCTCAATGCGGTCGTCGGCGGTTTTAAACCAAGGTTATATATTTGTTTCATTTTTTATCAAAGAAAAGCAACAAAACCAAGAAAATAAAGTAAAAGTGGTGTCTGTCAAAGATTCAAAAAAAAATTAAAAAATGTTTCAAAATAGTTGGTCTATAAAAAAATAGTAAAAATATTACATGTACATTAGTTTTAAAATTTTGTAGAATTTCACGAAAAAATTCAAAATATAAGGTACCTAAACGAACTAGGTAATAAATGCTCGGTTTGGACTAAAAGTCATTCTCTTTGATCTGCGCTTGGCTTTGGCTATCCAATAAATCTACAAGCTGCGATTTGGGTCCTTTTACTGCAATTACTTTTCTCAAAATAAATTGTTGTCAGACAGCGCAAAAAAGATAAAAATTTTCAAATCATTCAGACAAAATTACTTGCTATGTACTAACTTCAACTTTTTTATGGTAAATATATGCACTTTGTAAAGAAGCGATTTGAGAATCAGCCCGCTCAGCAATATGTTGCTGCAACTACAGCTACAATCAAATAAAAAAAATTATAAGTTTTAGTTGATCGCATTAAGTAATAACGTTTATGAAGCCACTTTATTAATTCAAAAATGTAATTGGATAGGATATTTAAATCTTTCGAACGAGCTGTCTGTTCACAAGAAGGTCTAAACTTGTTTTCGGCAAACCAGAATACACATTGCTCAATAAAAGACTTCTATCTAAACTTATTGTAGTTCTGTACCGAGAACCGGGTGCAAAGGAAGAAGGTAAGAAGAGGGGGACGGAGGGGGTACCCCCCCCTCCCTATCCCCCCCCACTCCAAAAAAAATTGACAAAATAGTAAACACAAAACTGTTGTTTAAAGACAAATTTCAAACCATACTTTACGCTAAAACTTTATTTGCAAAAAATGTGCTGCTCTTTTAACTTTAAGAACCTTATTTCATAGGATCGCCAATAGATTCATATGGTTCAGATTTGATATAAACTAAATTCGCGAAGTCATATGTTTAACTCTCTGTTCTCACATTTATATAAATGTGCTATAAATATTAAAAACTAAACTGACAACAGTTTTTTACTTTAATAATTTACTTTGGAATTGTTAAAATACTCTGTTTCTAAAACAAAAAGATATAAAAACTATAACATAATTTATTAATAATTTAAGAAAAGTCATCTCTAAGAAAAACCCGTATGTCCGTATAAGGTGATATTATTCATAAAGTTGTTCTTTTTATTCAAATGGTGCTGATGGTCCTCGTCCATTACCAAAACCACCTCCGACGACAGCGTTGGTCAGGGCGATGCCACCTGCATCTGGCTGTGTGCCGATTATAATCCCTGAAAGGAAAATTAAACTTAAACATATATATTTTATTTATTTTTTGTTTATAAAACATATTTATTATGAAAATTAATTAAAAAATCAAGCGTGAAATAAAAATGTTAATGTATTAAAAATTTAAAATACAATTTAAATAACTTAAAGAATAAAGAATTGAAAATATTTTTAAAAGCTAAAGTTACCACTGTCTTCAAAAAACATGTTGTTAACTTGGTTTCGTCCCAACTTATAACCCGGGTCGTCGGCCGCGGGTTGTCGTCGAACTTCGGACAACCGTTGTTGTAATTCAGGTGGTGGTATGTTTTCTGGCCTAACTAATTTTTGTCGATTTTTTTCAAATATTACTCGATAAGCTTCTAACAAAGCAGCTAAAAAAGCAAAATGTTAATGTTAAGCGTATTTTAAAAAACAATTCTGTTTTCAACATAAAAATATACGTTAAAAATGTTATTCAACCAAATAAATTAATTAAAAATTTCTTTAAACTCACCTTCATTGACAGCAGGCGCTGTGTCATCAATATATTGACGAATAAGGCCATGTGACGTGTCGGAACTAATTAGTCTACTAAGACTAGGTCTATTGCCAATAGGCAATATTTGGTCTTCTTGCATTCGTTTCTTCTCTTCTTCTAACTTTAACAGGTCAATTTGTTTTTGGATTTGAAGACGGCGGTGTTCTTCTTGAAGTTGTAGTTGCAGCTGACGCTGTTCTTCAATTTCTTGTGTTTGTTTCTCTAATTCTGCGCGCTGCTTTAGTAACAGCTGTTTTTTGTGAGCCAAAAATGATCGTTGTTGAGAGGTTTCTCTTAAGCCAGTCAATTCAGGTTGGCCAACATCAGGATACCTATTGCTTACAACTTGTTTCTGAAAATTTTGAGACAAGGAGTTTGCCGATCCCTTGTTATGATAGTGATCTAATGGTTTTTTTTGGTCGTTGTTGTCGGATATTAAAGCTTGAGCACTGCTCTGCGCAGGATGGTAGTTTTTTACACCGGCTACCCTAGCAGGTATAGATGCAGCTGCTACACTATTAGCGGCACCATAAGCTGATGAAGCTTTGTTGTAACCAAGAAGTGGAAGAATCAGTGGTCCGACACCGTCAATTATTGTACCAGCTTGATTAATGACGTTATTTAGTTTTGAGTCTGACATTTCAAAAACTTTAGGCTAAAAATAAAATTTTTTAATAACCTTAGCAGCTCCAAAAAACATTATGCGTTTAGTTAATATACTGTAATTGCAAATTAATCATCTTACGTTAATTGTAAATGCTGTCATTTCGACTGGTGCAAATGTAGTTATCTCGGGGACCTCATCTTTTTGGAACGCTAAAATATAATACATTCATATTTAGTTTTGCAATTTTGTTTAAGTAATTTGAGAAAATTAATTTACATTTTTTGTTTTAACGAAATAAAAAATGAAATAAAAAAAAATAAAAGGTTAAATATGTTTTTTTCTTACATGTTTGTTCTTCTTCAGCTTCCGGAATATTTTCTTCTGTGAATTTCAACACTTTAATGTCAGAAGTACTGTCATCAGTTTCAGTCAACTTATTCTCAGTTTTATTGTTCGTTTTTTTGCCTTCAATATGTTTTTCCTTTAGTTTGATTATTTCTTTACTTTTTTGCTCAATTTTCTCACTATTTTTAACAGCTTTCTTTTGCGTTTTACTTTGATCTATTGCCGCAGGTTTTGTCGTTTTATTTACAACTGGTTTTTTTGTGGTTTCAAAAAACTCTTCGTCTTCACCACTACCCTCTTCAATTTCATCTGTCGAATCCTCATCGTATCCTTCCTCTTCGTCATCTATTATTTCTAATCCTTTAGGTTTTTTTGTGTTAATTATTGGCTTGGCAGTTGTAATTTTAACAATTTTTGTTGAAACTGCGGTCGTCATTGCGATGTTATCTTGGCCTTGGTCTTGACTTCTTTCGTTAGTGTGTAATTTTATTGTTTTGACATTTTTTGAGTTTTCAATGTTCTTCTTTGGTTGAGGTGACTTTGGCGGTATTGCTAAACTCTTATTCGAATTTGGAGCTTTGGTGCTTTGAACTGTCGTTTTTGTAAAGCTTTCGTTCGTAGAAGCAAAACTAGTTTTAGTTGTTTTTGATTCTTCTTCCATGGTAAAAGTTGTTGAATCAGTAGAACTAAATTCAGTTTTAGTTGTGGTTTCTACTGCTTTAGTTGTTTCTGGGGCTTCTTCGAAATTTTCTGTTGTTGCTATAGTTGTCTCTTTCTTTTTATCAGCCATGACTCTTGGCAAAAGTTGTTGCAACCGTTCTTGATCAATTATAGATCCTCGTCCATCAAAAAACTTTTCAAACGGACGGTTAGAGACATCGGAAGTTTCTTTTTTGTACAGTCCGTTAAGTAAACCAGCATTTTGTATGTTGCGCAAAGCTTTTGCAGCAATGCCAGCTCCAAGTTGACCTAAGCTTGGCTGGCCGTAGGGCTGTTCGTATTCTAGGTTATTCTCAGTATCTACGATGTTACCACCTGAACGCAGTCGTAATTCGTCTTCAGTTGGAGGATTGGGTTGAGCCATCTTTAAAAAGCTTTTTTTTAAACGAAGTTTTAAGAATAAAAACTTTGAAATATAAAAAAAAACTTATCTTTTAATGTCTATTAGATTGAAATTATTTTTATCAATAATTCAATTAAAAACTTAAAAAAAACAAACCTTGTTAAGCAGCCGCCCCCAAAGGCCAAGCGCATTCCTAATTGGATCCGGTGATCGTCCGCTTTGTTCGTCATCGTTGTATGAATTGGCACGATAAACGTTTCGGGAATTTGAACCAAATGGAATTTGCATTCCATATCCAGTATCAAAAACATTTTGTGCATTCGCGGTCAAGAAAAATAATGAAATTATTACCAGGAGTTGTTTTAACTCCATCATCTGAAAGTTTAAATAATATTTCAATTTTTTACATAGTTATAAATCGCAAAATACAAAGTCAAATAAAAATATGCTTAAGTTGAAAAAACACGTAAAATATTCGACTTTCGATAAATTTAATGAATTTTTAAAGTCATCCATAACCAAAAAAATTATGCAGAAGCCCGGAATTACAATGTTTTAAGATGTTTAAGTAGCAGTCATCCAACTTTTCACTTTTAACCATCAAAACCTCAACAAAATCTTAAGCCTCGAAAGCAATTTAGTGGAGATTCAACCTCAATTTGGTATCCTCCCACTTTAGAAAAGATCAAAAAATTTCCGGGTTATAATCTCTCCGCAAAGTAATTTTATTTGTTGCTTTCGATACTTTAAAGTGCCAATTTATGTTTTCAATTCAACAATAATTTACATAGTCAAAAAAATCGAAATTAAATGAAAATAAAAAAAATTATTTAGAAATAAACAGTACGTAATAAATATCACTTTCTAAAACTAATAACTTTAGTTAGCTTAGCGGTTAACACAGTCGCGCTGCATGAAACAACGCCGCCGTTGAGTTTCCGGATGCGCTAATCGACTCTAACCGGAATAAAAAATTTTTGAAATCCATCGTTTTTCTTTATTTCCGAAAGTAAAATTCCGTATCTATAAAAAAACAGCGTAGTTTAACGTTGAAATTAAAATTTTGAGTAAAAAATTGCTGCAAGCGGCACAAATTTTTTTCGAATGTAAGTTGGTGAAAAAATGCGCACATGCTGCAAGTTATTTGAACAGTCTGAAATATTGAGCACTGAGCAAAAACCGTTATAATACTTTAGGAAATGGGGGAAAAACTTTAAGAAAAAACTGAAAACATACAAAACGAATTGTGCCGTTTTTTCTGAAATCATAGCAAACAAACTGAAATGTAAACGATCGTTGCACTTGAAATGAGGGCGACGGATTCTCATCGATTCGGCACTTTGCGTTTTATGTATTTCTGAAAAATATTAAAATTCAAATTAAATTTGTTATAATAGTGTTAATATTTTACGTATATGCAGTTTTAAGCTTATTATTTTCTTAAACTTGAACAAAATTTGCACAATTTTTTAAAAATTTTTTAAATATTAGTAAAATTAAAAAAATGTAATTCAATTAATCTTTTGTTTAAATTATTTTTTCTTTAATTTTAAACATTGCAATACTTATGCGTATGTTTAAAATGTTTTTTCTCCAAATGGAGCAGCGGGGCTGTCAAATGAAAAAGAACAAAACCGCGTGCTAGCTTTTTTGGTCTTTTTTGGTTTTCAACGGACAAAGTTTTTCTAAAATTTTTCGTTATATTAAAAAACGTTGAAAAAAGTGTTTTTATTTAATGACTTATTATTGTAATTTTTTATAACTTAATTTTTAGATCTTTCTAAAAGTAAGGAAACATGAACGTTGCTTTAATATTGCGACTAATGTAAAACAATTTACATGTAAAATTATGAATGAAATACTGTCAGGCATTTACATTGGTGGTATTAGCGCTGCGACGGATGAGTTACTCTTAAAGGTAGTTGAAACAAGTTATTATCAAAAAAATTAAAATTCTGTACGTTTTTTCTGTTTGTGAATTGCGTTTTATTTTAGAAATGTAACATAGAGGCCGTAGTGTCAGTGTTGAATGAATTTTACCGTCAACCTGTAGCTGTAAAGCATAAATTGAAACTATCAGTCGATGACATGCCATTCTATCCAATTCATCGCAGCTTTGAAAAAGCTGTCAAGTTTATATATGAGCACCACGTCCAAAAATGTAAAATTTATATACGATTTAACGTTATTTCTTAGAATATTTAATTTAAATAAGTTTCAAACTTTTTTAAAGTAAATTTTAAAAAGAAATTAAAAATTAAAATTAAGGCAGTATATTGGTGCACTGCTTTATGGGCGTATCTCGGAGTGTGACAATAATGCTGGCTTACATAGTGACCGTATTGGATGTTGATGTAAATTCTGCGTTACGATATGTAAAACACAAACGTTTTTGTGCTGAACCAAATTTTGGATTTCTGGAACAATTACATGATTATGTAAAGCAAGTAAGTCATAACTTTTTCAACTCTTTCTTTAACTTTTTAGCTTAAACTATTATGTTAAATAAATTGTAATTAAAAAAAAAACAGTAATTGAATTTTTCAGGACCGCAAAGCTATACAAAGCGAATTGATTAAAATGCATGGAGACATAAAATTTTACAAGGTTAAAGAAATGACGGAAACTTATATTAAAAATAATTTTTAATTGTGTTGTCACACTGCTATTTTTTGTAGTTAACATCCAAGAAACATGAGTAATCATTTATTGATTGACAAAGCTTTATTGACGACTTGATTTATGAAATGTAGAAGATCCAGGTGCTGTTGAGTTTGCTTTAAACACAACACTACTGTTTCTTTTTCTTAGTATATAGTCTCTGTAAGGTTTGATAATAGCAAGACAAACGGCAGCGTTTGTAAATGGTGTCCAAGCCACTAAACTCATAATTATTATGGTGTACCATGTTGTATTCACTCCACTGAACATTAATACTACTACAATAAACATTGGTAGTACTGCCATAAAAAAACTGTTGATGGTCTGGAAAAAAGATGCTTTAACCTGCGAGACAAAGTGGAGAGAACGAAATAAATAAAAAACTAAAAATTACCTGAGCAATCATATTTCGAGAAAACTGTGCTCTTAACTTGAGAACTTTTGGTGAGGCAGTTTGTGTATCTACGTTTAAGGTTACAGCTTTGATACTTTGTTGTGTATAGTACATCATTATTGCGTAACTGATAGTTATTAGAACTCCACCCCAGCCCATAAATAGCCACCCTTCCCAGTCTTCAAAATCAACTGCACCTGCGTATTCAGTGCTATTGTTTGAGAAGAAAACCGGATAAAGTAAGTCGGTATAATACGAGCGGGGTCTTTGTACTGATTTCACGTGACACGCAACTGCAAATACAGCAATGGACACGGTAATCACGCAAGATACGAACACTAACAAAAAAAGCACAAAGTTCTTCTGACGCTGACTCCTGAAACATTTTTTAAATTAAAATTTTTAAAAATATCCTTACGTAGTGGTTGTTGTCATCAGGTAATACCTGTAGTAAAATTGTGCTGGTAAAATAGAAACTGCTTCAATTAGGAAAAAGTATTCGAGAGAGCTAAGTATAGTTGCTGGCCACCAAGGAATATAGTTTTCAATACCATAAGAAATAATTAGTAGTTTATGATCAACTATTTGTATGTGCTAAAATAGTTTATCTTTCAGCGAGTAAAACAAACATATTACACTTAAGTTTCCTCTTTTAAAAAATATTTTACTCTGTTCTTTACATAATAAAACTTACTTGATGACAAAGCGCTATTACAATTGTATAAAATATATTTTCGACAGTGCAAACCATAACCATATTACCATACGAACGTACATTCGACGCAGTCTGATTTTTTACGGCAAAGAAGAGTAATATATTAGTAATAAATCCTAATGCAATTCCAACGCAATCGAGGTACACAAAAAAAGGCCAGTCCATTATTAAATATACTATTCACAAGTTTAGCTGCAATTAGAAAATTATAATTACAAAATCATAATAAAACGTAATTTTTTAGTTACAGTAAGCACGCAATTTTACTTTTAATAAAAATTATAACTAAAAACCGGAAAAACATGCCATTTGAATGTTTAAACTTATACTTGACCAAAAACTAAAATAAATTCAGTTAAGAAAGTGAGAATGGCACGTTGAGCACTTTCCTTGTTTATAAATGCCTACCGTAGGTTTATTTTCGAAGAAAATTCCGCAAAGCATTAAAAATGAAAAACTGGAAACACTTGTGATTAGAAACATATTCAAAGAAAAAGCGAATTTTTTAAATTGCATTATGAGTTCTTTGCATTTGCCAACCAGCTCTCTTAAGCTCAGTTTAGAAACTAAGCTATTCATACAATGTTTTTAATACAACGATAATTGGCGGCACGTGGCTAAAGTTTCAGTTTCTGGCCCTGCTTTGAAAATCACGTTTTTTAACTTAAAAATTTTTTATTATTTTTTTAGTGCCTTGTTAATTTTAATGAAGAAAATGGCAATGCGTTAATCATCAAGTTTAATCAAAAAAATTTATGAAATTTATTACAACCACAAACTAACCTCAAAATATTTATTTAAAAATTAGCCCAAGGCGAAAACTGTGATATGGCGACAATTTGAAGAGATATGTAAAATTTACAAATTACAGTTACAAAAAACAACATCAATAGGTTGTCTTCCTTATTATGCTGCTAATAAACTTTTTTAAATAATTGAAATCAAAAACAATAGGAGCACCGAATTAGTGGTTCAGACATAAACTTAAAAAATGACATATTAACAATGTATAACGGCAGTTTGTGGGATAAAAAAGCACTGGCAGAGTATAACTAGAAATCTATGATCATGAGCTATTTTCAATATGTTTGTCTACTGTTTGCTGCTGTGTTGACCTCCTGAAGACGCTTGATAATCCTAAAAACGACAATTTAGCATTAAAATTTTACGCCATTCATGTAATATTTTTAAACTTTTATACATTTGAAAAATACTATTGTGTAATTTAATACAAAACTCACATTTTATCATTTTTACAATTTTAAATTTTTAAATATATTTTTTAACGTTTTTTTAATTAAAATTTCATAACCGACCTCTTTGTACGAACGTTGATAACTTTCATCTACAGACTGGACTTGCCCGCCGCCGGTTTCTAAAAATAAATATTAAACAATAAATTGAGGCCAATAGCTTAACCAACCCTTACTTTTTATTCCTCAAATGGCGCGCTGTATTAAAGCTATTTTTTCTTAAACGCATTTAATTGCTATGATATATACACTAAAGTATACAATAAATTTTCGTTTTACTTCTACGAGTTTTCTGTAATCTTTAAATATATTTTCCTTAAAATCCCGAACTGAGAAATCCAAAACTTTAAAACTATAGCTTCATGAACTTATTAACCTCCGCGTTCAACGTTTGATAACGAGTTACTGAAACGCCTCATTCGTTGTAGAGTGTGTGTCATTGGTTCGTTCACAATCTCTATCAAATCGTCAGCCCACGACGGTTCGGCGTCTAAATTCAATAAACAACTATTTTGGTGCTTAAATTTCTCTCAACAATGGTTAATACAGAAAACGTGCTAATGGTTAATATTTAAACCGTGCTAGTAGTAAATTCCAAATTAATTTCATTAAACTTTAAATGTGTATTTTAAGTGCGTTTAAGAGTTTTTTAAGCCATTTGAAAAATTAAACCTAAAAGGTTTTTCAAGAAAAAGGAAACTGCTAAACAAAGGTAGCTTAAAAAATCGTGAAAAAATATTACTATTCTAAAATCAGGCCACTATTTCAACCGTTAAATCACCAAAACCATTAATAAGCAGTTTAACCCGAAAAAGTGGAAAATTAGGTAAACCCGTGCCTTGACGTCCACCGCTTTGACGAATAATAGCCGACGTGCCAGAATCCCCAATGTTAATGACACTAGCGCCGCGTGATGCTGACGTTCCGGCTTCGTAATCTTCGGCAAAGTTCACCGATGATCCAAAACGTTGATCCGACCGTGAGTAAGAGTCTACAGTGAAAGTAACAGCAAGGAAAAAAGTGAGAGTCAACATAGAACTTTAATAAATTAGTGTTTGTTACTTAATAAAACGCAAGTTAATAAGTATAGATAAAAACTAAAATTTACAAGCATAACTCAATACATTAAACCACTTAACAGCTGCCTGCATACAAACCAAAAACACCGTTTAAAACAAAAAAAAACGCGTTTAAAAAATTCAAAGAACGCCAGTTCATCATTTAGCTACACCATTATCAACACCGCCGCAAGAAGAATGTTTTGAGTTTTTTTGAAGCCCACAAAATTACCGTATTCGTAGTTTGAGTATCCGGAGCCTACACGGTGGCCGGAGCGAGATCGCATTGTTTCCTGAGCGTAATCACTGCTGTACCCGCCTGCCGGAGATCGTGATAAATTGTCCAGTTCCCGTTGCAACGTGTGCAACGCTTCACGCCTCGAATTCGAAGCAATAGGACCAGGCCTGGCGCCATCCAGCAAAGTCTGCGAAGCGTATCGCTTGTCTTGTTGATTCAAATCGCTTCTGCTACGGAAATTGTAGCGTCGGGACGATGAAGTGTAGGTTTCTTGCCCTGCTTCTTCATGACGATCTTCTTCTCGTTCATCCACAATTTCTTGACGGTTCGACGTGCCTGAAGCGTAACGACGCCGTGCTTCGGCTTCTTCTAAACGTTAAAAAACAACATTTACACACAATTAGGATAATTTTAGACAATGTTATAGTAACTTAACAAAAATTTACAACGTTAACTAAAAAATATATTTTGATTTAACAACGCATACATAATTTAGTCTGAACACATCAAAAAATACTTTTTAGAGGAACAACGACACAGAAGCACTACAAACTCCAAAAGTCACTACAAAACAAAGCTGATTTAAAAATACAATATCAAGCTGTAGCAAACCACATGTTAAAGACACATTTTACTTACCTCTAGCCAATCCAGACACACTTTGCGATCGTCGGCTTCTACCCAAACTGTTAAAGCCTTCACCAGTTTCGCTTCCGTATCGTACATAATCACCTGGTGTGTAATGCCTTCTCAACGTACTTCGACGTGAACCAGATGTAATTTCGTCTAATTCTTGAGCAAGTTGTTGACCTGTAGCAGTGTAGCTAGCAGTTTCCGGGTTTTGGTTGTAAACGTGATAAATTTTAGTTTGATGGAAAGATTCGTTGTCCTTAATCTTTTCCAAAGTTGTCAGTCGCTCCGTGAGTTCAGTGAGCGACTTGTGAATCTCTTTAGATTCTTTAAACTCTTGTCTTCCACCGCCTACACCGTCCTTAAATCCGTCTACGTAGCCGGCTCTATACTCCTCGTTGTTAGGATACTGCTCTTCCAAACGGTTCAGCAAGCTTGTTGTAACTTGATCTCCAAAGACGCCTGAGTTTCCGTCACGAAAACCTTGCATGTAGCCAGCACTGAAGCCAGGATGGTCCCGTCTTGAAGCCAAGTTATACATTGAAGTTGACATTCCACTTAGCCCCGCATCTCTGAGACCTTTAGCGTACCCTTCTTGGAAGCGGTCTCCTCGTGTTGAATATTCCTCTGCGTAATGTCTTCTGGCTGCGCTTCCCGATCCCAAATGACCAGCTTCGCTGTATCCCTGGCGATAACCGTCCTCAAAGTTGGTTCGGCGGGTTTCGTACTTTTCCTAAATTTTTTAAAAGGATAAAAATTTTAAAAGTAGTTTGAAAAAAAAATGATTTATTTGTTAAATTTTTTTAAAATTTAAGTCATAACTTACATCATGTAACAATGGAAGGTGTTGACCGTTAGTGTAGCGTTTCTCACGTCTTCTATTCTTCCTAAAATTAAAATTATAATATATTTAATATCCCAGTTCGCAAATAATATAATGAAAACAACACAACAAATCTTACGCTGCTATACACCATGCAAGTAAACAGCATAACAAGATGCACAACAAGATAAGTAGAAGGAGAAGAAGTAGCCACCACCATGGCCATCCAGAAGTCAAGTATGGTGTTACTGAAACATGTTACAATAAACACATCAAAAATTGTTAAATAGGTTTGAAAAAATAGTTTTTGATAAAACATTAAGTTATTTTTAAATTTACAGAAGGCAAAAGGTTGTTTGTATATGTAAAATTTAGTTATAAAAGCACTAAAACACAAAACGGTATTACGTTTCACGCTTGTTGAACTGCAATCATACTTACGAATTGCAGCAGCAACATATGCATAGTACGAGTAAAATCAGTACAATGAGAAAACCGAAAAGATATATGTTTCTCCACGGAATCTCATTAAAGACTAAATTTACATCTGAAAATGACAAAACTGGCTTACTACTTGGAAAAAGCATATCATCTGGTACCGAACTAGTATAAATGTTTGAACATTTTTAGGCTTTAATCAATAACTTTCAACAAATTTAACTAAACAGCAAACAAGCCTTAACTTTCCAAAACATTACTTTCAGTAGCAATAAAAAATCTGCGTTTTAAGTTTGTATTAGAATACTATTCACGAGTAATTTAGAACAGTTTTCACATGTCGATCAAAGGCTGTTTCTCGCGACCTTATTTACTTTTTTGTTTAGTTTTGAGGTCGAGAGTGTTTTTATTGAACTTATAATAAATATCCCGTGTTTTGGGTTATGAAACTAAAAATAAAACATAGTTTTAAAGTTTTAAATGCCAGCAAAATCTTACCTCTTAACCTAGCAATCACCGGTTGTTCGTCATTCATACTCCATTTTGTATATATCTCGTAATTGTAAGTTTTTCCTTTCACCAGCGGGTAGTTGATATATCCACCATACACCTTACCGTCGCCAATCTTCACATTAGTTGGCGCTGTTAGAGTTTCCGTACTGAACGACGCTGCTACGTAATAAGGTATCTTAAGACGATCGGCAGTAACTTTGTCGGTCAACATTGTCCAGTTAGTGTCGCCAGCGGGTTCTCGTTGATCAACGACAACGTAATATCGTCTAAAACATATGTTAAACTTATTAAATAAGTAAATTATGAAATACAGTCAAGGTTTATCATTACATATATAACAATTATGCCTTTTTAACACAAAAAATTTTTCTTAAAACTTTGATAAAAAATATGTATTTAAAAACCTAAACAAAACTTACGTTACGTTCTTTTCCGTAGCAGCTGGAGCAATCGGCACTTCCCACCATGTTCCTGGTGCTGCAATGTTTTCTACCATGTAAGGTGGTGGTACAATACAACAATTCTGTTTGACTTCAGCAGATTCTGAAACCGCAATCTTTGAAGCCGTCTTCCATCGGTTCCAAACTCCATCAACTTTGGCGCGAACTTGGAAGGCGTACTCGTCCGGATGATGTTCCAAGTTGAAAACGACGTAGCACAGTCGATTACATGGGTCTTTCGGACACAATAAATATTTTCTGTGCTTTTCCGGCTCTTCGTTCCATACCAAATGCCGATTATTCAAATGGGCATATCGTACTTGATATTCGGTAGCCAAATCTAGTTCGACCGGAAGCCAACTCATCGAAACTGCGTAGTTAGTGACATCACAATATCGAAGATTTTTGGGCACAAACCATCCTGGTGGAAGAGTTGACCATGCTCCCCATGCGCCCTTGTTGTTATCTTTGAGTTGCAATGTGACGTTGTAAGTAGTTGAAGGATCTAGGCCTTTAATAACAAACTCTGTCGACGTAGCGTTGATTTCAAAAGATTTAATGGTGTTAATGCGGACGTGAGGATAAACGGATTTCAAAGACTTGGCCGTTAGCTAAAATAATAAATTTATATCCGCTACTGTATATAATATTTTTTGTATAATAAATAAAATACACAGCTTTAAAAAGGTACAAACTTACAATATAACCTCGATGAGTAGTTCCCCATACCGGTTCCCATTCCACAGTCAAAGTTGTTGGTGTACGGCTCTTTAACTTCAAAATGTTGCTTTCTCCAACAGGCAATGTCGATTCTGTAGTCCATAACAACTCGCCGTAACCTTGTTCAGTTCCACCTTGTACGGTAATGTTGTATATGGTTTCCGGAATCAGATCAGTAAATCTAATTGTCGTTCCTGGCACTGGTACCGTGTAGTTCTTGGAAGCTCCGGGTTGCAAAGTGTACGTGTCCAGAGGAGTCAATGTTATACGGTAATGTGTCAGTAGGTCACGGTATTCAGGTTCAAATATGTCTGGAGGATCCCAAGCAGCGTGAATCATGTTCTCGCTCTTGTCGATGACCCTTAGGTTAGTCACTGGACCAATGTTGACAATAGAAGCATGCTCGGCTTTTTCAGTTGTTGGGAAGTTGTTAGAAATAAACCACAAATTCTTCGGCCCTGAACGCCCAGTTACTGTGACATTGTAGTAGGTAGATGGCTCTAGCCCTTTGAAGTGGTATTCTTTTTGTTGTCCTCCAGTAGAATATTTCTTTGGGTTTTTGTCGAGTTCACTAGCGACCGAGATTGTCAAGTCGTACTTATCAATGTTCTCACCAATTACTCCAGGAGGAGTCCATCTAACCTTTATGTTATCGTGACCATTCGACAAAAGTACAAGACTTCCTCCTAATGGACCATCAAAAGCTTTTTTAGTTGTGGAGAAATGCTCTGTTGACCAAGGACCCCAGTTTCCAGATGCGGCTTGTGCTTGGACTGAAAATCTGTATGTAGTTTGTGGTTCAAGGCCAGTAACTTCGGTACACAAGTTATCAGAAGTCAAAATCGGGCTTTCATATCCAGAACAGCTTAATTCGTTTTCAGACAGTTCGATTTCGACTGGTTGAGAGTCATCAGCACGTGGACTATATTTGACCTTGTAGGCAATAACTTTAGTTAGTTCTGGATGTGGTGGTAACCAAGTAATCTGGATTGATGTTGGCTTTGTGCTTACTGTAGTTAATTCTCGAGGCGGTCCTAACTCGGATCCGGTTGTACGAGCATCAACAGGTTCTGACCAAGGGCCTTCACCTTGAGACGTGAAAGCACGAACTCGGAATCGGTACAATGATCCAGGTAGAAGATCGGTAACGTCTGTCTTAGTTCTTGGAGAAATTCCGTCACGTTCTCCTTTGTTCCATTCGTCAAGGCCAACGATTTCGTATTGATATTGGCTGATAACACCATTTTGTTCAGCACACTCTGGGGGTTCCCATGAGAAGCCAAGTTTAGTATCTTGGCGGTTATCAACACGAAGATTTCTTGGAGCTCCAACTGGTTTGTCGTCCTCAGTTTTGAACTTCCGGACAGTCTTCTTTGGTTTTACAACGCCAACAAGACCTGGCGGTAAACGTGGAGTGACAGTAACTTCGTATTCAGATCCAGGATGCAATCCGTCAAGCAATACAGTCTTGTCTTGCACGTTTTCGAGTACAATTGGTTCTTCGTCAACAAACTCTCCTTTGTTACAACCTCCTAACTTTGTTAGTTTGTAACTGATGTCAACACCGTAAGGCCATTCAGCATCCGGAACATCCCAAGTAAGTTCAGCTTGAGTTGGTGTTTTGGGTTCAATTTGAACAAAAATCTCGTCTGGTGGAGATTGCGTTGTCAAAGAAGCACGGTCACTCCATTTAGACTTTTGAGGCTCTTCTTCAATTGTCTGAGTTTGCATTTTGACTCCCCATTTTGTTCCAGGAAGTGTATCCAGTACCAACTCAGACGGTGCGTCTACTGGAATGTTAATTGTGCCTTGTGAAGTAGTGTTAGCATATTGAATAATGAATTCTACATTGTCGCACTTCCAGGTTTCTTCTTCTGGAGGTTCCCATGTTATCTTCACGTGTTCAAAATCAACGGATTGAATTTGTACGTTTCTTGGCGGCTCTTCAGGTCTTCCACATTTTGTTGTTGCTCTCAGTTCGGGACTTGGGTTGCCACGTTTATCTGCTTTGCCAACAACACGAATTCTAAAGAAGTATTCGGTAGATTCAATCAAGTTTCTGACTGTAGCTTTGTATTCGTTTTGGCGTGGTCTATGTCGTACTACACCATTGTGTTCTTGCCATTCGTCGTCAAGCTCCGATTTGTACTCTAGAATGTACCCAACAATGTGTTCAGCCAATTCGGGTTCAAGTCCTTTCCACTTTACACTGATGCTTGTTGATCGTACTTGGTCAAGTTCTAAGCCTGTTTCAAGAACTGGAATGTTTTGCTGTTCAGTCTTGGTGTTCAGTGGTTCACTCCAGTCAGACCAATCTCCTCCTTCTGTGTGTGCAGCGGCTTGAATCTCGTACTCTTGTTCTGGTTCCAATTTTGACACGCGATAACAAAGCCGCTCTCTTTTGTTCACGTCTGAGCATACCAATTCATGCGCAGGTACACGGACTTCTTTGTAGTTATAACGACCAGTTGGAGTGTGGCGTATCTTGTAAAAGTCAAGAATACCGTTTGGAGGATGCGGGGGCAAGAAAGATATTTCCAAAGCGTGGTCTAGTACTTGTTCTTCTCGTAAGTCAGTTGGGGGTGGTGGAGCCGCTGGTTTAGTTTGGAAAGTAACCCATTCAGAGAACGGTCCTTCACCCTTGCTGTTGAAACCACGTACTCTTGCTCGGTATTGCGTAAAAGGTGCTAAATCTTGAAGCGATACTCTATGAGTGGTAGTACGGTCTGTGATGTTTTGGCCGTACGGACTCAATGCCTGAACTTCGTAAACGTATCCAAGTATCTTTCCATGACGAAGTTCACATTCAATTTCGTGCCATAAGAGTTCAGCTCGAGAAGATGTAACAGACGTTACTCTCAAATTCCGAGGTTGGCCAGTTGGTTCGGCTTCTTCTGTCGTAAACAATACCGGCTTTGATTTTGGACCGGCTTTAGTAGTGTGTGCTGTAACTCTAACTTCGTAAGTAGCGTCAGGCAAAAGGTTTTCTAGGTTAATGCGTTTGTCTTTGGAGTGAACTGTGATTGGCTTTTCGCTCCTGGCCCCACATTCACCAATCGATTTCAATTGATATTCAATGGTGTAGCCGGAAATATCACCGTTTGTTTCCTCTGGTTCTTCCCATGTAACAACAGCTGTTGTAGGGCCATCTGGGTTTGCATTTAAGTCTGTTACAGCTCCAGGAATACCATCAGAAGTCTTAATTCTAAGCGGCTCACTCCATCCTGATGTACCAGCATCGTTTTCAGTCCGAATTTGTACAGTCCAAGGAGCATTTGGTGCAGAGTCAAATACGTTTTCTAGGCCGGGAACAACAACTTCACCTGGCCGGGTACCGTTATTGTACTTAATTCTGTAGCGGATTGCTGAACAAGACCAAGTATCTTTAGCTGGTGGTTGCCAATTAACACGTACTTGAAGTGGTGACGGCGAATTGATGTTAATGTTGTTTGGTGGCGAGCGTGGTGCTGCACATCCAGTACGTCCTTGAGCTTCTGGACTGCTATCACTTGGATTGTTTTTGTGGTCCACAACTTTGATACGAACGAAATACAAAGTATCTGGTTCTAAGTTAGTCACTTTTCCGTTGTAGTTAAGTTTTCCGGGTGAGTGCCGTACAATTTGAGGGCTTTCACGCCATACTGGTGTATCACTGTTTCTGTACTCTATTATGTAACCCTGGATACGGTTTTGAGCATCGTGAACACCAGTCCATTCCACGTCCAATGCGTGCGCTCCGTCTGGAGTGACGGTAGGTGCATTAATGACGGCTGGGACCTTAAAAACGTCAGTCTTGTAACGAGTTGAAATTTCTGGGCCGTATCCACGCTTTGTACCAGCAGCTAACGTAATGTTGTAAGTAGTATCTGGAGTAAGACCATCAAGCAGTTGGTCTAATTTGGGATGAGGAACTGTAACAGTTTGTGCTTTAGCGTATGGTTCAGCCATAGACTTGTAAGTAATTTTGTACTGTACAATTTGACTGTGTGGATCGTGTGGAGGCGTCCATCTGATGTGAAGGGAATGATCTGTTTTTGCAATCAAATCAATTCTTGGTGGAGCATCAGGAAGGACTTGTAAAGTATTGGCAATGATGACTGAACTGTATGGGCCATAAGTTCCACCTTCAATTCTTGCGGCTACTTTCACACGGTATTGTTGACCACTTTCAAGACCTGTTATGTTGAAGCAGAATCTTGGTGTGACACTAGGGCACTCCAGACGAGGATCTTTGGTGTTTACTTCAATATTTTCCCACTGATTGGCACTCAAAAGTTGGTAAGTAATCTTGTAAGAATCGTGCGGGCCGTATGGCGGGTAAGGTGGAAGCCATGAAATGGCAAAGAATTCGGTTCCTTCTTGAGTAACAACTAGATCTTGTGGTGGAAGCGGAGCGTTAGCTTTTGATGTCATAACGGCCAAGTTTTCGGTATTTGGACCACCACCAATAGTGTTGTAGGCTTTAACCCGCATAACATACTTTGTGTAAGGCGTCAGACCGTCAATTGTGACTTGAGTGCTTGTTGTATTAGCAATTTGACGTTCAAGTTTTGCCCAATCGTCAAGCCCAAGAATCTCGTATTCGTAGTTAATGATTTCACCGTGACGTTGTGAACAGTCGACCGGTTCCCATTGGAAACTTAACGAACGTTCTAGAGCATACGTTAATTGAAGATTAAGTGGTGGAGCACTAGGTGGTTGTTGCATCGTAGCGGCTTCTTTTGTTTCTTCCGGGCCAACTTCCGTTGTTCGGGCTCTAACTTTGACTTCGTACAACGAGTTAGGTAAAAGCCCCGTCAAGGTATAATCAAGATCTTTGTGATTGTAAATAGTGACAAAATCACGACTGACATCTCTTGGTTCTTCGTCGGGACAAGCTAAGCGGTGTTTTAGTCTGTAGCTGATGTCGTAGCCAACAATCGAACCATGAGCTTGAGAAGGAGGACTCCATTGAACGAAAATTTCATTGGGACTTTTTGGAGTTAATCTTAAGTTCATTACGGCTCCTGGTGCACCTTGACGAGTGGTTACCGTTTGTGGAGCACTCCATGGAGAGTGACCAACTTGGTTGCTTGATCGTACTCTGATTGTCCACCTGGTGTTTGGTTCTGATGGGAAAGTATAATCAGTACGGTCTCCTGAAACAGGCACAATTTGCTCTGGTCCGTCACCAATTCTGTAGCCTATCTCAATGTTTAATTGATCACAGTTCCACGTATTTTTGGCTGGTCTAGCCCAAGAAACACGAACTTCATTTGTTGATGGAGCATCAGCGCGGACAGCTTGTGGCGGTTGATCTGGAGCTGAGCATTTTGTGTGACCTCTGACTTCAGGACTAGGTGCTGTTGGTTGATTTCGATCAGAAATGGCAATGACTCTAAAGTCCACAACACTGTTTGTAGGCAATGGTTGTACAGTCGATGTATAAGTAGTGCGACCGTAATCGCATGGCACACGACGATCGTATTGTTGCCAAGCACCATTTTCTAGTTTGTATTCAACGATAAAATTGCTGCACTTGATTCTGGAATTCACATCCCACGCCAATGTTATTGAGCTAGATTTCTCGTCAATAATTCGAGGTGTTTGTTCAACCCCGAACACTTTTTCGGCGTCCGTACTCATATCCACAGTAACACCAGGATAGTAGCGAGCATTTGTACTGGCTTCTACCGTAACAGCGTATACAGTGTTAGGTCGCAGGCCGTCTACTTGGTACTGGAAGGTGTGGCCGTCAACAGTAAACGTTCGTGGTTGTTCAGATCGATCTCTTGGAGTCACAGTAATTCTGAATGCAGTACAACGAAGAAGATCAGTTTGAGCTACAGTCCAAGCAAACCGTAATGAACTTGTAGAACCACCCGTTTTTTGTAGTGTTAGAACTTTCACAGCTGATTCTACTGGTTGAGTTCGTTGAGGAGGGCTCCATGGAGTCCACGGGCCTTGTTTTGGTTTGGCCGAAACTTGGAAATCGTACGGTTTGTTTGGCTGCAAATTATCGATTCTACCGCAATGTGTTTGAGTTGTTGGGGTGCTAGGTGGAAGCTGTTGACGTCGGATGAGCTCGGCGTCACATGGGCTGTAAGCTGGAAACGTTCTTTGCTGATACTGTTGAGTTCCGGCTGGGGCGTATTGACATTTGAATTTGTCAAAGTAAGATGCCGTTCCTGGAGTTGTTTGCCAGACAAGATGGGCATCGGTTGGACCAGTTGATACGATTTGCGCCGGTGGCGGCACAACAAGACTTCCACGGAGCGAAGTTTGGAAAACAACCTCTGGAGACCATGGACCCGCTCCACGAGAAGTATATGCTCTGATCTTAAAACTGTATTTAGTTCCGGGTTGTAGATTATGAAGCTCAACTTTCGTTGTACGGATAGTGTCAGTAAAGCGTTGATCGAACGAGTACCTGTCGGCTGGCACAACTTCGTACTCATATTCCGAAATGTCACCGTTAGTGTGTACACATGGCGGAGCATGCCAGCTAATTCCAGCACTTGTGTCTCCAACTGTGTCTACACGAATGTAGGCTGGTGCTGCAGTTGGTACAGAAGATTCGGTTTGAACTTCTCTGGTCACTCGTTCTCCAGCGATGTTTGTCCGTGCAGCCACGCCTACTCTGTACTTGGAATGTGGCTGAAGTCCAGCAATTCTGTAAGTTGGGCCGTGACTGATGACCGTTTGAACCTGCCCAGCTGTATTTTCACACATCCCTTTGTTTACTAGCTGGTACGTTACCTCATAACCGGCAATTTGACCGTTCGGATTCTGTGGGGGTCTCCAACTGAGTTGGATAGAATCGTGCGATGGATACACTTGAACGTCTGTCACAACACCAGGCGAGGTCGACAAAGTTTGGGACGCTGTGTTTCGTGACCATCCTGAAGAGCCAGCTGAGTTAGCTGCTTGGACTTCGAACTGCCATTGAGTATAGGGTTTTGAGTCAAAAACAATTGACGTTTCCCCATTAGTCACGTTCTTGTATCCTTGTGATTCAGGACTGCTATACTTGACAACGTACCACAAATTGTTACAATTCCATTCGGCTTCGGAAATCGGCTGTAACATAAAAAAAATATAGGAATTAGGGAACATCACCAATTATAAATCGGCTAGTGATATATACTGTTTTGGTCAGCAACAAACTTAAGACATATAATACGAAAATTAGTATTTAACACCCTATACAAAAGTTACAGTATCCCAAAGGTTTTTACTATAACGGTGCAAATGTCATGTCTTTTGATTGATATAAAAAAAAATTACAGTTTTTAAAACATTTTTTCATTTTTTTAACACAAATTAGAAACGAACAAACATTTAAAATAAAAACTTACTTCCCAACTTAAACGAATCTGATTTGGTCCCAATGGAGCTACGTTGACGTTTGTCGGGGGCCTTCTCGGTAGATAACATTGACGACTAGTTTGAACACTAACGGATGGTGAAACAAACAGTTCAACTCCTCTGTTATCAATTGCCTTTACTCGCACTTCGTACGTGTTACCTTGAGGTAGCTCATTTAGTTCAACTGAATATGGACGTTGCCAGCCAGCGTATGATACCTATAAGTCGACAAAAAATTATAATTTTTGCAAAAAAATTGAGCTTTTTTTAAAAACGCTTTTTCATAATAATTATCTTTTTACATTTACATTAATTACACCACTCACTGTTTGTCTGAGAATGTTCCAGTTAGGTTGAGTTTGTGACCTCCATTCTACACGGAAATTGGCCACCGATTCCGGAGCATTCTGAAGGATTTTCCAAGACAAACGTGGAGTACCTTGCGCAGTGCTCACAAATGGTCCTTCAATTAGATCAGCTGTAGAAGATGAAGCCGATGTGGATACGGATGTTGACCATGGAGAAGCTCCTGCTGAATTCACAGTTCGTACCCGGACCGACCAACGTTGACCGTCCTGTGACATGAAAACGTGGCTTTGAAGTTTCCCCTCAACTTTGATTGGTTCGGCGTAGATTCTTGGCTCGTCTACTTGAACTTCATAGTTGATTTGACCGCAGTTCCAAGTGTTTTGTGGTGGTTGAGCCCATGTTAAGCGTACGTGACGAGCATCAGGAGCATCTAGTGCTACATGACTTGGTGGTCGTGATGGAGGTTGACACACAGATTGAGCCGACACTTCTGGACTTGTGAAAAGAACATAGGAGTTTCTGTCCAAAGCTTGTATTTGAATTTGGTAGTTTCCGCCGACTAAAAGGCTGGTAAGTGCTTGGCTATAGCTTTCGTTATCCCCAACATACGGCACAATTTGGCTAAAAAAGCTTTATAGTTACAAAAGCAAAATTTTTTTGAAAAATTTTTAAGCGGAAATAATTTGTACGTCAAAAAAATCGTAAGATTATTTTTTGAATTTCAAACATAATTATAAAACAAACCCATAAGGATTCCAACCGGTTGAATCAGAGCGGTACAAAACTCGGTAGCCAAACACGCCACGTCCGCTGCCAATGCTCTTCCAGTGCACAGTGAGCCCACCCTCACGGCCCTGCGAGACGTGCGGTGTAGAAATCAAAGCTGAAGCAAACATTTTGATTAAACGAAAACAGGAAATATGAACAACACAGCATTACAGGGACGAAAGAACAGTGGAAAGAAGAACAAGGAAACACATCGGACATTAAGGTAGACACTCACTCACGTTTTGCTCGGACATTCAGCAGAAAGCAAACTTGAAAAATAGCAACAAGAAAATGTTTATAAAAATGTTCTTTAATATTTTTTACTCACAAAAAAAGTATGAATTTGTTTAAATATAAATGTAAAACAAAATAATCCAAACGTATGAAATTTTTATATACTTTGTCATGCCCCAAAATGTTTTCGTTGTTAAAACAAGAAACTCAATTTTTATAACGTGAATATAAGCGCGATGAAATTAAAGTATTTTTTTTAACTTTAAGCTCTAAAATGTTTTGGTTAAGCACAGAAAGGTTTGAATAGACAAAGCACACAAAGAAGCACAAAACTCGTTGTTCACGCCACAAACCTCCGCGGGAATGGTCCGGGGATCCGTTAAAGTCATTGCCTTCGCGGCACCAAAAATCTGTACGAGGATCACAAATGGAACGACGAACACGACGGTGACTTTCAACACCAGCACCTAGAGATTGAAAGATTGCATTTTTATCACCCAACAGACTTCCCAAGACTTGAAAAAATATACGTTATTGAACGATCAGTTAATAAACGTGCTTAAAATTTTCTAATACAAATTATAGAAAGACTTAAAAAACAAATTTCATTGCATTAAAACAAAGGTAAAACTACAACTTTAAATCCGGTAAAATAAAAAAAAGCAAAAAAAACTTGAGACGAAAGGACTCTACAATTAGACAGAGGTAAATTTACAGCCTTAGAAATTCAGATTTGTGATGTTAACATTCGAAACTTCTAAAAAGCCAATCAACTTACATAAAATAATATTTTGTCGGCGTTTCTTTATTTTTCTCAAAATTAAAACTAATTTTTTTAAAATCCATATAATAGTATGTTAACGTAACCATCTGAACTTATAAGTTCTTTTATTCCAAACCGGAACATCTCTAAACAAGTTTCAGTTTCTTACCTCCGCGATGGATTTGGCCAACAATCGGAGCACCATTTTGAACTGAAGCCACTTCTTGTGCTCCAGTGTGAATTGGAGCACTTTGTCCGTCTAACAACGGCGGTTGAGGTCCTTCACCAACTTTCAAAAATTCTGTAGCCGGCCCTGCTCCCAATTTGTTAGCCGCACTAATTCTTAGTTCTACGCTGTTGGGATTCTCAACTTGAAGGAAGTGTTCACGAGCTCTACCGTTCACAATTTGTTGCGTAGCGCCATTGTCTATCATTCCGGTAATAATAAAGTAGAGGCTGCATTGGGCAACATCGGCTGGATAATCCCAAATCAACTTGACGCTGTTGGCGGTAGCTGTTGTAAGTTGCACGTTTTGCGGAGCTTTGTCAATTTCTGAAGTATATTAGTTTAACTTATGTAATTTTTTGCACAAAAAATGTAGTAGTTTTTTACGACACCAACAGAATGCACTTCAATGCCAATAAAATATAACTCACTTTCACACTGATTAGACAAAACTTGTGGCTCGGAGAGAGCCACATTTTCAGCATTTGGCCCTATAGCCCTTATTCGTAAATCGACTTGGTTGGCCAACAAAGCCGACCGGTCGATTACTTGTTTATAAATACTTTGAGAGCTTGATGCCGGCACATAATTGCCAGCCGGCTTCCATTCATCCTCCTTTTCGGTTCTTTGTTCAACTTGATAAGCTCGGACTTTACTTTGGTCTCCCTTTACCGACCATGCCACGCTGACTTTAGCTCCAAGGTCTTGAACTTTAGTGTCAGTTACGGTAAGAGGTTGTGAAACTTGTTGATCTGTTTCAGTAGCTTGCTCAGGGGGTATTACTTCTTCTTTACCGTCTAAAGTTAGATTTTTCAAAAAAGTCTCTTATATTTAACGAATTGTAATACAAAAAAAAATTTTTCGGAATTATAATAACTAATAGACAACTGTAAATTACAAAAACGCCACAAAACTAAAGAAAAACACAGCAAAATTAAGTAACGCACCGGCCTCAACCAGAATGAAGAAAAGAGGACTGCCGTGCGAAGTCCAGTCGCCTGATTTTAGCTCATAGATTAGCTGCAATTAAACAAAAAAAATTATAACACTGCATAGACTAAGCCTACATCGCTGGTGTATTGATGTCCATATTCTAAATCTCGTAAATCGTAGCAAAAGTCTTCGGCGGCGGCAATGTTTTTTGGACAAACGAAAAAGCTAGCCGGCTTCTGAACGCTTGTCCATGTGAGGTCTTCGGCTTTCTTATACGATAACCTAAATACTTTGTTAGTTTTAGCACATTAAACACGTTATATTACTTAAAGCTAGCAATGTTGTCAGTATGCTTCGTTAATGGCGTCCATACCAGATACGATCGAGGTGATGCCAGTACGATTCGCAGTCGATAAATATTTTCTGCTTCTAAAGGAGGTTGTTGTTAGGATCCAGCTGTGTTTCACACAATTTTGGGTGTTAAATACTATAGCTTTTGAAAAGCAATCTTTCAATGTTTTAACTAGTTTCAAAAACTGTACAATGGAAAATTGTATTCTGACAAGTTGCCTAATTTTGTATGTATCTACGCTTATATTAGCGCATTCCAATACGATAACATGCGTAAATTTTATGTGGAAACGAAGCGTGAAGGATGTAATGATTAATTAAAGAAGATCGTTAATGCCTCAGGCGTTAAAAGCCTTTTTATAGTACCTTTTTTTTAAGTTTCCGCAAAAGCTTTTACGACATAAAGAAAAAAGGTTACAACGTATCATTGTTAAAAGTGAATTCAAGGCTAATCATGGCTAGATCGTTAAAGAGGTTGTTAATGCGTAGTGTTAACACATTACGCCAACTTTCATTTTTTGTTCGTAAAAAACTCAAATTCTTTTTGTTTATTATCAAGACAAATTTAATTTTTTATCGAGAAGGTTTCATGTAAACAAAAAGAAACTTTTGTTTTATTTATCATCAAAAACTTAAAATTTAATATAATATTTTTTTCTGGTTATAAAAGACGTAAAAAGTTAACTTTTCAATATTAAAAAGAAAAATAATTTGACGTTTTATTAGTTTTGAAGCGTGTTAACTTATTAAACAAGTAAATAAAGAAAAAGTTAGCAAACAAACCTTGAGGCATGGCATGAAAGCCGAGTTGTCGTTGACGACACGACGTCCAAAATACCGACATGCTTTGTATATGAAATAAAATAGCAATGGTTAGTAATTAAAAGTTAGTAAACATACACACAACCAAAAAACCAAACAAAAAAATATTTTCAAGGTTGTTAATAAAAAGTTTTAAAATGTCAAGCATGTCGGTTAAAATACATTAACCTAAAACATAACTTTAGCCTGCAAAATTATGTTAATTTCCTACTGTATCAAACAGAATATAGAAAATCATACAAAACTTAAATTTCGATAAAACTAAACCAAAAAAAAATAAAAAGTCATAAATTGAAAAACTTTTTAAAACAGTCAATAAAAACATTAAAACAATTTTTTTAAATTAACGTTTCAAAGCTTTAAATTATATCAAAAAATACAATTCATAAATATAATATAAGCCTACCAGAAGCATCAGAAGTAATTGCCTCTACAATTTCAGACCAAGGGCTGTGTCCATTGACCAAACGAGTTCGTACTCTAAAGCCAAAGTTCGTTTCGGGTGCAATGTCTTCAATTGTGACGGTAGGGTTTGGAACAAAAGAAGTTTCATCAACAATTCCATCATCTTTCTTCCAGATCTATAAATAATATAAAACTAAAATTAAAAACTCCAGGTTAAAGGAAATTAAATGTAAAAATTTGCTATTTAAAAAAATTAAAAAAAAAACTTTTTTAAAACAAAATACCGAATATTCGTAACCTAAGTCACTATCATCATTTCCTTCACATTCAGGCAAGTCCCATGTATAAGTGATAGAATTCTTGGTTGATTTCGCCTTCACGTTCTTTGGAACTCCAGCTAAAGAACTGCACGAATTTGGCTTCGAATCATGAACTAAAGCTGACTTTGTTCTGGCCAAAGCTCTTTCATCGTCTCCTATCAGTACGACGCGAACTGCAAAAGCAGTACCCAGTTGGTTAGTCTCGACCGAAAAGCTGTCTTCACCATTAAATTCACGGTCATTCTCAACGCGCTGCCATTTAGTCGAATTGTCCGGCTTATACTCCACAATAAATTTCTTTACCGGCACTTCGGTAGCGGGCTTTTTCCAATGCACTGTATATTGCGCACCAGAACCTACCACTACTGGGGTATCAGCAATTTCTTCAGTTGGCTGGTCAGTGGTAGAAAATACCAAACGATAAACACGTTGTGGTTCGTGGTCAACGTACGCAATCACTCCGACTTCGTAGTCGGTGTTAGGCGAAAGATCGTTGAATTGAAAACTATCCTTTTCAGACTCAACGCGAGCACGTTCAATTCGTTGAGGAGCATCGTCTTGGAACTCAACAAGAACAACCTAAATAAAGATAAAAATCAAAAAATAACGTTGAAAGATGTACCAGAAAATTACTTTATCAAAAATAATTGATTAATCTAAAAAAATTCTATAGGTAAAATACCTCATAATGTTGCAAACGTTCGTCATCCAAATGTTGCCAACGAATTCGAACATCTTGATCGGATCTGTATTCGACATGAATATCTGATGAAGCCTTAGGGACTAAAACTATTTTATAAGTTAATATTTAAGTATGATTATCCTATTGAAATAACTCAACGATTTATCTAATAAACAAAAAATTACAAATATTACTTATAAAAAGCCAACAAAAACAGTTTCCTGTATATATCAGCCTTTCTTACCTTCTCCTTTCGTAGACACCGTAACCAGCTCCTCATTCCATGGACTAGTAGCATGTGAGCGGTCAACTGCTCGAATCCGAACCACGTACTCAGTACCACTCAACAAGTTTGTGACACTTGCCGATGGTTGAGCAACAGTCATACGATGAACATCAAAACGCTCATTTTTGAGGCCGCGCAGTTCAATTTGGTATTCACCAACACTACCGCACTCGGGTGGCTGCCATGCCAAAGCTACGCTGAACTTTCCACGTTCTTTAACATCAACGTCACGCGGGGCTGTAATTTCGTCACCATCGCATTTGATACTGACAATTTCGTTACGAGCACGAATTTCCGGCGTTTCTACAAGGACTTCGTTCTTATCACCCAGTACCTTGATGCGCACAAAGTACGAAATACCTGTAGGCAGCTTAGGAATCTAAAAATATTTTTTTAAATACATTTTATTTAAGACGTATATTTTTTTTGAATATTGCTTTTTTATGTTTTTTATCTACAAAGCAATGTTTCCAAATATAATGTTGTCTTCACTTTTTCAACACAACCCCGTTACTGTATATGTCTATAGCATTGTTTTATTTACTTTTTGTTTCAAAACCCCCCGCACTTGCAACTATCAGGCTGTTTGTTGTTTAGAACATTCCTGCGCCCGGGCGGGGTGGAAGAGGTCGCTTAAAATAAAGACATCACACGTCTCTTTCCAACCGCCTAATTGTGACATTCCCAGCGCGACCAGGCGAAGAAGAAAGATGCCAGGAGATGCGGCGATGGTGGTGGCTGTAAACCTGTTTCTACCCAAACCGAAACTGTTTAAAGAAACGCAAAGAAACTGTCTTGAACGATTGCGCATACCATGCAGCCACAACTTGTGTTGTAAATAATTAGAAATTGTTGTATTTGTCAACAGAAGATCATTTTTTGTGATTCATTAGACTTAACTACAGCGTTTTTTACCATAAGCCTTAAATAAAAATGGTCCAATAAGACCCCCTAAGAATTTTTTCTAGCGTTTGTATTTTATCATATGATCTTTGCTCATCAAATAGGTTCATCTTAAAAAAACTGACCTGAACACGATACTGATGATTTGGACCTTTGTACGGAATAACACCAGCGTGCACGTTCCATTGATTGTCCTTTTCGGCACGATACTCAACAATAAAGCCGCGGATACTAGAGTCAGGATGATCTCCCGATTGAATACCTTCCCATTCTACTGTTAACAAACTCTCCGTTCCTCGAACATCACGCTTAGCTCGAACTTTTTCTAAAATTGTTCACAAGTTTTAATCACAAAAAGTAGGCTTTCATTAGAGAAAAAATTTAAACCAGCATAAGTAAAAATATAGAAATTTAAAAAGAAATCAATAAACATACATACGCAAAATCAATTTGCTGATAGTTTTTAAATAAAAATAATTAAAAGCCTTAAAAACAGTTAACTAAGTTTAAATTTATAATTATCAGTGAAAAAAATTTACCAGCTTCAGCAAGACTGCTCGAAAATAATAATGTAGCCCAAAAAATAACAGTCCAGTACCTCCATGGTCTTTTTCGCGGACAGGGCGCAGTGGAGTTGTCCATCGCCCTGTCAATGGTCTGACCCGATTGGTGACTAAAATGTGCCATTTAGTACATAAATAACCCAAAAATTGCACAAAACGCGAAAAAAAAATAAAAATAAAATTATATAAAAAGTCAAAAAGTTGAAAATTTTAAAAATGCCGTTTAAAAATACGCAATAAATAAAAACTCTTTTATTTATAAAATTTTCTTCATCATGTTTTTTTGCTTATTAACAGGCATAAATATTTTAATACGTTTAAAATCTTTAAATTAAGCTTTCGCAAAAAACGCCAATTTTAATATTCGTGCGCGAGAAATAATTTCGTTCCTTCTTAAATTAGTTTAAAATTATCTGAAAATTTAATTAATAATTATCTTCTAACTGTCATAACAAAAATTTTAGTTTTTTTTGTTAAAGATGCCATAGTTTACAAAATATTCGTTGAAAAGTCTACCGAATGGTGTTGTCACATTAAATATTGAAAACCAACCATAATAAAAAACTTTTAAAATTGATGTAGGCATCGAAAAAAGTGGATACTCAAAATTAGCTATCTTGTCAAGATTAACCACAAACATTTTCTATAATTTTCCTTAACTATCAAAATGCAATAAATCGCACCTTCAGTCTAAAGCGTACTTCATCATGCCCACCATTGATTAAAGAATCCCCTCTGACTTCGAACCCCTACCATCCTGTTAATGTTTAAACCACTCATAAAATTAGCCGAGTGATTAGAGTTGCCTCATCCCTCTTCCCATTATTCCATCATCAAAAAAAAAAAGAAAAGTGTTTCAAGCCTCCGCCCCGGACTTCCTCACAGAAATGGAAAAGGCGGTCCCGCCGTTGATGAAAATGAAACCGCTCCGAACAGAACCCGCTAATAGGTTGGCTGCCTCAACAAAATTGTACATGATAGCGGTCGAGAGCAGCGAGCAATCAATCCCGGAATGAATAGAAACGAAAATACAAAAGATTTTTTTTAATTTGTACGAAACCGCTTTCACTGGTATGAAATTTTAATAAAAGTTCACGTAAAGTATAAAAACGAGATTTTACAATTATTTAACTTTATAGCGAACAATTTGTAACCTAAAAACTGTTGATAAGTAAGCCTAATTTTGAATTTACATAAGCTAGAAAATAAAGTTAAAAGATTTTTGACTTTAGCCATTTCGATAAAGAACTAAAAATGAATACAAACTGTATGTTAGCCTCAAACAACAAGAAGCAACTCGCAAAAAACACAAGTCCTGTAAATTTAAAAAATATAAGTTCTTAATAATAAATCAGGAAAGAATCCATCATCATATTGTAAACAAATACGAACAGGATTTTAATCACGGCATAACGGATCAAGCGAAACCGTGAAAACCAAAAAAACAAGACAAGCTTCAGGGTTGACAAGACTGTTACATTTTAATTAATTAAGGAAATACAAAAGAAAATGCGTTTCGATTCCAGTTTTAAACTCATAAATGTTTAAATTCTTTTGCAGGTACGAACGTCATCTAACCCTAATTTAAAAAAACGTTTATGACACTTTGCAAGGTTCAAGAGAATTTAATTACGTTAATTACTACCATTAAAGTTTGTATCATTTTAAAAATCCTATGTGAACATCTCCTAATTTTTTGTAATAATATTAGTAATACAGTAAATTAAAAAAACCAGCTTAAATGAAAAAATGCAGATTATAACTTAACAAACGAGTTTTTTATTTTTAAATTTGCATGAATAGTTGAGATGTAAAAACAACAAAAATCTCTAAAGCTCATATCATCTCGTGTCAAGTTTTCATTCAAATTACCTTATTCCCGTCTCCCACTCTTGTCGCGCATCCCGTTAAAACAAAGCCAGGGTGATTTAAAACAAATTAGAGCTCTAATGCTTTCGGATCCGTACGACCAAACACACTGGAATCAGATTAATTAGCGTGGGAACGTTTAAAAAAACCACTGCCGCGTAGGGGTTTCAAATACAGGCGCGCGCCGAAAGTGCACCACAACAACATGAAGATAAGAAGTGGAAGGAAGAAGATGGAAAATAAAAAAAAATATCGTGTAGTTTTGGAAAATGGAAAAAAATATCGTGTTGTTGAATTCACACGATCTTTTTTCATTCGGATTTTCGAGAGCCGGCAGTCATGTTTTGCTACCGAATTGCCGTTGTCGCTTGTCGCCCATTGACCCCGCGGGCGACACCTTTTTTGTAACACGTCGCTAATACAAAGCTCTTCAGGCGGAAAGCGAAAACGTTGCGAGAATTTGAATACAACGCGCCGTTTATTTTAATGTTTTATTTTGTTATTGACTTTTTGCAAATAATTCATAACAGCAAAAATGGCTATCCCCCATAAAAATATAAAAAGTAATAACTAGGTAAATTTAATTTAAGCACAAAAACACAATTTAACTATATAACATGACAAAAACACCTTAAATTTGTAAAATTATACATTTAAAGTTTTCGCTAATTGGATTTCTGTTCCTAACAAGTGCTCATTAGCATTTTTTAAATTCCTTTTTCTTACAATATTCAAATAGCCTCTTGGATTCGCAAGCCCTTAGGGCCGCGCGCGCAACTTTTTCCCAATCAAATATTTGGACAAGCAACAAACGCGCTGTGGAAAAGACACCCGGTAAACGCGCAATGTAAGCGAGCCCTGGAAAACGCAAAAATTAAGTAGTTTAAAACAAAGGCTATATGATAATATTATATTCAGTGTGTTTAGTACCAAAAATTTAAAGGAAAGTATTTCGGAAAAAAGTTTTCTAAAAATGAAAAAAGAACACTCAAGTCACAAAATCAACAAAAATATTTTTTAAGAATTTTTAAAACAAGAAGGCTAAAATAACTGTAACCCATTAAACCAAGAATACCGCTTTTAACCCTAAAAATGCGTCAAATTTGGCTTTAATGATTATAAAAGTACCAACAGGCACGGCAACAACTAATAGATGCGCAAAGCCCGCAAAAAATGTATTATTATTGTACAGCCGAAGGTCGAATGATAAGACCGACGTGTGGGATTAATCTCGAGCGGTTTCGTGGTGCGCAATTACCGGAAGGTCAATTAAGGTCGGTCATCAGTTTGTGTTTAGATGGAAAAAAACCGATTGCCACTCCCATCACGAAATCCGCTGCATCTTTTTGTTGACTTCTGCGCAATTTTGGATCGAAATTTTTTATTTATGCGTTTTTTATCTTTAGTACAAAAAATAGTACCGCCATATAGACTATAAATTAAAAATTAATTTTATGTTTGATGTACATTAAAATTACAAACAAGCCTCTTTGGTACGAACCTCGATAGTACGACACACTCTTTATAACAACCGATTTTCGTACGCCCCTAGTAATAGGCCTCCTACCAAAAAGTACCTGCATAGTATGACAATCAACTTATAATCACATTTGTTTCAGTCTTTTGAGTGTTAGCCTAAAGAGATTTGGCTGTGCTAAAATTAAACAAAAAAACTAAAAATTACAAACAAGTGACCATTATAACCACTTAAAAATAAAATTCAAAAAAAAATTAGTTTTGCGTTTAAATAACTATTGTTGTTGTTTAGGCTTCAACATTAGATTCTTACCATCGCATTTTTCTACCCGTCAACGGGTAACGATGACCCGTTTCGCTGTAAAAATGTTCCAACCCCACATTTTATTTTCAATTTTGCGCACCGTAAACAGTTTAAAACAACAATTGTTTTCCTTAATTTCATATTTTGTTGTATTTACTAATTACTCATAGAAAGTCACAAACTCAATATTAAAAGAAAAAAAAGAAATAGGTGGGCTGTCTAACTACTCAGAAAGGTCTACAAATCAAAACATGCCTTTTCTACTTTTAAAGTAAAAACCGCGTAAAAATTTTCAAAAATAAATAGAAAAACGTTTTTGCAAAATATTTGTTAAAACTGTAAAATATATTGTTGTAAAAAATGTTATTAAACAAACACAAAATAGGTCATTCGAAACAAAAATACAATTATCTCTTCTTGTCAACGATCCTTGAAGACAAGCCCTACGGGTCAAGAGCATTGCCTCAAGAGTCTCGTCATGAAATAAATCAGGCCAACAGCGGGGATCTAAACGCGCGACATGCTGCGGGCCTTGAGAGATTGTGCGTGGGAAGCTTGAGGTGAAGCAAATCAAGCCCTAGAAACACGTTAAGAGTGGATATTTAAATGTATCTAAACTTTAATATTTAAAATATAGTTTCTATATTTTAAATTGTTATTTTTTTACTGCTAGAATGTTAATTTTTAAACTATGTTACTTTCTATTGCAACCTGCTTTTTAAAATAAATAATCCTTGCTTAACCTTGCGTTACAAATTTTTTAAAACTTTTTTTTAAGCTGTGAATCATAGTGCGGTCAAGCAAATTGAATGCCAGAGTTAATAAAAAAAATGATTTCAATGGATCGCCGTTAACAGTCGTGTAGACAAAGCAAACAAAACTCAAATAACAGCAAAGTAAGCGTAAAAATCTCTTCTAAAACTAAATTTTTAAAAATTTATTGAATTATAGTATGGCAAGTAAATCAAAAGCTAAAATATACAGTTATCAAAAATTTTATTTCACCCCTCTTTCAAGACTCCCTCTTCCTAAAAATATTTTTCTCTATCCAGTTGAAAAAATTTATCGTCTTCTGAAAGCAATTGTAGCTTGATCAGGTCTCCTGTAGCGCGCTTAATGAGCACAGGCGAAACTTTATTTCCCTTGCCTTACATAAACCGAAAGAGCGGCATTCAATGACGAACAAAAGCCAAAAACGGCTGAGAATGCCCTAAAGTAGCAAGATTGAAAGACGAAATCTGCGGCTTAACGCTATATGAATGTTCCTTATTATGTGATTGATTTTCAATAATGTTTTGTAAAAAAATTCAGGTTACAATGTGTCATTGATTGATGAAGTGGAAAGTAAAGAATAGCAATGTCCAAGGAAAAAAATTTTCAGCTTTTTATTTTAGCCTAATTGTAAGAAAATAATTTATAAAAACGTTTTTATATATTAAAAAAAATCAATTATTCCTAGAAATTAAGAAACACATTTAGTTAATTAAACTTATCATAAAGAAAGAGAACGACAACATAATGCGCCGCTTTCATTATCGACATCATGAGAATAATTTTTTGTAGCATTTTTTTCACGAGTTTATCTGCGCCACAAAACTTGAAAATTTAAATTTTAAGCAAAAATACATTAATGAAATACAAATAAAGATGTCAGAAGTGAACCTTATTAGCATTTACAAAATTAAAAACTATTCAAATATACACAATATATAGAAAATTTTTTCTCACTGCCATTAATGATACAAAAGATTTGAATGATTCGGCAAACAATAAAACGTACAAATCTAGTAAGCAAAAAATAACAACACGAGTGGACCTTGGTCAGCTGGAAAGTAATAACAAGTAAGTGAGAAACAACCCTTATCAGGTGTCTAAGGCCGCGCCTCCAACTCGTAATTTAGTGTGCGATTACAACACCAAACAAGCCCCAAAACCTCATTAAACGACAAGCAAATTCGAGGTCGTAAATGTGTCGAGAAAACCTATAGTTAAACGTTTAAGTTTGTGATACTATGTTGAAATGTTTTTAATTTTTTTGTTAAAATTGTTAAAGCCTAGACGCCAAAAACTTGGTTGGTTGATATGACATATAATATGACATTATATAACCAATCCAAAAAATTACATTTCTTTCGTAAAACCTAAAGCAAAGGCAAAGAATCGCTTTTTGTTAGCTTTAAATCGATGACTAACATTTTGTTTACTTTATACTTTTACTTTCTTGTAGTATCGAGTGTTTAGTAATAGAATACTCTGACAGTTTTAAGTGCTTAATACACATCTTCATTAATATCTTGGTCGTACATTCAAGTTAAAATTGAAAGTGATTTAAATGTTTGTTAAAATTATTAAGCTACTTTAAATTTTTACGTTTTTGTAAACTCTAGGCGTTTAAAACAAAGTAATTATTAATAAAATTAAAAAAGTTCAGATAAATTTCCTAAAGTTGACAATATGATTGTATTGTATAAGATAGTTTTGTAAACTTTTCCAGTTTAATACATCATTACACTTTTCAGCTACAAAAATAATGAATTAATGAAATATTTTGGTATTACTCATCTTTTTGTAAAGACCTTTATGTAATGACTAATGTTCTGTTGTTTACCAGGGTATAGTGTGTTTAAAAAGCTTAGGTATTAAAAGTTCAATTTTAAAAATCATAATATTATGTGTATGACATAGTTAAAGAGTACATCTACAAACAAGTTAACCGTTAAAAACAAGATATAAATGTAATACCTAGAAAGTATATGTACCAAATTAACAAAAGCCACGTTAACTTTAACTGTTATTTTAATTTCCACTGATGGGTTCTTTTAAGTTTTTAATTTATTTGTAAGTTTAAACTCAATTTATGATAAAACCTGAAGCAGTTTTAATTTAATATATTTGATTCGTTAGGAATTAATCAACAAAATAAGCCTTAGATCACACAGTTTAGTTATGAACTTTGCCTAAATTTGCAAAAACAAACAACTTGTTTTTGTTTTTTGATTTATTTACTCTTGAAATTGAACTTTTTAATTTATGCCAAGTTACGCGAAGAACCGTTCCATCAACTTCACCATAAGAACAATTTATCAGTCGTTGTAACAATAAAAAACTCGGAAAAAATAAATTGAGTCATCAATGTGATTAAAGTTTTAAATTTTTTTAATTAAACATTTAAAGTACTCTCATTTTTGCTAATTGTATACTTTCGCTTTAAAACACTAGACTAGTTTTTCTTGTAAATTAGAAAGATATTAAATTAATTGCCGTATTGTTATGATAATTTTTTTAAAATTATTACAAAACTATTCCAAAATTAATTTAAATTTTATATTAAATTAAAGATGGATTAGAATTGTAGTGCCTTTATAGCCTTAGAGTGATTTATACATCGTTGCGCTGTTAAGCATTGACTCAAACTTTTTTCTTCTTATGAACTAGCTGCTGTTTCAACATAAAATAGCATTTCGTGCTTTATTTGTCTCAGGTTCATAAAAAACCAGTTTTTGTGAAGTAGTTTGGGTTACGGAAACAGTTTTTTGTCAACGTCTCCAATTCTTTTGTGATGTATTATATGATAAGTTTGATGAGTGTCTCGACGCATCTTCAGATGATTAAAGGGCAGATCAGTGGTGAGATAAGTATCCGTTCTTTAAAGGGGTCTTTTACCTATAGCAGTCATTTTCGACAGTACGGTGACTCCAACTAATGTTTTTTTTTAATTATTACAGTTTATTAACCTTATTTTATCAAGTTAAAATTTAAACCAACGAAAATTAATTTTATAAAACCGACAAATATCGCAAATATTTATTTTAAAATTAATATTACACAAACTACAAGTATCTTTCTTATATACAAAAAATTAACAAAGCCATAAAATGCAGAATAAATGGATAGATACACGCGATAAGGCCGAACATAACAAGAGTATATTGTTGCAAGTAAAGTATGCCTCTAATGCCGCTAAATAAATACGTGAACAAAAATTTCAACCTTTCTGGCTAAAAACTGTTGTCAATACAACTTTAAAAATTTGCATCTACTTACAACAATAATTTAGAAAAAAGACATGTGTAATGTGTTTGGACGCAGTAATAGAGACTAAAACAACTAAACTACTACGCAATGTTATTGCACTGCAAGGGTGGGATCAAGGAATTTGATAGTATTCAGCTAGCTACAAGAATTGAGGGTATTATGAATGTGAAACATTATGACAGAAACATAGTAAAAAAGGTAAATAGTCTAATATAATCAATTTGGCCTTCTAATTCTAATATTGTAAATTAGGCTTCTAACAAAGAAGACTTACAAAGCTTATACTAATGTGAAACGTGCCAAACGATATTTCAATTGTAAATCAACTATATACGACAGCGTGAGCACCGGCTCCGGGAGATCATTAATACCAACTACTATAGTAAAACACGTGAGATAGAGTATGATTTGGCTAGGTTTTCAAAAAAATCTAAATTAGTACTAAGCAAACATAATAGAGCAAGAGAATAAGTATTACAATTATTGGTAATGTGAAAGCTATAAGAGCTAGTAATGCGAATAATAAAAGTAACGGAATGCTTAATACAACAAAGTGAACACAAGCTAACAACCATTATTTACAGTAAGTGAAGCAGAGGTAACATGTATTTTACAAATTTAAGCACTATTATTGATTTAATATTGTATAGTATAATCAAATTGTCTATGTCTATCATCACTGACTTAAAATTTTTTAAAATTTTAAAATCCTAAAAACAAATTTGTAATTACAATGTAAGCCGATAATACTAGTGTGTGCAACAAAAGTGCACTTACGTAAAGCCTACTAATTGTTCATACGTATAAAAAGTACAAGCAGCAACATGCTAGACATAGAGAACAAAATTGTTTTAACGCAGTTTCGAAAACTTTTAATGCACGCAAATAGGACCACCCTCAATAAGCTCTATTAGCATGATAACATCAACATGTAAGTGGTAAGTGTTGACATATAAGTGTATAAACTGCTTTTACCGTAGTTTATCTTAAATTTTTACTAAAGTCTATTTTACTTAAAAAATTAATCCCTAGATTCTAAAGTTCAATAATCTTTCCACGCTTCCCGCATTTTAAAATCTGCTAAAAATGTAAAATACAAATTTGCCGCTAACAATGTGCTCCACTAAAGGTCTAGACAAAAAATCATTGAGTAAACTCTTTAAGAATCCATTTAAAAAACTTCGAGTCAAACTCCCGTTTTGCGTAGTCGGCGTTCTCGAGGCCGTCGAATCGTCCGTCCTGTTGAAAATACGTGTGTGAGCCACGGATTCTGAACGCTTCGTGAAAGTTATTCGTCGTTGGCGTATTGTATTCACGATGCAAGCCGGCAAAAAAACTACATAACACTCCACCTGTAAGAAAATTGATAAACTATCAATTTTTTAAGTTTTTAAAATCAGGCTATAAAATTGTTTTCAGTAGCACTTTAAAATATAAAGAAGTCGTATTGCCAAAACAACCCTGCAAAAACGTACTGTATTCACTGGCCAAATCTCGTGGAAACTTCAACCTCTGTACCAACATATTTTCGTAATGACTTTGCACATCATTGTCATCCGAACACAATGGCAGCAGTGTTTTGGACAATTTTTTGTCCAATTGTTCGGCTTCACTCATCTCTTCGAAACCAAAATCCCCATCGATCACTGGAATACCATCTGTTAATACTGTTATCAGAGAAGCGAAGCGTTTTTAACTTACTGTATGCGGTGTGCTTCTCCACTCCAATCTTTTTGGGTAATACTTCAGATAAAAGCCAAATGTACAAGCATAAGTCAGAAGCGCCAACTAAAAAATTTAATATTTTTTATCTTTTTTTTTCATTTAAAACTTTATTGTAAGAAAATTTGATACCTTATAAATTTACTTTTTTCAATAACCTACCGTAACTCCAATTAATAGCGCATTTATCATCCAAATCTAGCTGCATTATATCCAAACTTTCTTTGGGATAAATTGGATACATAATAGCTTGTTGTTTCTTAGAATGCCCCAATCCCAATGTGTGACCAATTTCGTGGACTAAAACGTGCGGAAAGCTAGCCCCTTCCTTCGAGTTATTTACATGCCAATTTTCGTAGTCGTCTAAATGAATGTCACCGTTCAAATTTCCCTTAGACGTGTGATAATTAGGGTAGAAAGTGTGAGCCAGGATATTAGCACCATCGCTACCGGGACCGTCAAAATTGTTTGCATCACCGTGATCACCTTCAGCCCACAAAATTGTAATGTCGGCTTCGTCGGCGTTGTCGGCTTCGTCGAATTCGAGGGTTAGTGACTCCATTGAATTGATTTTTACTTGCGAAGACCATAATTTAAACGCTTTTCGAACCGTTGCTCTAAAAAAATAATATTGGTTAAAGAAAAACCATACAAAAAACTTTTTGTATTTTTAAAAAATTTTTTGCATTTTCCAGTAATTATAAAAAATCAATTTTATGACATTTCATTTCTCTAAATCCTATGTTTCGAAATTTTTGTTATACATGTTTTTGCGGATCGTGAGTGGAATCCGGGTCATCCTTTCAATAGGCCGACGCTCTTTCCGAGCTCCATGTCAAAAAAAATTTTAGGTCAGGGTCGTTTAGCAGAAAGAACATGAACGTTCACAGAATGTGCAAGATGCACCATCATCAACGTTTTTTGTTACAAATTATGTTTTCTACAAAGCTAATTTTAAGGATTTAAAAATTGAAATTTTTTCAAGTATTTGTTAATAAGCTTTATACCTTTTTAAATAAAAAAAGCATTTTACTTCAAATAAAAAATAAGCTAAAAAACTTTTCCGTTCTGTGCAAATTCAACTATAAAAACAAACATAGTAATTGTACCATGTCGCTCGTCATGTACATGCTCGCAAATTCTTTGAACTCCTCAACCTAATTTTTTATAAACGTTTCTGTCCCGAACACTAAAAATGTAATTAAACGGTGCTTGGAGCCGGACTGCACTTTGTGGGGCACCAGGCACGAAAGATAATTGAAGAAGCGCTTGACCACTCGGCCAATCCCAGTGGCCACAAGAAAACTTTTTCAATTTTTAATAGCTATGAAACCGTGTTTCACTTACTTGATGTCAGCACGAGGTATATCCTTGGTGTAGTTTTGAATAAACCATTTCAACTTGAGCTGATTGTTTTGCACACGGTTTTCCCAACGAGCAATGTAGACTGTAAATATTCACATTTAAATTAAAAAATAAATTAATATCTGTTGATAACACGTTGTGTACGATACTGTACATATTCAAAAAACGATGACTCTTAAAAAAAGATCCTCATTTTATGTCAGAGATTATACACTTTCCTACTATAAACACTCAAAAACGGTATTAACAGTACACAGTAAATTTTTGAAATCATTAAAATGATTATCACGACTTATCATCGTGTAGGGTTAAATGTCAATTACTACTGTTTACAATTTTCAATTACAATTGCAAGGCTTACACTTTAAAAAGACAAGTGTAATGTCTTGGTAGCAAAAAATTACAAAAATTACCGAAACGTTTCCGCCGTTCGTTGCTACTTGACACATCGGCGTTTCCACATCGTGGTTGTTTCATTTCGTTGAATACAGTATCGTCAAGTATGCCGGTCTGTTTTAGGCCAACCATATCTTGAAAACTTTTAATCGCATTCCGAAACTCGCGCGGCGTCGGATGCGACGTAGTCAGATGTCCAAATCCTAGTAAATATTTCTAAAATTTTACGCATTAAAAATTTTTACGAAAAATAAATTTCATAAATTTTAAAAAAATCTTTAAAATTTTATTCAAACTTTTTTATAAAAATTTAATTTTATATCTATATATGTTGTTTAAAGATAGTAATTCAAACATATTGTACCTACCACTGCATACTTATGCTTTGTACTATCAAAATTTGCGTCATCTTCAATCCATTTGTAATTGAACAAGCCCAAGTCCATAGATCGTCGTATACGCGATTTTTGCATTGGTGCCGCCTCAACTACGCTTACCACCATCAGCAACAAAAATAATGTGCTGTAGAGGGAAGCGAATGTGTTTGCCCAATGGAACGTCTCCGATGCACGTTGCTGCATTAACAACGAACGCATCATTAGCCGACGGGTCGACAAATGGAGATCGCTGAAATATAATCGTTGAGGACTGGCAAAGAGGGACGAGCGCTTTTCTTCAAACTCGGCCCCGCCCCGCACACACCGCCCCTGTTTACAGACTCAAAACCACCCAGGAGGAAAAAATGTTTCTAGTGGTCAAATCCGGCGTTCTCGCGGCATTTCTAGATTTGGCATCAGGGCGGAGCCAAAAGTGTTCATTAAAAATTTTAAATATTGAACAGTGATAGAATAAAATTGGCTAGTAGATAATAGCTATTACATTGGAACTCCTGTATAACGAATCGCTCAGGGACTTGAAATGTGTTCATTATAAAGGGGTTTCGTTATATAGTAGTTTTATATGCACTGTGTAGTGGTAGACGGGGAAACATTAAAAAGGTTAAAATGCAAAGAAAACGCTTTCCTACCCTACCGTTCCATCACCCCTCCCCTCTCAAATTTACGTAATAACGCATTAAAAATTAATTTTCAAAATTAAAAATAAACAAAACTAGGCGTTGATTAAATTATTTTAAAAGTTAATTAACATATTAAAAATATTGGCATTTTATTTACTGTAATTTTAATATTCATTTCTTTAATAAAAACAACCGCTGTAAATTTTAAAAGAATAATAGAATAAAGATTAACAATTGTACGAAACAAAACACATAAAAAACAACATATAATTTTAATTTGAAATTATGTCAAAATTTCTAAACTTAAATACGAGAAGAAATCGTCACCTAATATAACTTAAACAAGTAGTATTGCATACAAGACAAATATCCTAAATACGCTTTTCATTTATATTTTGCACACTTTTTTTAAACCTTTGAATTATCACAGTATCACAACCATAAAAACTAATATTTTTTATCTTTTACTACTGCACACCTAAAAAAACCTACAGTACTAAATACAGCTCAATAAAGTTCGCAAAAACCAAAGAGTTATACTTTGCAAAAACAAAAAAAAAACTAGAAATTTTGTTCAATTACTTCACACGCACTTTTTATAGACAGACTTAAACTGTGTGGAATTGTGGTGGACACGACAACGCAACTTAAAACTTTATTCTTACAGGTTAATGGAACGGCGCGCAGGTCAATGCCGATTAATAACACGCTCTTTAACAAGTTAACACGCTTCTTAACAAGTAGTGCGATATTTCACACTAATTTTTTATTTCTGCAAAACTATTTATAAATACAGTTAATAAAGTTCTAGATTTAAAAAAGTAGATCACGCCAAATTTGCACGTCGTTTTTACAGATATGGCAAAAATAATTAAAAAAAACAAAAAGTACACAAAAATTAACCCACAATTTGTTTTAATAACCCATTTTAACTCCACGAGGCCATAAAACGAACAATAACATAGAAATAAAGAATTTTGAAAAACGCGTAAAATACCGATCAAAACGTCTGATAGCATCTGGAAGGGACATTTCAGGCCCGAACAACCCGCTTCTCCGAACGCTGCCTTAAAGAAAAAAGGTGAAGACTGATCGGAAAGCACCTCTCAAACAATATCTACTTTACTGAGTCAGCCAGTATTTGCACGTTTAATCAAGTCATAGGTATGCCATTAACAAAGCTTATTTCTTCCGCGTTCAAACGTATGACAATTAAAACACTATTTTTAGTTATTAGAAACTACCATTTCTATCTATTCTTCTTAAATTTAATGTTAACTTGATGCTGAATTTCATTCCATAACCTCAAGCTCAGACTTTACACGCATTAGAAAACATACAATTAATTTCAATATCTTGCAAAACACTTAAAATAAGCTTAAAGATACAAGGCAATGTCTGGATATTAAAAACTGTTTACACCAGTTTGCATACAAATGCTAAAAATAAAACTTGAAACATATTATGTGTGGCCATCAATTACTTTTTCGTTTCGAAGTACACTTGTCACAAGATAAGGTGCATTGCCGAAATAAATCAGCACTCTTAACTCAAAACTGCGTGATAAGCTCGCTTGACCTTGTCGAAGAAAAGAGAAAGCTGCTCACGTGGTAATGCTTAAAGATTGCAATTTATTGCCGCTCATCCTTGACTATAAATGGGAAGCTAATTATTATAAATGGTTAAGAAACATTCATCTAAAAAATTGCGGACTTTTGTCAATTTTTAAACTGAGTCATTGTTAATAAAAATAATATCTTAAACTTTTTCCGTTTTTTAAACACAAAATTACAAAGTACAAACTGCCGTACTAAGATATCAGTCAAATACTAAATGAGCTCACAGACACAAAACAAAAGTTAAGTTATTTTAAATTTAAAACATTTATTAAAATTGACGTTTAGAATACGCGTTAAAAAATTGAAGTACAGCTTAATGAAGAATTTTTATAAAACACAAAAACTATTATAACAATATGCATTTTCAAAAATTTCTGTTGTCAAACCCAAAATAGTGTTACGGTAATAAAAAAAAAATACAAACACTTAAAAAATATATTAAAAGCTGAATAAAGTAAAAACTTATATTAATTAAAAAAAAGAAAAGAGTGCTGTGATCGCATACACAAAATAATATATAACCACATCTTTAAATGACCTTGGAGTATTGTCGTTTGGTCTCGCGACAAGAAAAAAAAATATTGAACTCACCATTCACTTTCAAGTTTGTACATGGATTTAGTTTTGTCGTCACAAATTTCGCGACATTGTTTGCTCCAAGTGTGTAGACTGTACGAAACTAAGAACCGATAATTTGCGGCTTTGTTACTCAAATGATTAGATTTGTGACCAAAGTAGTAGTTAGTCAGGTCCATGATTACGAAAACTATAATAACAAATTCTTAAATTGGGACATAAAACCTGGTAGTTATGTACGATGATCACACGACTAACGCTGTCCTTGAAGACGCCGTATGATAAATCGGGAGAAACGGCCTTCCTCTCAACTTTTCCCAAGTCTGAGAAACAGAAACCGGTCATGAGGAAAGTGTGGACACTACGAAACATTGGTTTCAGTAAGGAAATTAAAAAATTTTTAACAACGTTCGTATTGCTAAAATAAAAAGTTGTAAATTCTAGTATAAAGTCGTAGATTTTGTTGGTAAGTAAAGATTAGGAGCTACAAACATATTGCGCAATAAGTAAATGAAAAGCAAGAAAAAGTTAAGTTATTTATAGTACATTGAAACATAATCTTTAATCAACGAAATTCAAAAATGAAGATTGAAAAATAGTACTTGAATTTAAGCATAAATTAAGAATAAAAGTGGTTTAGACTTCTTCAACATTTTTGTAGTGGGTAATCAGTTTGGCCACTTGGTTTTTCAATGAACCGCTCCCGGGTTGATTGTGTCCGTGCCTAGTATTAGTTTACTACAATTAATAAAGAATTAATTAAGTAGTATATAATTTCTAAGTCAAATTGTTTTCATTGTACAGCATCTAGTGACGTAGTTTTTATATACACATACATGTATGTGTAGTTAAATTATTTTCAAAAGTAAGACAAAAAGCAGCATGCGCAACATTTACATCCGCTATTCAAATGTAAACAATAATTTGAACGGCGTACAATTTAGTGTCAGTCATTATGTGCAATCTTTCGTCTCGGCTTTCGTCGGGTCTCGTCGAGGGATTCAGTATTGAAGACGGTAATTAAAATAGTATTCTTAATTAATTTGACTAGTCACACGTTTTTTCATCACTGCACCGATTCAAATATTGTTAATTGATAGCGGTTCACAAATGACTGTATTTCAAATACTGTTTCCAGTATAAATCAAATAAAAAACACTATAATATACATTTAAAAGACGTAAATTGTTTCAGGCATCATAGAAAGAAAATAATAAGAAAATAAACAAAAAAAGTAAAAATTATAAGGTTAAAAAGGAGTTTTAGATCTTCTTAATCACAACTACTTCGAACCTTGTGACATTGTTTCATTAGATTATGACACATCATGTTTTTCCAAACCATAAGTCGGATTTCTACCTTCCCGGTTGTAAAAGAATATTGCTCAATAATATACGAAATACGGTTTAAGTTATGTGAAGCTTTGCTTACACTTTCATCAATAGCAAAAAGATTTTGTTTTCGCCTAAATATTCAGTTTAAATCCTAATTAATTTGTAATAAAATTTTTTAAAATACTTTTAAAAATTTTTGTGTTGTTGCCATCAAAAGCTTTTATTAACCTTTAGTTTTTGCACGCCTTAAGCTGGGATTACAAGTTTACAGCTTTTTTGTTACATATTAGATTGTTTCACTAATTTTAATATTTCTTAACCAAATTACAAAGTTTACAACAAAAGATGATTACTAGAGTTCTGTGGTTTTTAAAGCGCCATACATTTTCATAGTTTCCTTAAATCAAGCCGATTTACTAGTTTCGTTAAATTTAAATACGCAAACATATAAACAAATTTAATATTTTAGACTACGTTTGTTTATTGGTCATTGTCTCAAAGAAGTTCTTTCTAAAGTGGTCTAACAGGTTTTTTATTGAAAGTTTTTATCCACAGTATATTTAACTAATATTTTTGAAGGTAATATTAATACTTATAAAATATACAATTTAGCGGTACAAAGCTATCACTAAGCTTTAATTAACAGTTTTTTAGTATCACTTTGTACTCTTCGGAAATGGCACAAAAACTAAAAAAGCGAAATACAGTGACACTGTGTGCACTAGTATTAATCTCCTTACAAGCAAAATTAAAAGAAACTATTATACGAGGACAACCGTAAAATAATTTTGTGACTGTCACCGCGCTTTCTAATATAATTGGCCGATCTTAAAATGCCAAAGATTACTTGCATAGTTTAAAATTTTTGCAAGATATAATATATACATTTTAATTTATTTGTAATAACAACGTAAAATAGACGTGCAGTTCGCGACGCTAGGGCGCAGTCTGAGTATATTTTAACTAGAAAACTCAAAAAGCGGGACCGAACGCATGCACGTACTTTTTAGCGGAAAGGGCAATCCCAATGGTCTTTAGCTTCGTTACCTTCTGTTTTTTGATCACTTTACGTATTTTTATGTGAAGGTTTTAATAAAAAGCACGTTTTTCAACTTGGGTCCGTCTTATCATTTCGTTGGTGGAATGATAGGGGAACTTCTCAGCTTGTTTACACTGCCTTCTTTACTTACAACGTGTTATTAAATTGTATTATGCGTTTGGTTATCTTCGGGGTGTTTTTCGGGTTTATAAGATTATGCTTGAGATTGGATGGAACACGGCGCGCTACTTGTAAAATATAGTTGATACCTCATAATCTTATCCGTTTTTAGCAACTGCACGTAGTTTGATATTATGCGTTTAAAATATCCTTTATGTGTAACTTTGTAATAGGAATGAAATTTTTGGCTATTTTTTAGATTATCAATTATTCTTGCAGCTTATACCTATTTTTTGGTTTCAATGTTTTTCATAATTATTGGTTCTTTTATTGTTTATTTTACATTTTTTTAATTTTAGAAATGAGTTGTTAATTGTATTTTATTGAATATCCCGTCATGATATCCCGTGCTCTACGTCTCAACAGCATCAAGTCGCGCCATCGGCGTTCGCTGCATATGTTTCGCAATACAATATCGAAGAAGTTGGAGCATTACAGTCAGTTTCAACCTTCAGCACTCACAATACAACAGTACCTGGATTTTGGACTAAATGGTACGGCACAATCGTCGTACTTATTCTTGCGGAAGGAGTTGTTGGTTCGACTCGCTAATATTATGCAGGTAAGCTCATATTATTGTTGTTTGGTTTTTAGATAATTGAAGTAAGTTCTATGTTATGGATTATACTTATTTGGTTTACCCAATATGTAAAATATGTTGCAGGAGATAAACCTTTTACCTCCGATGCTGTTGAGAATGCCTAGCACTAAAATTGTAAGTGAATGGTACCAACAAAGTTTTGACGATCTATTGGCATTTGAAAGTGTTGAGCCGACGTTTGAGCAAATTTCAGTGTAAGGTTTGTTTGTACTAACGTTCAGTTGATATTTTAGGTAAAAAAATTAGATGTGTTTATTTATGCTTTAAATAGTATAAACTATATGTTTGATTAACAGTTTCGATCTTTTTTTAGTTTTAACGACACATTACAACAAATATTAAAAAGACACGGGCATGTCGTGGAAACAATGGCAGAAGGGTTACTGGAACTAAAAGAAGCAAACGGTGTAGATATAGCCAGTGAACGTGGTATACAATACTTTTTGGATCGTTTTTATTTAAACCGTATTTCGATACGTATGTTACAAAATCAGCATTGTAAGTCTTCATTTTTTGGCAAGTTTTATTTTAGTTTTTAAACGTTATGTTATGTGTGAATTATAGTGGTCGTATTCGGATCAGTATTGCCTGAGAGTCCAACTCACGTTGGATGTATTGATCCGGCTTGTGATGTAGAAAGCGTTGTCAAGGATGCGTACGAAAACGCGCGGTTTTTATGTGACAGGTACTACCTTGCAAGCCCTGCTATGAATTTGGAATGCCATAACACAGTACATCCTGACAAGCGGATTACGGTCGTCTCGGTACCATCTCATTTGTATCACATTATGTTTGAGTTGTTCAAAAACGCAATGAGAGCGACTGTTGAATTCGTTGGGGTTGACGAAGATCTGCCTCCAGTGCACGTTCGTGTTGTTCGAGGAGCCGAAGATTTGTGTATTTGGGTAATTTAAAAAATATATTTTGTACTTCTATATGTAAGAAATTACAATGTCAAGTGCTGTTAAAAGCTTTATTTTTTAGATTAGTGACAAAGGTGGCGGCGTTTCAAGAACGACTCTGGAGAAGTTGTTCAACTATATGTACAGTACAGCACCCCCACCGCCTCGTGACGGTAGCCAAGCGCCTTTGGTAGGTTTTCGAAGGAAGCGGGGGCTTCTGGTGCGTCTTTCTTCTTCCTCTATCTGTATACTTATTAATATATCCTAAATTAATCTTCCTTTTAATGTATTGTATACACTTAATGTTTAGTATTATACTAATATTATTAAATAGGTCTTTTTCAAAACTTTTTGTTAATCGATCTAATATTAAATATATATTTTTTGATTCCGCATACCATATTTCATATTATTGTATTTTACAAGATTTAATATACTTATATCATAACTTTTTTCATTTTTCAGGCTGGATATGGTTACGGCTTGCCATTGTCTCGGTTATATGCCCGCTACTTCCTCGGCGACCTAAACTTAATGTCAATGGAAGGATACGGTAGTCAAGCCTACATATATTTGAAGGCTTTACCAGTTGATGCCACAGAAGTATTACCCATCTATAGCACATCATCTCGCCGAACACTCACAATGGGCGCACAAGCAGCTGACTGGTCACATGTACCTCCATCACAACGCCATTAAATGTACATATACAAAAATCACTTTGTGATCGAACTTGCCCATAGATTTTTAAGATACTGTAGATAGAGACAATAAATTTTTATTGTAACATAAGACTTTTCCTCCACGTCCGTCCGGGGCGTTGATTTTTGTACAATTTTATAATTATCTGTGAATTTGTTCAATCGTAAACTTTTTCTAGGTGTAAGACACGTTCATCTAGAAGAAGTTTTCCGATGTTTAAAATAGAAAAAACGTAATGAAAGGTTTTTGTTACAGTGATCAATTTTTATTATTAATGTTGTAGGTCATAGTTCTCGATACGAAAACAAAGCTTTCTTTTTCTTGGCATTGCGATAAATGCGCTATTTTATTGGAAAGTAAAAAAAGAAAACTATATGAATTACTTTAACTATTAGGGATTCATTCATAATATTGTCTTTCTAGTTAAATGGGTTATGAAAAATATTCGAAAAGTGAACTTGATCATGAACCTCCCGGAAAATTGTATAGTTTTTACCAAAACATTGAAGGAGACTTGAAATACGCTGCACTTTTGGTGTTTTGCACATTATTATCATTGTTGTTACGAAGGTTTGCGTCAGCAGAGTTTAGAGTAAGATTTGACGGAATAATTGGATTTTTGATAAACGTATACGTTTCTGGATGGACTGTTTTCTATTCGTTACTTTGTGTAGCGGCACACATTGCTTTGTACCAGCTTGTGAAGGATCCCAAGTAAGTATTTCACAGGTTTTTACATCTTTTGTTAGTTAACAGTTTTGACAAAGACTTTACTTGTTATTTATGTAATCAAAATTTTTAAATATTACTTGTAATTAACATTTTTTAGGAAGGTTGGAAAAATATCTTTTGTCGGCACATTTTTGTACCTTGGCTTACTTCGTGTAATACATTATTTTGGACTGCCGCAGCTGAAATTTATTACAAATGCGATCCAACTTATTATGACATTAAGGGTAAGTATATTTAATAATTTAGGTTTGAATGTTTAGGTTGTTTGTCAAGACTGTTATACTTTAGGTTATTGGCCTTTCTTACGAGATTTCGGATTCGCGCCAAAAATTAGTGGACAAGCTGAAGGAGATTGAGGAACCTACACCCTTTGAAGCTTTCAACTACCTTTACAGTTACACAGGATTGTTCACTGGGCCGTACTACTCGTATAGAACATACGTTGATGCACATGTTTTGCAATTTCATGCACAAGCACCTCACGTTTTGGACTTGGTAAAGGACAAATTGATGACGTTGAGATGGTCCGTGCCTTTGTTGATTTTAATGAACATTATTGCGCCAGTTAAAATACTACAGTCGGAAGATTCAGGCGACTACAATATTGTTGTGTTGTTTTTACTGTCGGCGTTGGCATTTGTTTTTCTGCGAATGCGAATTTATTCGGCTTGGGCGGTTGCCGAAACGATCTGTATCATCTCTGGGATTGGTGTTTATGATCATTCTTATCATTCTAAGCCAGGCATTGGACCTACTAAGGAACCAGAAGTTGGCGAAACTGCGCATGGTTTTGATGCAAGCACGATTGACAACTTAGATATTCCTCATGTTGAACATTCAGATGGCTTCAGGAGTGGAATGAGAGCATGGAACCGAACCGTACAATTTTGGTTGGCTCATTTTGTTTATAAAAGGTCTTCAAAGAAAATTAGGTAGTTTTTTCATGATTATTTTAATCTTTTTATTGTTAACGTATTTAAAAAATTTTTTTTTGGTTTGTTATATTAAATTTGTTGTTACTGATGACAACAATAATTTTTAGAATGCCTTGGACGATGTTTATTAGCGCATTTTGGCACGGTGTTCACCCTGGTTATTTCTTATCCTTTTTGACAGTTCCACTATGTACGGCAGCTGAAGATGTGATGTTTAAACGGTTTCCAGTTAATGACGGTAAAAGGAATCCAACATTCGACTTTGTGTAAGTTTATTTGGTAGTTGAGCTTTCACAATTTTATTCATGTTTTTGATAATTTTTTACACATTTGGTGTTGGGGAAGGGATAATGTTCAGTTTAATGAATGTCAAAAATTATGGTATTCCACATTATATTTAACAACGAATATTATAGATGGCGTTTTATTAGAACCAGAGGTTTTGAAATGATGGCATGTGGATTTCTCTTACTCACGTGGACCGATACTATTAGATTATGGAGAAACCAGTACTTTTGGCTGCACTTTTTGATGGTTGGAATTTTGGTATTTGATAAGATTTATCCAAAGGCTGCTCAAAATACATTCAAGAAAGATGACTAAAGATGTTATATGATTGATATAATTACTCGTATTTGAACTAGATGACAGATATGTAGGCTTTATTTATATTGTATACGTACCTAGTGAAGAAAAGTATTAAGTTTTTACTTTTTTTAATTTTATAAAAATATTCGTTTTGTAAGAAAATTTAAACTTATTATAGACGCTTAACCGGCTTGCCAGATTTAGCTAATAAATTTCTTTAATTCACCATTTGTTTTATATTATTACATATAATCGATTTCAACGAAAGCAATGTACAATTCTGATTTTGTTTGAGAACAAGATAACCTAGCTCTTTGCTCGCGTTTCTTCTCCTCCGGGCTTGCATATTCATTGTTTGTCTTTTGAGGGACATTTCCACTTTTATTCTTCAGGAAAAACCGCGACGGTAATAAAAACCTCGGTTCTTGAGATCACAACTTCTTCACTTTCTGAATTGCAGATAATCTTATTTTTGGTCTGGGATTTTTTGATAATTTAAAAGAATGCTTAATAGCATAAATTGAGGATGAAATGTTATCACCCGCCGAATTAAAAACTTCTATCATTTGAATTTTTATCAGATTCTTTTCGACAAATTTTCTGATAATATTGTTTTCCTGAATACTTAAAAAATCAAAAATACTGGGCCCAAGACGTTTACTTTTGTTTCACAATATCGCATACAATAGTTATTTGTTTTAAGATTCTGCTTTTGTGACGAATTAATGACTAAACCTTAAGACATGTTTGCGACACAGATAGAAATCATCGTTTTAAATATAATGTCACGGCCCAATTTCAAGCAAAATTTAGTTACTGAAATAAGCGTAAAAAGTTGTAATATAATATATTAGTTCAAATATTCCACAAATTTTCAGTTTGTATACTTAGCTTGCTGTAAATACAAGCTATCATATATTTATGTCATCATAAAAATCTTAAACGTGACTTTACTTTCTGCTCACTTCCGATAAAACTGGCGACCAGTCTTGAAGCGATGCTTACATTAACATGAATCAGCACGTGATTTGATTTCTGTTTGTTTTTTGATTGTTTATTTGTACAACCTCGATTTAAGATGCCGTATCTAAATGGCCGAAGAGTGGCGTCAGTTGAAAGGTTTACCGAACTATCATTTGCCTCTTCCGATCAACAAACGACAATACCAAGGTTGGTTCATTACTATTCTTTTAAAAATTTAGAAAAGTAAAACGTATTAAGTCAGAATAAAATTGTTAAATCCTGTTTTTATTGTCAACTTTTTTAGCCGTCTAAAATTTTTTCTCCTTTTCAAGGGATAAATTTTTTTTAGTGAACTTTCAACAGCAATCGACGTCCACCGAATGTCGGCGGCGCCGTCATCCTCTGAAATTCAACCTCAAAGACCAGAAGGATTCCAAACTGCGCCAACCCGGTCAATAATTAAAAATCCCAATCGTTATCAGAATACCCCACATTCTGTGACACAACAAAATAATGCAGGATATCCGAGACAACAACCGAATCAGCCCAACTTTCCTCAAGCAAACCAAGCCAATTTTAATCAGCCAAAATTTAATCAATATGGCCAGAATCAACAGTATCTACAAAACGATCAAGTATACCGGTCGACAATAGCTACACCGTCCCAAAGTCAGGCATTAATTCCTCATCAAAATCACAAAAATGCAGAAAGATTGGCCGATGTGTATTCAAATTCTGATGATACTGTTCAATTCGCAGGAAATCTGAGGTCTTTTATCAACAAACACATTCCTTGGATGGTATGGATTGGACTAGGGATAGTCGAGATCCTTGCTGGGTTAATTTCCATCTTTATTGGAACTTACAACTACTCCATGTGTGAAGTCCAGCCTCTGATACCGCTCTACCTTATTTTGTCTGGGTCTGCACTGATTTTACACGGCATCGTTCGAACAGCCAAAAGCATACCTAAACCGACTAACCAGAGGACTCAACGACTACGTAAAACTTCGCTATACCCGGACTTGTTAATGCATGGCTTGGAAGCGATTGTACTTTTATACATGCTAATATGCGTTATACTTGGCAAGTATTTTTTAAATCTTAATATAATATGAAGTAAAAAAGTTTATAAAATTTTAAAAACATTTTATATACGAACTAAAGACTTACATCTCGTTTGACTTTCCAGGATGTGTATGGGTATATGGCAACCGTTCTCGTTACGTCCAGTTCATAGTGATCATGTTTGAACAAGACTATTGTGACCAAACGTTGTTTTGGACGGCTTGGTGGTCAGTAACACTTCATCTAGTTGTATTCGGACTCTTAATTTTGGGAATTATTTTCATTCTATGTTATGGATCTATAATCAAGTCGTAATTAACAAAACAAAGTGCCATGGTTGTAATTATTCACTAATAAACTTTTTTTGAAATCGTAAAATATATTTTTTTCAAAACTTTGGCCAATTTTTCCTAGGTGATTTGTGAGAGTGCGACGGCGGCGCAGTTCGTAACAGCGAGGGCGCAGGTGAATGACCGTAATGAATTTCCTTTTTTTCAAAATTGTTCCGAACGTGGCATCATTTTGTGGGAAAACGTCTTGTCAATTCAAAGTTTGAACAATATCAGCTGAAAGTATGGATCAATACGTTAACCAGGCAAAGATACGTCGTATTGTTAACAGAGAATGGCCAGAACCATCCGCTAGTAGTGATCCTCCGAGTAAGTTATCTTTGTTTTTTAGTTTTTTTTTCAATTTAGGACAGTCTAAAAAATGCCTGTTTTTTGACGTTTTAGAATATTTCTGAATTTATAATGTATCAAAGCTTGTTTACTATATAAAAAGACAGGTTTTATAAATATCAGTTTTAGTGTAGAATAATAAAGGCAAACAGATTTTATCCTTTTTGAGAGAGTTTCTTTTCTATCGTTTTTTGAATATAAATACTTTAATTTTGTTAGTTAGAATTTTTATAAAATAAACATTTTTAGACTTGAAAATATACATAATAATACAGCTTCTTTGATATTTTAGGTCCTCCGGCTTGTGGTGATGGCGCCCCGGATTCAGGGATTGATAGTGCCAGATCGCCTGCTCTAATTAGACCAGTTATGAGGACAAAGCATGTATTTGAAACAACTTCAGCTCACGATGCTAGATTTGACGCAGCAAATTTGTTTTTTGAAACAGTCACAAAAAAGTATGTTTAAAAAGTGTTGAAATATTTTTTAGAGGTATACCTACTTGGATGGCTTACATTATGGCGTTTGACTTTGTAAAAAAGTACGAAGGACAATTGAACTTGGGGAAAGTCGAATGGCAAAAGAGTGTGTATGAGCGTGTTACTAACAAATTTACTGATAATGTCATTCGTCGTACTAACGATTACATGCATGGAGTTCGGGCTAATGAAAACTTGATTCCAGGTAAAAATTAAATTTGGTTTTATGTTTTATTATTTAGAATATCCTAGAGCGTTAGCTAATTTTGAATATTCGCTTTCGTCTTCAATTGGGTCTAGAAGAAGTATGGAAGACAGGTTTGTGGCTTTACCTACATTCGCACTTGTTGAACCCGAAAGGACCAAAGTCAGTTTTTTTTATTTTGAATACAATTATATATTCCTGAGTAGCCTAAACGTATTTACTTTTTTTTCTGTTAAAATTATTTTAGAAAATGTAAAAAAAAATAATTTAACAATTTTCAGGGACGCAAAAAAAGACTCTTTATTTGCCGTGTTCGATGGTCACAACGGACCATTTTCTGCGATGTACGCTGCCGCTCATTTGGTTGAATCTTTCCTTGATGAAGACGACGATCCACTTGCTACAATGGATTACGCGCTCCGTTCTTACTACCGAACTAATTCACGGCTTCGACAGCGTTCTATGAATGAAAATGTCAAAAGTGGTACAACAGCGGCAATCACTTTTATTCGGAACAATGTTATTCACATGTTGTGGGTTGGCGATTCACCAATTATGATGTTGAACAAGGATGGGGTGTCTACTCATTCGTTTAAGCATGTTCCGGACTCTGAGGACGAGTATAAACGCATCACGGAAGCTGAAGGATTCGTTTCGAACGGACGTGTTAACAACGTTTTGAACATATCGAGAGCAATGGGTGAAATGTTGGCAGAAGAGCTTATTATACCAACTCCTGACGTTAAGGAGCATAAAATTCAGGAGGATGACTATGCTTTAATTCTATGTTCCGACGGAATCACCGATGCGTTGGACGAAAATGATATTTTTCAACTTTTAAAGAACCATGCGAAGTCGAACTTAGGTAAGTCTTTTAAAGCTTCAAAGATTACTTTTAAATGTATGAAAATTGAAAAGTGACATTTCAATTTAAAAAGTCTTTATTTATATTTATAATTTTTCACCGTTTAGGTTACGATCAAGTGGCAGACCTAATCAGAAGACAAGCTGAAGAGAACAGCAGCGATAATATTACAATATTGGTCATCTTCCTCAAGCCATACGCCGAATTTGTTCAAGCTTTTGGCCAAGATTAAATTCTCACAAAATTTTTATTCACCTGCAGATTCTCACTTTCCAATAGATGTCATTAATTAGTATCAACCCGAAGAGAAATTTCTATTCAGCACTGTGCCAAGTGTATAACAAGATGGGTCGTTTTTAACGGTTATATGTATATATTTAGTTTTGTCACTATCCTACTTACGGAGTAAACGTGTATTGTATCACCAAGAATTTTCATTTGTTTTGATTGATTTTTTTTTCATTTTTAGATTAGTTTACTTTCCAAGTTTACAGGTTAAATCTATTAATATAACGTATCCTTGTTGACTTGTTTTGTGCTCAAAAATAAAGCTCCTTGTGGGATAAAACAAAAGCGTGTCAAGAGTTCATCTGGTCCCACTCAGCTCTAACGTGGGGGATTTGTTTGCGCAACAGAATCCGTGAATATTGTGCAGATCTCGTGTGTTCAGCCGCTCATTTTTCCTTTATGCTAGTCGTATGAACTTATGTTATAATATGTTCGTTTGTAAAGTATACTAAGGTTTGAAGGGGTTATGTATTTGTAAAAGGATTTTTACTTTATTTGAAGAGGGTTTTACTATAATATTAACAGTTTGTGTCACGTATTTGGGTCAATTTTGGGAAACTGCTAAAGGAATCTTTTTAAATTTTCTTATAGTATTAGTATCGACATTGATACTTTTTTTCATTTTTTGTACTATAAATGTGTTTTGGTTAAAGCCATACTCATATCATTTACTTAAATACTGTACGTATTGTAATTTATTTGTGGTTTAATTATTGTATTCAGATATGCATGTTAATGTTTTTAGTTTTTCTTCATACTTGTTATCTTTAGTTTGACTATTATTCGTTTTTCGAGGTTAGCCTTTCTTTTATATTTTTTCTTAATGTTTTTGTTTACATTGAAGGTCATGTCTATTTTTTAAATAAGCTATGACGGGGCATGAGGGTGTGGACGTTTTTAAGCTTTGTAGGTACAAACAAATGCTAAGCCTTATGGAAGATTTTAAAATTTTAATATGCCGTGTTTTACGAAAAAATGGCGATAAAACTGGCTTATATCTTCTATAGTTTTAAGTTGATATTACGAATGAAACACTTGAAATAAATATGGTAAGGTCTTATGCGAACTATACTTTGTTTACTCAATTATCTATTTTTTTGGCTTGACTTTATATTACTTGAGTTTAAGGTAAATAGAAATGCAAACTCTAAAAAATACAATATTAACTACGACAAACATTATATAATAAATGCATATCAGATCAACAAATCTTAAAATTTTATAAAGAGTTTGAAATTTTATTAATTTAATTTTAAATCGCATTATTTGATGTCTTCAGCTATTTTTTGAGGGGTTAATGATTGTATGGGTATCTGCTTTCGAGTGATTTCCTTTTGTTTGCAAAGAGAGTAAACTAGTAGACGCAGCGAGTGTAAACATCAAGTCACGCACATACTTGGCCCGAGTAAATCTTTGTGCACAACCTTTGTTGTTGTGAGAGGGGTTTTTGAACCGAACTGTCAATCAATTCTTTGTAATTGAGGTATTACTCATATTTTAATCGAACTCCTACTTGTATTGCAATTGAATTAGTACTAGTTTGATTGAATTCTTCTTGTATTGCTATAAACGTTAATAAGATTTAACTACTCTTCAGAGAAACCAAAAATTACTGTTTTTAATCTCGGATACTAAAAATATTTTATATTTCATAAATAAACTAAAATAATGACCGCTGACTATTCAAAGCGTCGCAAATCTACGATAAAATTAATAACCGAAGACGAAGACGAAATTGTACAGTATAACGAGGAACGTGAACAAGAAGAGTACGTGTATTCGCACGATCAACCGTGTGCTGAACATACAGTAACTGTCGATTTTTTGACCGATGATAGGGTTAAGGAAGACGGCTTAAGAAGAGAAATCTTAAAAGACAGCGCGGCCAGTAATGCTCGGAGAGATCAGGTAAAAGCGACGTAAACTCTGTTTCGCGCGTCTTATCATGCTATTTATAAGCTATTTGTCTTTGTGTAAAACACCACTGTTAAACAGAAACTTAGGTCTTATAATATATTTTTTAGTCTAAAGCCTAATGGCAGGTAAAATAATTTTAACTTGTCTTATGTTTGTTTAGTAGTGAATAGAATTATGATTTAAAAAATTTTATTCGGATATATAAAAAGTAATATGTACAGTTTATCGTTTCCTCCTTAAAAATAATTAAAATTTGCTTATACTCATCAAATTACAGAAATTTATCACAAAATCTCAGGAAAAGTGGGAGCCGGTTGCCAAAACAGAAAAGACATACACTTATCACAAACGCCAAAATATACCAACGCCAGGAACAGTTCAGCTCAAGGAAATGTCGGTAGATTATTCCCCGACCAACTTTGAAGAAAGTCGAGCTCGAATTGATGCTGCGTCACGACAAGAAAATGTTAGAGTGAAAAAAGTCGGCGATACGACAATAGTCACTGAGCATCGAGATCCGTACTCATTTTACTGGCAACTAGATCAATTTAAAAAGAAGGAGCCGGATCCGCCTCGGCGACCTCCGGTAACTGATTATGTTATCGAAGAGGAAGAGATACAAGAGACGGTTTTATCACCAGACAGTCATGATAGCGGTGTTGAGCACGAAAGTCAGTATTCCAGGCCGGTGAAGGAGGAAAGACGATTACCGGCTGGTTGGGAGAAACATGAGGGTAATTAGTTTTAAATAATGTTGAAATTCTGCTTTTGTTGATTTTGACAAAAGGAAAGTTCAAGGAGCGTTTTTTTGGTTTCATTTAATTTTTTTAGACCCGTCTGGCTTTTCTTATTACTGGCACGTTGACAGTGGTACCATTCAACGCGATCCACCTGTAAGTATTCTTTTTTTACTTGTTGTTTCTTACTAACACGTTGTGCCTGCGCTTAACCAACGTGGGGTTTCTTTTAAGAGGTCTGCTTAACTAAGGTACCTACAAAATAGTAAAACAGTGAAAGCAATTTTGAATTGAAATCCTTTTTGACTGATAATATTAACATATAAAAGAGCTTCTGAAAAGGTTATGCAAAGATCGATTAAATTTTCTGCGATATTACATAATGTGGATGACATAACAAGATAGCCTTAGAGAAATTGCCAGTTATTTTATTACGTAACTTTTCTTGCGTAATATTTTTTAATTTTGTAACATTTTCCTCGATGAAAAACGACCCAAAAAATTACTGCGAGTGCTGGGTGTATCTTATTTTTATGTGCGGCGTATTTTTTATCTGCCATATTCTTTGATTATATAAACTGAAGATCTTAACTTCTAACTTGTCATTTATAAGTCTACTATTTTTAGCTTAAGCTAAGCCTAAGCTAAGCCTAAGCTAAGCCTAAGCTAAGCCTAAGCTAAGCCTAAGCTAAGCCTAAGCTAAGCCTAAGCTAAGCCTAAGCTAAGCCTAAGCTAAGCCTAAGCTAAGCCTAAGCTAAGCTAAGCCTAAGCTATGTCTGCGTCTAAGCAATAAATTACTGCGAGTGCTAGGAATTACGCAATTTTTGTGTACGAAACTGCTTTATTTCACCATCTTATGTAATGTGTAAACTCTTATATGTAAAAATTCACTATGATTACCTGCTTTGGTATGGCCATGTTTTTCTGTATTAGTTTTTGTCTGCCTTATTCTGTGAGTATATAAACCCGGACTCAACCACAGCCTAATCATAAACATAAGTAAGCCTGAGCAGTTGCAAAATTAGGAATGCCATGAAGCAAAAATAAAAAAACTTTATAGTTTTTAACAATGCGTAATGACATTGATGTAGTTTTTGCTACTGTAACTTTAAAGTGTAGGTTAGGTTGCGATAAGGTTCTAAGTTAATATTGATATAATTTATTAATAAATTAATTGCTTGGAGAATGTTAATAAATTAAAAATTTTAAATGGTTTCATACTGTAGTGATTTATTTGAGTACTTAATATTGTGAGTAATTAGTTTGAATTGTTTTAAAATTGCTTCATTAACGATTTCATCAAAAGAACTAGCAAAAAATAGGAAATACAGTAGTTTTGACGGGATTTCAGCGGGTTTCAAATAAGCCTGATATCCCCCCTCTCCCTCCCACTCCTCCGATTTACGCTGAAGAATCCAAACACGATCCGTATCCTCTTCCACCACAGAATCCACCAGCAGCACCCATCTCACCGGCTCCACCGGAAGAACCTGTAATCGAAGAGCACGTCTTCAAACAAGTCACCACGAAGCGCACCGTGGAGAATCACGACGAATCCGAGGACTTTATTGAGGCTGATATTGGTGGCGGTCAACGAGTAAGTTTGAAAATTGTTATAGAAATAGCAAGCCGATATGCTTTTACCTGAAATATTTTTTAAATGTGAAAAAAACCTTTTATTACAACTTTTCAATTGCGTCATGCACAAAATTATATTAATATTGTGCGCCTGCTTTTGTTACTTTTACTACAAAATGCGAATCTATTCTTCTGTCAATGTATATTTTCAGCACGTTCGCTTCATGGTACGATCACTGGGATGGACCCCAATAAGTGAAGAAGACCTAACGACAGAACGGAGCTCTCAAGCAGTCAACAAAGCCATTCGAGATTTGTCAACGGGAGCATTAGGCGTTTTACCAAAATGGGGAAATGGCAAGGAGTTGATCCTGGAGCTGACCGACAACGAGTTGCTTTTGGTGGATCCAGACACAAACAATGTGGTACATTCCGAAAAGATACAGTTTATTCGAGTTTGGGGCGTTGGCAGAGATAATGGAAGGTAAAAGGGATCTTAAAAAAACGTGGAAAATTTTTACCATTCAGATTTTTAAAATTAATGCGTGCAAATAAGGAAATAAATAATTTAAAATTTAAAAATCATTATAGGGATTTCGCTTACGTAGCCAGAGATAAAAATGGGAGACAATTCTTATGTCATGCTTTTCGATGTGACACTCCAGCTCGTGCTATTGCCAACACCCTTCGTGATATATGCAAGCAGTTAATGGTAAACCGTCCGCTAGCACAATCGTTTACGCCTACCACTGAACGGTCGGAACGACGAATAGTCAGTAAGTGCTATATATAATGTACCGTATTTAATGTTTAGTGAAATCTCATTTAAATTTATTTTAGAGGAAAGTTCAGTAGCTCCGATTGATGAAGTCCAACGAGTCATCCGATGTCATTTCATCGGAGTCACGGAGGTGCCTCGGGCTACAGGAATTGAAGTTCTGAATGACGCTGTAGATCGGTTGGTACGCCAAATTCCGACAGATAAATGGATATTGTCCGATGTATCGGTTGCTTTATCTAATATTACAATTAGAGATATAAATGGTGAACAAATTGCTCAATGCCGCGTACGGTACCTTTCATTTTTGGGAGTTGGACAGGACATAAAGTAAGTCAATTTAGAATTGAATGGCTTTGAAAAGAAATTTGTGAAAGGTTGTTTTAAAGATACGTTATTATTTGCAAGTAAAGTTCAAACTTGTCCTCGTTTATTCATTAAGTTACTGTATACCCATTTAGGCACTGTGCTTTTATAATGCACACATCAACAGAAAACTTTTTATGTTACGTGTTCCACGTTGAGCCATCAGCCGGCTTAATGGCCAAGACTATCGAAGCAGCTTGCAAATTACGGTATCAAAAAGTTCTCGACGCTCACATCAATCACGGTCGTAGTGGAAATCGCGCCCGTTTCACCGGTTACTAGTTTGTAAATTGTTTTATTTGTACGTACTGTACATTTTCCCTTTTTTGTTAAATAAATTTGACGTTTACTGAAAACTACACGATCCTTATAACGATTACATTAATTTTGGGAAGTACGTATTAAAAACGTTTAAAAAACAAAATAGAATTCAAAAACAGATTACAAGATCTATTTTGTCAAATTTTACAGTTTTTCGGTGAATTTAAATGTATTTGAACGTCTTAATAGGCCAAGGTCGTCGCGCATTGCGGGATGACCGCGTTTAAGCTAAACGCTTCTTCCGTAAAAAACACCAACGTTTCCCTTTCCTAATGCGTAATCCCGGCTTTTTGTTTTTTATTTTCGTAAGTTAAATACAAAAAATACAACTAATTGTTTAGGTAATCAGTATTTACAAAGTTGTTGCTCAAAACTACGTGCAAGGTAAGGTAAACGTACAGTAAGAATTTTCCCAAGTAAAAAATTTCAATTCGAAATTTGTAGCTATATTTACTGATTTTTATAATAACTAATTCACTGAACACATTCAGGAGAGCCAAAGATAATTTGCGGCCCTAACACGATAGAAATTGAAGCAACCACCCAAAGCCCATTCAATGGCACAGTATATGTTAAAAACTGGCGCAAGTCAATAGGATGTTACAAAAGTTTTGAGCATGCAGGCACTACAAACCCTCATTATTCGATACCACTGTCCGATGTTGGAAAATGTGGTTTAGAACTTCGAAAAACAGTAATTTTGCTTATATTAAAGTTTGTGTAAAAGCTAAAATATTTAGCAATTTTAACAAGGTTTGAATTTCTGCAAGTTTTAGGCCGACAATGCCTTAGAAGTTTTTGCGATCGTTGTATTCGGATTCCATCCAAACTTTATGACTCAAAACGACCGTTCATTTGCAATTCATTGTGTTTTCAAGCAGCAAAGCAAAGACGTACGCAACAAAATTAACGTATTTAAGTAAGGATTTGCATTCAAAACTAATAATCTCGAGAACTCTTCTTAAAAATAAACAAACACTATTTGTTTGAAAAATATTTTATTTCAGAGAACTAACACCAAACGGAGAGGCCAATGGAATCGCCCAAATCCCCATTCCAAAATTTAAGGTCATCAGTGGGCGCGTACCTGATGAAACGTTGCAACCAGCTAATGTCGTTTCAGTTGGAGATGCTGTTATATTAGTTTGGTATTTAAGCCCACCTTCGAGTATGTTTTAAAAATAACTATTATTATGTAATCAAAAATCACAATTATAGATGTTTATGGACTAACAGTAAATGAATGTTCCGCCGAAACACTGGACGGCCGTAAAATTCAAATTTTGACAACTGGTTGTACTACCGATGAAGTCTTGATTTCTGATGTCAAATACTCCGAACGAAACGAAAAAGCTTTTGCGGACGGAATGGCATTTAAGTTTCCCGATTCTGAAGATATGTGGATTAAATGCAAAATCAACTTGTGTTTACAAAACCATGAACACTTCAACGTTAGCGCAGAGTTTCAATACAACATGTGCAATCCTCATGCGGTACGTAGTTTCTGTCACCCTTGGAAAAGTAAAAATTTCAATGTATGTATTATATTCCAATTAAAAGGTAGAATAGCACTTAATCAACCTTTCCAGAACTGTCAAAAAAGAGAAAAGCGTTCAACTGAAAAGCGTAATTTATCGACAGACGGCATGCACACAGTCAACAAAAAAATTCGAGTAATGGATAAACATACAAAGCCTGAAGTTCAAGGTACGGTATTAAAAACTCTTTATAAATTTTAACGCCTTATCTACTAAAAGACCACTAACCCATCCCCAAAAAATTTTAATAATATTTATCTTCTTCGAACGTTTAACTTTATACAAAGGAGACGTTTTTATTATGAAATTTAATTTTAGAACCAATAATAGCTCCAGCTTTTACATTGAACTCCAAATGGTGCTTTATGAAAAACCTTTTCTCTGTATTCTCAGTACTATTGGTTATTTTATACTCTGGAACCTTGATTTCTTTAGTATTCTTCTACGTAAATACTAGGCAAAACCTTAAAAAGCTGCCAGAAACTTTTTCTGAAACCGGATAAATCTCAATGCCTTTCGAATTTAGGTATTTTGTCGCTTACACTATTTAACTCTAATTGTACAACAACTATAAAACTAATAGATTTTTCATAATAAACTATACGAAAAGAAAAACTATTTTTATTATCTGACCTGTACAACTAAGTCAAGCAAAAAACTCTTCGTCGACGGAGCAACAAAACCTCACCAAATTTTCATGCCTTCTCAAAGCATGCGTCAAATGCATAGACGGCAGCTCTGTAGTTAATAAACTGAAAATGTGCCCAAATGCCAAAGCGTCCAATTCTGTTGGTTCGTCTCCCATCAAGTACTTTTGATTACCGAGTTTGACACTTAACGCGTTAAAGCAAGTTTCGCCCTTCTTCACAATCTCTGTAATCGACTTCTGTCCGTATCCCAGATCGTTCAATTGACCAATAAGTTCATTTCTCTTGAGGTATGGCAACCACCACTTCAATGGAATCGGATATACACTTCCATATCGTTTTCGTGTGACTGTCGAGTAGTTTGAAGCATCTTTCCAACAAAAATATTTCTATAGTCAAATAAATAAATTTAAAAAATTTTTAAAAAAATTAAATTAAAAACATGAAATTACCTCGGCGTTCAACAAATTGTCCCTGATCAAAGCCATTAACGCATTCATGTCAGCAATTTCGGCATCGCTCAACGTATTGGCAAGTTTAATACCCTAAAAGAATAATAAAAAACCAATACCAACTTACCTTTTGAGCTACAAAGTCCACAATGTTCGAAAAGCCATAAATTAACGTCTTCTGAAGTTTTAAAAATGGCACAGTGCCATCCGGCGACATAAACTCAGCATTAGGACGTTGTTCTAAACTAAAAGGTAAGTTGACCATTTTCAAAAATGCCCTAGTAGCTACACATTCAGCATGTTCGTACAACAAGGCCTGTTCATCTGCAATAAATTAACAAAAACAATGTTGTAAACGTTCGTATATCAAAGTTAAATTGTAAAATATCAAACAGAACAAATAAAAACGTACGTTGAAAAGGTTGAAACAATTCAGCATCAATCCACTCACTACTTGTTACTTTATCGCCCATTTTAGCAAAAATGCATTGATATTCGACGACAAAATAATTATTTATTTTTTAAAGTAACACATGACCCGAAAATAGATGTAGGGTCACGTTTCACTCTGGTTTTTAAGGACGCGTATAAAAAAATGTTCCCGCCGATTGTCAGGAAAACTGGCCCACTCGCAATCGTTAAGAATATGCGGGATTGGGCGCAGCTTGCCGATGTGGATTTTAGTGGAATTAAAGGTTCAATCAGAACTTCATAAATGTGAAAGTCTCTAAATAACTTTTAAAATAGGTTTTTAAACAAAACGTAATTTTAAAGGTTTTGAAATGTCTTTTTTTTCCTTATTGTACGACTTTTTTACAAGCGCATGAAATGTTTCCGTATAATTTAGGCTTCGCAGGCTGCTGCAGCCGAATTTTGAGATAATTCAAACCGTTTTTTTTTATAAAATAGCGCGCGTGCTTGTTAAATATAAATTTATATTTATTATTTATTAAAGCTTACATAATTTTATATAGAAATGTGGTAAACGGCACCCGCGACTGATTCGGGATGAATCCCACAAAGTCTGCAGCACGTAACGTCACTCGGACTCCTCTGCGTGCTGTTCCAAATCAGAAGCGAGTTCGACGAAACATTACCGAAGAATTTGGAGGAAAGGACCCAGAATTAAGTGTGAATACGAATCTACACTCGCATGGTAAGTTTTTTTTTGATTTTTTCATATTTAGGGGGCATCTATTATGACAACGGTATAAGTATTGAGATTATCGAGACGGATTTCTCGCAAAAGTTTTGATTTTTTAAATAATGTTTAATCGTTTTAAGATACAATATCGGGAATTAGTAATTACCTTCTTTTGAGATGTTTCAACAATTAATTTAAAAAATATTCTGGGGGTTTTGTTCTGCATCGTGTCTTTTCAAAAATTTACAATTTTAAACTTATCTTGTCTACTGTTACTGATTAGTATGAAAGTAGTCAAATATGTTTCGAAAGCTTTCGCGAAAGAGTCTCCCACAAGGCAGACAAAACGGCTCTCTTCGTGTTCTGTTTACTCTCAAATCGTTAAAAGAAGGCCTTCTAAATTTAGCGAATTTTTATAAATATGGTTTTAAAAAACTTATAAATTGTTAATTTCAGGTTACAAGCGCCAAAAAGTTGTGTCAAGCCCGTCGTTGGTGTCCGCTTATTCAAATGAGTCAACGGATGTGGAAGATGAACGGGATTGTGATGCAGAACAACCTTCGACCAGCAAAGGAGTGAAAGAAGAAGTGGCCGATAAAAATGTAGGAATATGGGATTGGAGAGCTACACAAATCGGGTCTTTTATGAAAAAACGAAGGTATCTGGCTTTGAAGAAAAGATTGGATGTCGAAGGTACTGGAAGTAAGCTTTTTTTTTATAAAGTTTTTATATAATATTTTACAAATTTTCTTTTGTAAGTGACGTTTTTTGTTCAAATTTATGTTTTTAAACGTTTTTGGTATAATATACTGTTTTAGGTAAAGAAATCTTTTCTAACGACTCAGAAATTTTTCTACGACATCCAGCTGTCGCTATTAAAACCAAAAGATCAAAGTGTAAGTTTTCTTAGTATTTTTTAAGTTTAGGTAACAATTAAAGCTTTCGAAACTTTACCAAGTATTTTCACTAAAATCCTTCTTTTTAGATGATCCACACGAAGAATGTTTTGTCACAGACATCTCCCACAGAACCAAACGAGTAGTACTATTTCGAAAAAGACGGCATGCACAAATATCCGGACAAGTTACCGACGAAATGGTACGGAAAGTTCAAGTTCCCGTGGATATTGTGCCAGAAGAACGGATTTGGTTTTCACACGATTTGACAGATTATATCAACGAAGAGATCAAGAGAAACGTTGATATACCTATGATAATGGAAATGAGCCCAGCAGACGCTCCGGATGTTGTTCACGTTAGACGGTTAACAGACGATGTGGCCCAATATTTCATGGATGATAAAGATAAACGGTTTTGGTTACAGCTAAACAAAAATTTGGAGGAAAAGTCAGTAGGGAACAAGAGAGACGAAAACAATAAAAAAGTTATTGAGCCATTGTTGATTAGGCTACGGAACATCGACTTTTCTTATATTATGGGTGTTTTGGAGACAGTTTGCTTTAAGGTTTGTTTATGTTCTTTTTAGTATAAGGTGAAAAGAAATTTACTGGTTTATTAAGAAATTGTATAGTCAGATGTCTGAATTATGTAGCTAAACGCTGACATTTTCAGGAGATTCACGGAATCTTGTTAAATGTGTTGAATGTTCCCAATCAAGCAGAAGGCGAAAGTGCATTTTGCGAAATATGCCATTCGGAAACCAGCGATTCTACTGACCCGATAGTATTTTGTGAAGGATGTAATCTCTCCGTGCACCAGAAATGCTTCGGCATTACAGAATTACCTAAAGATGAATGGTATTGTGACGTGTGTAAGGAATATAACAAAAAAGTTGAAGTCAGATGCAAGTTTTGTCCATTAACAAACGGCACAATGAAGCATACGATTGATGGCGGTTGGGCTCATTTTTCATGTTCTATTTGGCAGGTTGATCTGAGGTTTGACGACTTGACCACTTACTCTTTGGTTAGCCACGAATGGAATTTGAAACCCGAAAGTTTTTTGAAGATCTGTTGCGTATGCGACTTGAGATACGGAAGCTGTATCAAATGCACTGCTCCCGGATGTAAAATGGCGTTTCATCCTACGTGTGGTGTACGTGGTGGACTGTTGATGTTCATCGAAGACAACGAAAGCTCTAAAATGGGAGTAAAAATGTTGTCTTTTTGTTATTATCATTCTGAAGAAGCTTTGAAGGCTCAAAAAGACAACTATAAACGTGAAGCCGAAGAAATCGTTCAGTGCGATGAGGACGACAATGTGTATGAGAAGTCGTATAAAATGTCTCAGGAAGTACGCAGAGTTGCCGAAGAAGGATACAAAAGGTCGAAGTTAAGAAAAGTCGAAGATAATTTTGATAGTCTGGTGAATTGGCGGAAGATGGCAGATGATTTGGGAATTTCAAGGGACATCATGAAAGAAATATTTTACTATTGGACGGAGAAACGAAGAGAAAACAACAATAGAATTATGGTTAATCAAATGGAATTGAACGAAATTTACATCAAAAAAGCTTTGACGTTCGATTATGTTGTTAACAAGGAACAGCCTTCTGTACCAGAAGAGACAAGTGAACAAAATGCTGGTTTGGTAAAAGAATTTTCGGATGCACATTGGAAGCTGGATAGAGTAAGTTGCTATACTTATTATTTAGCTTTTACATTTTAAACGCTGTATTTTTGTAAAATAATATTATTACTATGTCTTACCTTTTCAGTGCCGCAACTTGTGTACCTTAACATTACGGCGAGAAAAGCTGAAGTTGATGAAGGTCGTGGCCTTAAAAGAAGCTGTGGATTGGGTTATGGGTGAATCTCCAGAAAATATGAGCCATTTTAGTTCTCGAACAATGGAGAAACTGCTGGGATTTTGGACGGAGTTCTCGGGAAAAGCTTCCAAACCATCAAAAAGTGTGTTGAAGAAAACGAAGTCTGAGAAAGTGAGTGATTTGAAAACCTTATTTTCCGACTTATTGGACCAGTTTGTTGACCTAGATCCTTCAATTATTGATGACATAGATGAGTTGGAGTAAGTAAGCGAAGAAAATAAACATGGATGATTTGAAGTAAATATTAGAACGGATTAAAATACTCTGATATTATTTTTTTTTTAAAAAAGTCATCTGTTTTGTTATTTTGTTCGTATTTGTAACGGTGAATTTATAAGCCTATTGTTGTAAATTGTCGATTCCAAGAGTTTTTGTTGATTTTTAAAAATATGTTGTCAGAAACTTTTGGAACTTTTAAAATCTTTTTAATAAAAATGATTCATTTTATATCGTTTATTGATTTTTCTTGCTTTACTTGTGCCTTGATATCAGTTGATAAAATTTATGTTGTGAATGAATAGTATTTGTAATCTTCAGATTGCTTCACTTTTTTTATTTATGATCGCTAATTTTAATTTTTAAGTTACAAACTTTTGAAGAAAAAGCATGTGAACGATCTTGTAGAACTCTCTTTCTTTTAGCCTAAAATGATGGGGTTGAATACTTGCTGACAACTACAACGTAAATTGTACTCTAACATAGTCTAAACATTTGTTCTCAGTTCTCTTTGTTGATATCAATTTTGTTTATATTTAACAAATCTTTATATTGGCTTATATAAATAAATCAAATTCGTCAGAAAATATGTTTATTAATATTTGTTACTGTAAACAGTGCAACAATGGTAAAACTCAATAAAACAATCCATTGATCCCAAAATTTTGTCACATAAAATACTTCCAGCAAACACGTTACTTCTGAGGGGCAGTAGAAACGTCCTCGACGAAGCCAGAATCTGAAGGAATACGTGGTATAATATGTGCTATTAATATTTTTTAAAAATCCGATTTTTTGTAATATGCTTAAAATTTTAAAACTTACGGTGGTGTTTTAATGTCTATTTTATTAGGTACCATATTGATTTCTGTATTATTAACAGCCGTGCTGAAAAAGAGTATTGTAGATCGCATTAATATGTGAGAATCTAAAACTGAGTTTAACTTGTCTATGAGGGTATTAACTTACTTTATGAAAATGGAAGCATTGTTCTTATCGATAGTAAAGTTTACATTCAAGTGGCTGTAAGTTAAAGGCACCGTGTTTATTACGGTAGCATTGAAACATGCTTTGTCCAAACATAGCTGTGTATTGTTTAACAAGTTGGTGTTTGCTATCAAGGTTTTGCCAACGAAGATATTTTGATTTTTTGACAGGTAGATTTTTTGCCCATCTAAATTTATCACAAATGGCATTAAAATAATCTAATATTTGAAAATTTATTGAAAACTATTTGTTGAATAAAGAAAAACTAAACTGATAAAGTATGTACCTTCTAACGTAACATAAGTGAATTCTTTGCTCACATTGCTGTAGTATGCTGTGGAACGGTCATGCATTTTTGCTATTGAAATTGATGACGAATTAGAAACTGTTAAGATTATGTTTGTTGTGTTGTATTGTAAAACGGAAATTTTTCTGAAAATGTCTTAAAAATTGCAAAATGTACGTACATATTTGATATTATTTTGCCTAGTTTTTTGGAAATAAATTGATGTCAGCAAGTACTTCTCTAAAATTGATTGAAAGTCTTACGCTTTATTGTAACATTTTACAATATTCAAGTCAGAGTCTTGACAACTAACTCTCCTGCTGTTTCCATTCCAATTTTCCACACATAAATTGTTATATTCGCAGTTGTTGTTATCAATGTAACAAACCTTATAATTACTATTAACTAAACTGCATTTTGGATATAAGAATGTGTTTGAAAACACAGCATTATCTGTTATGTCGAATAGCTGGCTCCAGTAAATATTCCACTGCGCTGTAGAATTACCCAACGCCGATTTAAATTCATAAAGGGACGGCCAACTGTTTATTCGTTCATATAAAAATCGAGGAATTTTTAGATTGTCAGGCCATTCTAAATCAATTTTCAACAAAAATATAAGAATAAAAGACCCGAGAAATGACCAAAACATAGCGTTGTGGCCACTTATTTTGTTGTTGAGAATTACTTTTTGTTGTTATGGAAACATAAACATACGGTTCCAAATACATATTTAAAAATTAGATTACATTCATTTTGAAGCATAAAGGTTCGACAAAATACCGCTTTTAAATCTTAAAAAATGATATTTTTATTTTAAATCAATAATTGATAAAATATTGTTTAACAATTAAGACAGAATTCAAGTACGATGCTTCAGTATATTACTTCGCAGTTTGTGGAGGTAAGCCGAAGTTGGCGACATATGTCTAAAATAATTAAGCATTAAAGTTTTTTTCATTAAAATTAAACGTAAACCAATTTACAAATTATTAAATTAACTATGTGAAATCATAATACTTACTTCGATTCAGATGACGAAGAGCTGGCTACACTTTCAAGATAACTTCGACCCGAATCTACGTTTATATCAGTATGTATCGACGAGCTGGTAGATGATTTATCACTGCTATTTTTTGCCGTTTTTACTGTGCTACCAGAAGATGAATACTCTGTCGAGGTTTCTTAAGTTAAATTGAATGTAAAATGCCGTTTTAAAAAGTAAAAAAAATTTACAAAATACTTTAAAATTTATGAGTTAAACTAAAAACAAACCGTCTTCCGTGTCGCTTTCAGAAACAGTTGTACCATCGCTGTCTTCTGGTCCCGATGTACTAGCTGTTGATGGCTCAGTTTGATCAATTGACTTGCTTATGCTCGAGCGTTTACTTCTACTTGACGTTACTGACTTTTCGTCTACGTGATTTTGTTCATATAGTTTGCTTTCCATATCAGATAACAGTGCATCGTTTTTGTCGTTTAGATTCTCAGTTTGGCAGTCTGTCGATATCAGTCTAGTACTCTTTTGTATGCCTACGTTTTTAAACTCTCGTTTTGATCTTCTCTGTCGTTTTGATTCAAAACGAACTTCTTTATGTTGTTTATTTAGTAGTTTTAACTTGTTTTTTATATCCAATATATCTGTTTGTGAGACCAAAAAGTCCATTTTGTATTTGGTAATATCAATGGGCAATGACAACGTTGTGGCAATGTTTTTTGATCGTGCTGTAAGTAAAATAAAAGTTTACCTTTTTAAGTATTATAAACAAGCGTATAAATATGAAATTTGGTAATTTTTACGATTAAATAACGTTTTTATAAAAAATCTTACTGTTTCTTCTTTGTTCGACTTGATTTTTCAAAATTTTTATATAAACCCGTTGGAAAAGCAGGGCCACCGCCTTCAATAAAAATTTTTTTCTTTTCTTCGTTAAACACTTCGTTATCAGTTTGAGTCTCCACATTGTTAAGGAAAGTTTCTGTTGTGGAAGTTTTATCAGTTGTAGATGTACTATCAGTCTAAACATTTATAATTCAAAGATAAGTAAGTTTTTAAACTAGTTTGAAAGTTTGAAAATTTTAAAAAAATTTGAAATTTATTGTTCGGTAAACTTACTTGACAACTTGCGTTAGTGTGATATGTATCATCTGTTTGAGACCCTGATTCTTTAAAGTTGTGTTTGCGTGGAGTTAAAATTTCCGTTTTTGTAACGAAACGAAGCGATAACGAGGTGTTAGGAAAAGCGACATCACGCTTTAGGGTCTACAAAGAAGCAAATTGCAGTTTATTGACATAGGCTGTTACTATACAGGCTATTGGCCATTGAAATTAAAAAAGTGAAAGAATTAAAAATTTTGAAAATAAGAGCAATATAAAATGCTGTAAAATGAAACTTACTTTTAAAATATCTTCAATAGAATGTTTCAATGTGATTGAACTTTCTTTTCCATCATCAAATTTAATATCGATTTTAAATTCTTCGGGTACGTTATCCAAAATCATGATTTTGCCGCAAGGCTTGAAGTCATTCACATCTACATTAAAAGCCACAGTCTTATTGCTTGCTTCGTTTGTAACTACAATTCGTTTGACCTTGTCGATGTTGGCCGCTGGTTCCACTCCCGTTTCATGACGGGCCTCTTGATTATTAGCATGTGTATCGTAAAAAGATTGTAAAACAATCTGAAATGCATATAAACAAGTCATTTTAGAACTTCGTTTCTTGAAATTTTGTTTTAATCGTGCGCGAGTGACCATGACAACCAGTGGGCTTACATATAACGGGCTTTACCTTATGTCCTACTTAAAACATGCCTAATAAAGGTAAATAAAATAAAAAATAAATATTACTGACTCAGAGATTTACGAAAATATTTTGAAATGTTATGATTTTAATTTTTTTGTGTAAAAGCCCCATTTTTTATTCAAATCAATGAATCAACTTGTATGACGTATCGGTGAACGCCCTCATGTAATAAATATAATAAAACCACAAAAAATAAACATTCCAGTCGTACAAGTCACGCTTACAATAAACAAAAATTGACCATATGCAGTGCAAGGCAACATTCCACAAAATATATATATATAATAATACTACGAACATGCAAAAGAAAATAATATATTTTACAACTTATTAGTTCCAATGCAACTGTTGCAATCGAAAAGTATGTTTACGGGCCCAAGATATTCATGATATAATTTGTTGAACGGATCAATTAATCAACGTGACGGATTCAAGCAAAAAAATATTTTTGGAACGGCTGTTCAGAGATGATCAAGAACGATAACCACGTCCGAACCTCAGTTAAATGGAGGTGAAGTTAAACGGAGTTTTTTGTGCATTTTTTCTTAATAACTATATAGTAAACACACTTTTGAGGTATTTTTTGAATAGTTGTTTTTATTTTTTTAAGTGACATTATACTAATGCTATCAGGGCCAAGCAGACATAATTAACAGCGGTAAAATAGAGGAGGGACCACGTTTAACATAAAAATGAACATCTGCCCTTCGTTGGACCTTTTGGCCTTGCTGGTCAATGAATTTGATTAGAGTCTTACGTTGAAATTATAAATAACTTAATAGACGACAAATTATAAGAAGTTTTGTTATTTAGTCACCCTAGTAAGGTTTTATCACTCGCTTTTTTTAAAAATGGTAGAACCTCAGCTTTCAAAAATTTTAATTTTTTTAAATTTGGACGCGGTTTGTCAGAACAATCAGTTATTTAATTCTTCTTCTACTACCCCCCAAAACCTAAAATTTAATGCATATAATAACCAAATCCCTAAACAAACTGTTACCTCAAAAAAGCTTAAATTTCATTTTTTAAATAAACCGCTACCTTTTTTGATTGAGGTCAGCAAACTCACTGAATGCAATAAATCCCCACGGAGTTGTTTGTAACGGTTTTCAAAACCCCGCCTCCGGCTGTAAAGTTTTGTATTCCGCGATTAGGTTTTTTCGAATTTTCAGTCTCGATTCGCCTCAAAAACGGTTTTTTGCGCTATTTTTCCCGCCATTATCAGTTATAACTTTAAAAAAGTATTTTTTATCTTAAACTTTGAAATAAGTTTTGTTGTTTCCTTATCAGTTCTCATGAAATGTTTTGTCATTTTCAGCCAGGATGCTCTTCAATATAAACAGGTTCCACTTCTTGGTGCTGGTAACTTGGCAGTTTTCCATATTTTTCGCGTCTCAACAGATTTTTCCAATTTTTTCGAGTTATGTACCAAAATGGCGTTGCAACGACACCCAGAGTTACGGCAAAAACTGTGAAGTATTTGAGGAGTGCAAAAGTAGTGTTCAATTTGAATACGAATACTTTCACTCGGCCGCTTTAGAGTTTGACTGGATTTGTGGAAGTAAAGCGTATTTGAGGTCGTTTTTCAGTCAAGTTCAATTCTTTGGGGTATTGATTGGTACGGTAGTGTATGGATCACTGTCGGATTGGTTAGGACGAAAGCCAGTTGCAGTAACGGCTTTGTCATTGGGAATTGTTTTTTCAATTCTTTCTGGTAAGTTTTTTGGGCTTTACAGATTATTTGTTCGTACAGTACACTTTGCTACTTTTTCTACAATACTGTAACATATACTCGGAGTCTTAGAATAATATTGTAAAATTTTTCGTTAAGGAGTAGCACCAACATGGGAACTATTACTGGGCACGCGTTTCTTTATTGGCCTATCAATTGGAGGCACTTTGGTAGTCGTATGCACGTTTGTAATGGAAATGTTACTTCCTCAGCAACGTATGGCGTTGCGAGCCTTCTTTAATTGGGTACGTTTTTGCTTTACACTAAAAACGATGTGAATAACAAAACTTATACAACCAAAAAAAATTAAAAAAGTAAAATACTGCTTATAATAATCGAAGGTTTTTCATAGTTCTAGCTATAATAATTGTGATGCTATTTATAAGAATCGTATTTTCTGTTACAGGGCACAGCTCGACTGATGGTGACATTGATTTGTTGGTGGTTCCCAAACTGGCGTAGTGCTAGCATAGCATGTGCTGTCACTGCACTGCCTGCATTGTTAATTGTGATATTTGTATTTCCGGAAAGCCCAACATGGCTTCATAATAAAGGAAGGATCGAAAAAATGAAGCAAAGCGAACGAAAAATCGCCCGAGTTGCCGGAAAAAAACATGTCGAAACAGACATTCAGCCTGTAGTACACAAGAAGAGCATTATGTAAGTGTAGTAAACCTTACTTTAAGACATTGTTTTAGAATAGCGATATATTAAATTACATATTATATTTAAGCATTGTAGAACTAGTTAAAACTATTTTGATATCTGCACTACATTGAAAATAATATAAAGCTTGCAGCGAATTGTTTAAAGACATCAATTTGTTCAAAAGAGTTGTCGTACTATGGGCAATGTGGTTTACCGCCGCTATTTGTGGTTATGCTATTGATCTGAATAGTTCAGATATCAGTGGACATTTGTTCTGGAATCAAATTCTGTTCTCTTGTCTTATCGCCGCTTCCAAAATTGTAAGTTGTGATACAATTTCGCGTACAATATGCTTGGTTAGAAGTAAACATTTATTCTTTTTATTTAGGCATTAGTCGTATTTGACTCGTCATTCCCAAAGTTTAGCAGAAGGAACCTTCATCAAGGTGCTCAGCTTATCGTATGTATATGCTTCCTTATTTTGACGGTCTTGGTAATTGTTTCGCCACATGTAAGTTTTTAATATTACATATTATGTAAAAAAGTATAACAATGAATAATATTTTTTTGTTAAAATGTTTTAAAATTTCAAATTGTTTAAAAAACTTAATTTTAGAGCATTTTCATTTTGATAATCAACCTTATTGGAACCATGTTCCTTGAGTACACGTGGGATGCTTGCTATCTTTGTGGCGTCGAATCGATGCCTACAAACATGCGTGCTACAACTATGGGATCGTGTTCTTTTATGGCCCGTATTGGTGCCATTTTGGCACCAACGTTGGCTTTCTTAAACTCATTCTGGGCGCCAAGTGCATATCTTACAGTATGCTCGCTGGGGTTAATTAATTTGATTATCAGCTATTTGTGGCTGGTCGAGACGAAAGGAGTCGTTTTGGACAAGGTCAACTTGGATATGACTGGAACGGAGATTAAGGAAGATCCTGAAAATGTGGAAATGCTTTCGAAAGACGAAAAACAATGATAATATTTTTGTATATTTTTTAATTACTGTGTATGATTTTGGCGTATGATAAAAAATAAAAATAAACAAAAAATACATGTAAAGTAATTAACATTTTATATTATTTTATTACTGTAGTTCAATTTTACCTCTTATTTCCTATAAATAAAATATAATTATCAAGTTTTCTGGTACTACCGTACACCCCATGACTACTCAACCTAATAAAATCATCAAAAAACCAAGGCTACACAAACAAGTTGCGATGGGATGTTATAATACATATAATTACGGTTTAATTATTCTTGGAGAAGTCGGATGTAATTAGCCAAATGCACCTTTGGACCCCTAACTGACCACAACTTTAAAGACGGACCGGAAAAGGAAGTCTGTTTAAAGAGATTTTTTTTCAAAATGTTTTCAAACCAAAATTGTGGACAGTTGTTATTTTGGGCTTGTTTGCCATTAAGTAGCTGTTACACCGTTAATCTTACCGCCGGGGATTTAAATTATATGTCTTCGTGTCGTAGGTGCGGTGGTTATTACAAATTTGTATAATTTTCATAATGGTAGCACGCGTTTTTTTGAATATATTAGTTGTACAAACAAAGACAAATTTTTATAAATGTAGCTTTTGGTTCAATTTAAAATTTTTTTTTCAAAAAAAGTGTGATATGTTATTTGATGTGAATTTAAAATTTAAAACAGAATGTATAATAAAAACGAATTTAGAGTAATGTTGTTCGTTTGCTGATATCGTGACTGCGGTTGCCGGTTTTACACGTATAAAAGATTAGTTTAATACTACTTTTACTTGTTTTTTTTTAATTTTGAGCGCTTTTTGGCCCAAAAATTATAATTGACATATATGTAATAAAATTTACGTATTTAATGAGAACAAAATTAAAAATTAATAATTTAAACAAATTAAAAAAAATTTAAAAAATTTAAGTTTAAAAAAATTATTTTTTCAAAACGTGCTATTCACAATTTTTTTAACAAAAAAGTGCGATAATCTTTACATTTTGCACTAGAAAAACATTACACCTTCAAAATTATCTTGTTCTCAAATTGTGCGTGCTTGGTTTCCTGCACTCCATTTTTCGGGATCATAATCTCTTTTTCCATGTTTGTGTATATAAATTTTTATAGGTCTTATGGATGGCATAATATATTGCTATGGCATTTTCTACATTCCCTACTATCTTTATGACATTTTTTACATTTTTATTTTTTGCGACGTTGAGTTGTTTTGTTTTTCATACCAACATCACTGTACACGTTATTGAAATGACAATACTCGAAATGTTTTTAAATTAAGCTCTGTTAAAGTACACGTTCGTATGTATCCAAATTCCCTTGGCATATTGACCCTTTTTTAACATACAAACCCATATATACTCTCTTCTCGCTCTTATACCAGCCGTCTATCTTCTTTGTGCGACAATTATAATTAATTCCGTCAGCGGCTTCACAGGATTCAGAAGTCGGGTTTTTTTGGCGAAGAACCCGGAAAGTTTTGTGCACGCTATCGTACATTATACGCAATGTCAGCGGTTTTTTAGTAATTTCTTGAAGATTGGTTGTAGTTTTAGTATTTTTTGAGGACAGTAAAATAAAATTTTTGTTACGTTATAGTAGGTTCTTTATTTAGAAAAAGCATGGTTTTATTGACGGTATTGAATGAAATTTTAAATAATTGCTTTAGATTTTTTCAAAATTTAAAAAAAAGTTTTTGCTTTGGAGTCTCGGATTACTAAGGGTGGGAACGTATGACTATAATCGCGTATGTTTTTGCGGCTTCAATACGTTGTCTTTTACGGTTCCTTTTATTTGGTTGGTCAAAAAATAAGTGGAGCCTTTAGGTTAAACACTAAAATCTTGATAGTTAGCGTTGTTATCAAAAATTTACTATCAAATAACTTTTTTAAAGATAGCATAATTTGACCATAATCGTACTGTAAGGTTGTAAGTGCTCTAATGACCCTATTCAAGTTGTATATATACTCTTTCATGACTAAAATTATATAATTATTTTTTCGTGAGAACCGAATGCTTACATTCTTTTCACATACGAGCGTTTATAGCTACCATTGCTTTTATACTACGGTTGGATGCAATGATTGAGTAACGTGCTACTGCTACTATCATTGATAAGGCTTTGGGTGGCCTTTTAATGTCGGACGTATGCTCAAACTTTATGTAGATTATGTTTCCGTTGTTCTGTGGAGTTTTTTCGTTTGGCCGACGAACGCGATTCACAACAGTCGACCGGGAACGTAAGTTTTTGTGACGTTTATTAAATATAAAGCTCCAACTTTACATGATATCAAAAAAATTCCACATTCTGCAACACCACATAACATCATTATGTTGTTTAGGCCATCACAATGCATTGTAACATCAGCGGAAACGTGTTTTGAGCAGCTTTTTGACAACATGCCAATATGTACAGAATACGAGTTGACGTTTCGTTGTCATCATTTCAAAGTGCTGGATAATTGTTTTCGCACTCACAAGACAATGTGTGCGCCCAGTACGATTGGTCATGTTGCCAAAACGGCGTACCGGAGAAAACTGGTAATGTGCGCACGTCAAAGTCAAAAAAAGTATCGCGAAACATCGGTAAGAACTTTCGTTTTACCTTTTTGGTTTTAGTCAGTATACTTGCAACATAAAATAAAACATTTGCAGTTTTTCAGCTTTACGAAGCTTAACATCAGTAAAAGCTACAGTTTTTACCCAATATTAACTAATATAATACAAATCTATACTCAAAATAATTTAGACGCGTCGAAAAATTGTGCCAACAATTCTACGACAGCATCCACCGTCTGAACTGCAATTCATATCGTTGTTCGGATACCTACAAACTCAATGTCACACACGGCCAAATGAAAATTGTACAAACGAGGACTATGAAAGCATGACACGAGGCTGTGAAGACGATATACGACAAAGAAGTCAATTGTCAAATTCCGATTTGGATCGGCATCAGCTTTTACGGTAATTAACTAGCAATAAAAGAGGCGGAAAGGTCAAGTATAAGACAAGATTTAATATACTAAAGCATTAAGTTGTTCACTTAATTCTGCGCTCCTTCTCAAAGCTAGTTTGTAGAATACGAGGGCGCAGAATTACGTTAACAACCTAATCTTTCTAAAAATTATTACCTAAACTACAAATTTTAGAATTAAACTTGACGCCTCCAGTCGACTTCTACCGTACACCGAGACTAAACGTGCCGATGAATGCTTAATGGTCCGCTCATCACTATCAGACATCTTTCAAATTCACCAAAAATACTGCCTACAGACAATTGTGACAAGATGTATGTGCGAACGTTTAAATTTCGAATATTTTTGTGATATCGAATGTTCGCGGTTAGAACCAACTGGACTACCATTGTACCAACAGCTACTTTGGGACGAGTTCAAGGGTCGGTTAGCTAGTAATGGCTATGTAAATAACGCTCAATTTTTAATCAATTTAATGTTTGTTGTGCTTGTAAATTTATTATGATATATTTTACAAAATTTTTAAATAAAATTTTTTGGTTTTTAAAAATATTTAGCTTATAAATGTAAAAATAAACAGAATAGAGCTACGTTACTTAATAAATCATATACAATATATAGGTAAAATAAAAATCAATTAAATCCAAATGTAACACAACACCAATACTTTAAGATATAAGTGCAGGCAATCGTCGTATGTGTGTACATCTGCATAGACAGTATATTGGTCGTAAAATATTTTTAAGTAATTGTTTGAATGCGCTAATTAAGGAGCGGAAATTTTATGGCCCAAAACCGTCTTTAAGCAGTTATTGGCGTGTAATATGGATAATGTGTTTTAATTATTACATTAGTCATTAAGTTCAATTTATTTTGTAATTGTAGAATTAAATTTTTAATATTAGGTGCCGACATAAAGAACTCGCCAAACTTTTTCAGTAATTTTTTGTAAAAAATGGCGGGTTCTTTATGTCAGCACCTAATAATAAAGCACAAAAAGTTTTAAAACATCTACTTTTAGGCCTAAATATATCTAAATGCTTACAAGACTTGACTTTTCTTAATTATTGCCTTCCTAGCGCTATATCTCTTCCTCCCGGCCTTTAAAACATTAAAACAGATTGGTCGCTTAACAAAACATTTGTTTAAGATAAAGTGAAAACAATTAATTTTTACGGAGCGGCAAAATTTTCTTTAATTAAGTGATCTTAATTAACTTTTAACAAATGTCGCTGAGTGGCTTTTCGAAACGGATTGACATACGTAGGTGCATTAAAAACAGAACATAGTCATTATGTCGAAATTCTCGAAAAATACTCTATACGTAATTGGAAATTGTTATTTACGAGTAAAATGTAATTGTAATGCTCTATATTGATGTGCATTTTAATTGGCTGCGAAGTTTGGTTTTAAAAAACTTATATTAAAGATGCTTGAAAAGTTTAAATTTTTTAAAATATTTTTTGAAATTTTTCAACGCTAAACCAAAACTCTTTGGCAGACACTGCCTAGGTACCTTGCTTTTAACAAAATTTCAAGTTTTTATATAAAGTTTTTTGTCAATTTTAAAGCAGTCAATCTTATTGTATAAATATTTAGCCAATTGGTGTGTTGGTTTGTTGTAAAAACGTTAAAAGTTAATTTGTGAGACAGGTGTCCACAAGTGAGGTCTATTGGCACCGGCCCCTTAGGCAATTAGAGGATCATTAAAAACTTTGAATTAGCCGGCTCTCAAGATCCATCATTGCGTCGGATCGTCTTTAAATGTAGCTTTTAGCGGTATAAACAACAGGCCTTAAACTTACTTACAAAAAATATTTTTTCAAAAACTGATATAATTTTTTAGAGCAAAAATAGAAACTTAAAACACAAATATATCGTCTTAAAGAAAAGAATGTTGGCTTTGATTTACTAGACCTCACTTAAAATAACATTTGCTTTGCTGAGGGGCCGCAAGACAAAGGTAAATGCCAAATGGTCAGTTCAGTATAATGAGTGTCTTTAAATATGAATTTAATGTACTTTTTCAGGATGTGTGATTTGAAAACTGTTATAAAAATTGATTTTACTAAAACGACGTTTTACATATCGTAACCTTGATTTTTAGTCATTTTTTAGAAGTTATTGACTCTTGACCGTTTGGCCAGGTCAAAGCAATGTTTTTGCTTTGGCTGATTTACGATCTACTCCGAAGTTTTTGTTCAACATGTCGGTAATTTATAGCTGTTGTAAATTTACATAGCTAAAACTGACTAAAATATTTAAAAAATTCTTTTTTTTTAATTTTTTGCTTAAAAAATTAATTTTATTAATTTAATTTTAATTTTTTTAAATTTTATTAAATTTTAAAAATTTTAAAATATTTTCAAAAATAAAAAAAAAATTAAGTTTAGCGAATTTTGAGGTGACACTTTTTAAAAACGTACCCAAAACTGTCGTCGATGCCGACAATAATGTTCTTCCCAATAACATTATTAAAATTTATTTTATGGACCAATGTTGTTACTCAAAATGTTTTTTTAATCCGCAAAAGTCGTAAAATCAGCTCAGTTCCCATCCACAAATCAGGAGCGCGACCTCATTGTAATCCGTCAAGTTTAAATAAACAGAGACAGATCTCATCCTTCATTGTTCGAGTAATTAAATGTCGTTTCGGCAAGCTACCGTGTCTTTGCTCGGGTTTGAGGGGGGGGGGGTTAAGTTATAATGAAAACGTTAACCTAGTTTTTACCACAGAATTTGTTACGGTTATAGTAATTATGTAATCAGCAACGTTACGTATAGGGCCGAGCAGGTGGAGGAGAGGAGGGGGGGGGGAAAGAGGGGGGAGGGAATGATAATGTTTATAACTCCTGGTAAGTTTTAAAAACAGTAAATTCTAATCAAAAAGTAAAACAAAAACCTAAAGTTAACCTTTTCTAACGCTTCCTCCTCTCCTTTCCTCGCACTCTTTCGTTCTTGGCCAATTGTCGCGCGATTCCACGCGACATAAAACGTCCGATATAATTTATAAACAATAGCTTTATGGACTCAATAAAAAAGTGAAAAGCGACACAAGTGGATCAGCAACATTATCTTACAGTAATACAATAAAATATATCTTTTTTGGTTACGAGAAATTTGAACACAGTAAACAATATACAAAGTTAAAAGATAAAAATGTGAAATATAAAGTTGATGGTAACAAAAAGACAGGTTTATATATAAATGTAAGTGTAAAAAATTTTTGATTACATAAGAATAACAGCAATTGCAAGAACAAACATATATCTTTGTAATTTTGTATATTAGGCTAGTCTATGCTTTGAGATACTGTTTTTAAAGGTTGCACGTAAATAATGGCGTTTTCTTATCAAAAATTTAATAAAGATAAACTAAAAACTTTACAAAAAAAATTTAGTTAATAAAGTTCGTAGCAAAAAAGTTAGCACACTCTAAGTAGCAGACACTAAATGTAAGTATAAAATGCAAAAAACGCATTAAATTTTAAGTCAAAAATTAACTATTATATAGAACCTGACTAGTATATCTGACAATCTACAACAAAGCCGTTTACCATTGTGGTTGCGGACACGGGAAATTAAAGTTTGAATTGGCCGCTACGGCCGCCAACTGAGCCATTTGAGTCCGCTCAATTGCTGCTTCTTGGAGACGTTTGTTTTTAGCTCGGCGATTCTGAAAAGTATGATACATAGTTTAATTGTTTATTAAAATTTTTTTAATTGTTTTGCATTTTTTGTACAGTTAAGTGTAGTTAAAAGCAAGTACGACAGATAAAAACGAGCCAATGCAATTATCCCTTAACGCCTATAAAATCATGTCCCATAACCTTATAGATCATGCTTCTCACGGAAGTCGATACGATTCATCATCAACGATTAAGCCGATCAAGTGGAGGTCATTAAAATTGTTGCTGTTGTTGCGCAACAATCGCACCCCTAACCCGATAATTGACATATCTGATTTTACGCATTTTGGGGACAAAGCCAATATTATTCGTATTAGATAATTGGCGCACTCTTTACAAAATCTTGATCAACAGACAAAGGCTGTTGAAGTACGGTTTACTGTATAAAATAGGATACTGTAAAGTTTGTAGTATTTCAGTATTAACATATGTCAGAGTAATAAAAATTCGAATAACGTGTAAACTTGTTTTCAGTTCAGCTGGCCTAGTACTATTAAACAAGCACTAGTACTACAAATTTTTTTACAGTAATCTAAATTTTTAAAAAACTTCAATAAAAGCCATCTGCCGTGCGCCAAATGATAAAAACCGGTTGATTAATCACACGCAGATGGTCGATAACGACTCCTGAAGCCACGTCAGTTTTTTCGAGTCCTCAGCGTGAAACACGACCTTCATACGGTAATCACAAGAAAAAACTATCAATTAACTCGTTATGTGTGAGAACAAAATTGACGAAAATTATTGGTGATTACTGTAATTTGCCATAATTAGATAGTTAAAGCTAAGGTTTAAAAACTGATAGTCAAATTTGAATACGGTAGTTAATAAAAAATAATTTTAGTACTGTAGTTTAGCCCAATACTCAACCCCTCTCCTTTTAAATTTGTTTAGAGTTTAAAAAATTACTGTAATAATTGAATTAAAATATTACCTGAAACCATATTTTGACCTGCGTTTCCGTCAGTTGAAGACTATTGGAAAATTCAGCCCGTTCAGCTATTGACAAGTACTGTTTGTGTTGAAACTTTCTTTCCAAGGACATCAATTGCTGTGTGGAAAAAGGCGTTCGAGGTTTCCTATTCGACTTGTGTTTTCTTAACATACACTTGCTTAAGGCCGTAGGGGAAATGCGATGCTCGTCTAAAAAAGTTTGTTCAAACGAGGAATATAGGTTTGTTTTAATTTTTTGTGTTTAATTTTGAAAATTTAAAAATATTAAAAATTTTAAAATTTACCTGAATTGCTAGAGGTAGGTGAATCGTTAATATTCAGCCAATTCGAAAAACTTGTGCTGCTACATTGCGGTGACGATGATGAAGTTGAAGACCCAGGCGGACTAGCTTCTCTTCCCGCAGTTGTTGTAGCGCTTCGTGTAAAGTTTTGAAGCATCATCATTGCCGATGGATCGGTTGAATTACCGTACATAGCCATGGCTGCCAAAAACATGGGATTTGTAAAATTTGACACATTTGCAAATGGAGAACACATGGTCGTTGGCAATGAGGCTGCAGGAAATGCTACAGGTTTTATTAGCTCTTCTGTAGTACACGGTAATGAACTTTCTGTTGTACATAGTAATGAAGGTTCTGTAGCTGATGGCAGTATGGATGCTGTAAGTGGTAACTTCAAAAGGTCTTCTGCAGATGGTGCTATCGAAGATGGTTGAGCGGTTTCTGGTGTAGTTTCTGATTTTGGTTCCGTAGGGGTTAAAAGGTTTTGTACCGAAAATGAAAACGAAGCCTTTGGCTTGACTTCTGGAGACAATGGTAAGTCCATATCGTACTAAATTTAATTTTTAGAAGGTTATGTACCAGGCAGGAGTAACGTTTAGCAATAATAGTAAAAAATTAAAATAACGAAAAACATAAAAATTAGAAATTTCGTTAAACTCCGACAAAATTCTTATAATCACGCCTAATAATAATCACGACAAAATTAAAAACCCGAAAACTTAAATATTTGGGCGAATTCAATGAGCTCCAGCTGAGCTCGTATGTTATACCGCCCCAACCCGTGTGTATCCTGCGGAAATCACACTTTGTTACCTAACCGGTGCCGATGTTGTCATTGATCCGCCAACTTGACACCAAACGTAATGCCTTTTGCCAACAAAGTGGGACAGGTAAAAACCGAAAAGTGTAAGTGATCTTGCGGTAAAATACTATTTTTATTTCGAAATAACTAATAAAAGTTGTAATTTTTAAATTTTATAAAAAACAAACATAATCCCTCTTCGTATTTTAAAAGAATTTACACCCCTCCCCTTCTCCACCTATGCCAAATGATTTTTTTTGCACAACTCCTTAAAAAATAAAACAAAATTGCGCAAATTTTGGTTTTGTGGGCGATCCGGAGAAGGCGAAAAAGTGCAGTGTTGTTTTAAGGTGATAATCACTAAACGATTTGCTCTGATATGATTAATCGCTTCACCATGGCACAATGTAGAAAAAAGGAACGGCGATGACGTCGTTCGTATTGTGATAAGCGATTATTAAGATCAACAAAGTAACTTTTTCAAAAAATCGTTAAATCTTCAAGATAAAAAAAATTAAAGTTTTTAAAAAGTTAAGTGAAGAATAACAATAAAATGGCAAAATTAAAATCTTAACTTGGCTAAAAATAAAATAGTCTAATTTTAAAATTTTGAAGCCAAAATTCCCAAAACAATTAGGCTAAACAATTGTAAAAACATAGCACGGCCTGATGAATGTGTTGTTATTCAGCTAACAACGGTTTGATTGGCCTATGATGGACCGGAGACAAATGATCTTGCCTATAATGCAAACGCTAAAAAGATGGGCCGTTGAACGTCAGGGAAATTGACAGCCAATTAGCTGCGACTCCCGACTCCGCCTACTATTTTCATTATTCTTGAGAATTATGAGCTGAACAGCCGCTTCGAACTAAGTGTACTCGTTTTGATACACTAAAAGTTGATGAAATCACTTAAAGTGCTTTTTGAGCTCTACCTTAGTTAGTGTGATAATGGCATGAATCTTAAGAAAAAAAGTTTATTAAAAACAAGAAAAATTAAACTAAAAAATATTTGATAGGTATAAAAATCACTAACAACCACCATACTACATTAAAGAACAAGGCCATAAGCATACATTGCATAATCCGCGCAGGCCGCCCGGATATTAACAATGCTCATCAAAGTGTCCCGATTAAACTGTTAATATGCGGCGAAAAGGATTAGGGCTTTTGATGGGCCGAGGATTTGTAAAGAAATCGAGCAGTCGTGAAGATTTAGTGATTGTTAGTTTTTTGAGTGAAAAATTTCTTTTTGCTTCTCAATTTCGATGACATTTTAACAAATTGTTTCAAAGTTTCAAAAATAAACGTGAAAGAGGGGGGGAAGAGAATTGGTTTTTTAATGAATCCTACAGTAATTTTATACAATTTTATACATTTCCCAATGCCACTTTATGACCAACCAAAAAAACTGATTAATATCAAGCTTAACTTAAAAAATCGTTAAATATAAACCGGTAAATTCTCCTAAACACTACTCAATAGTCATGCGTTGCATAATAAGGCGGATCAAGTTGGCCGACTTTATTTGCCCTCCCCCTCGCCTAGTATCTTGTTCCCCTGAGACGGGGAGAATAAATTTGGCCTCGATTCCGCAATCAAACCAGAATAAGGCCACGATTTCCGCGCTTCGTAATTGGTTTTTAACACCATTTCGTTGGAGACTATTTTGAAGAAGTATAAAGGAATTAAGTGTTATAGCACAATCTATAAAGGAATTAAGTGTTATAGCACAACCAGGGCCAAGCATTGGGGGTGAGTTGGGACTTTTGCACCAAAAATATATTTAAGAACTTTGACTGTTTCTTCTTGATTTAAAAAACAATGAAAAACTGCCGCTTTCCGCACCCCTCTCCTTCCCCCCGCCCCCCCCCCTCCTTTAAACTATAAAACTAAAAACCTCCCCTTATTCTACAAACACCTAGCAAATAAAACACAAACGTAAACACGTTCAATGTCAGTCCCAAAACCCCTACCGAAGAATAATCTGTTTGCTTGTCAAAGAAATTGCACGGTACGCGGCGTTAGAAAATATGAATAAAGTGGCCCCTGAAGGCCGTAATTTATGTCAGCATTATAACCTGTAATTTGCGGCCCATAACTATTTTGGCCGATGACAAAACCGGATATTACAATTCGGCCATTAAGTGAGTGGTCGCAAAAAGAGATTCCAATCAAAAATGCCACTTGACGGAATAATTCGCTGGGGACGCCTACTGTAATGTAATAAGGCAATCAGTCAGCGAGCTCTGCAATTTACGCCCGTTATGTTCGAATATAAGCGTGCTCTAAAATTGGCTTATATCAAGTGTTATGAAGTTGTCAAAGATTGGAAAAAGTAATATCGAATTTACAGGGTGTTCCAAGAAAAATGTTAAAAACTAACTAGCTATAATTTTCTTCCTAACAAAGCTGCAGATGCCAAATTTGGCACGATGAAAGTTTGGCACCACAAATTTTTTGCCACAAAATTTTGGATTTTTTAAGTACATACTAAGGGCGTTATGATTTTTTAAAAAATGTTCATTTTCCCAGGAATTACACATATTTTCAGTTGGAATGCTTTTTTTGGTGGAATTTTCTAAGTTTTTGACACTTTTTCAGTTGAAAATGAAATTTTTAGCCAAGTTTTCGATTTTCAAACGTCGGCGGAGACTCGGCGGACGCCGAATTTTATCGGCGAAGGCTATAACTCGCTTCAAACATAACGTAGCGACGTGAAACAAAAAGCATTAGTTTTAAAATTATCAAGGCGATCTTCACTGACTCTAAGCTTGTCTGAAAATAACTCTACTAAAAAAATTTACAAACAAAAATTAAATCAAAAGGTATTAACGTTCAGAAATTATTTTGTAAACTGCACAAATAACTTCTAAAATTTTAACGTATTTTATCTTTTACTTTACTTAATAACAAAAAAACTAACAACATACAGCATGTGATATATTTGCTGTTTAATCTGTGAAGAAAATGAGTTTAACATAATTTTTAAACGAAGTAAAATTTTTTGAAACATTGCGTCTATTTCTGAACGTTAATACCTTTTGATTTAACTTTTTTTTGTAAATTTTTTTAGTAGAGTTATTTTCAGACAAGCTTAGAGTCAGTGAAGATCGCCTTGATAATTTTAAAACTAATGCTTTTTGTTTCACGTCGCTACGTTATGTTTGAAGCGAGTTATAGCCTCCGCCGATAAATTTCGGCGTCCGCCGAGTCTCCGCCGACGTTTGAAAATCGAAAACTTGGCTAAAAATTTCATTTTCAACTGAAAAAGTGTCAAAAACTTAGAAAATTTCACCAAAAAAAAGCATTTCCAACTGAAAATATGTGTAATTCTGGGGAAAATAAACATTTTTTAAAAAATCATAACGCCCTTAGTATGTACTTAAAAAATCCAAAATTTTGTGGCAAAAAACTTGTGGTTCCAAACTTTCATCATGCCAAGTTTGGCATCTGTAGCTTTGTTAAAAAGAAAATTATAGCTCGTTAGTTTTTAACATTTTTCTTGGAACACCCTGTAATATAATTTAAAAAAAAATAAACAGTAATATAATGAATCAAGAGCTGCAACAACAACAATTTCAAAAAATTTTATAAACTTACTACCAAAATTAAAGTTTATAAAAAAAATTTACAGTACTACGTTTCTGCAATTCAAATTTTAATTAAATACTTAATTAAACAATACTTTGTACTCGAATTGAGCACTTTTTTCATTTGATTTTCCAATTTTCTTTAATTTGATTTTGGTTTATTTGGCCAATTGTTATCACGAAAAAGAAGAAAATGCTTAAAAAACCCTAAGATACTGTAAAGATGCTCGTAAATTGAATCACGTAAACAGACAGCTCTTTTGTTTCCGATTAAATATGTTTAAAGATAAACAAGTACAGTACGATTAACTACCAATTTTTTTAAATTTATAAGTATTTCAAACCTAAAACATTAAAACCCCACTATTCAGCCAGCCTTTATTTGTGTCATCTACTAACACCAAATTCAATCTAAATATGTTCACCATGATCTTCAAAACATGTGTGACATAAAAAGGTCGGTGACATAAAACCAACTAAAAATAAGCAAATTTAAAGATGCGAATGTTGTAAGTAAATGAGTTCATAGGAATGTCAGCGTAGATTTATGAATACAGGTAAAATAAGCAAAATGTTTCGTCATTAAATGTCTTAAAATAACATCGTTTTGGGCACGTTCGTCACTTTTTATGTCTGAAGTCAAAGATTTTGATATAAGGATGATACTGAAAGTTTTTTTCAAAAAACTTATGTAAGATTTTTATTTTTTTTTAAATTAACGGGGGGAGAGGACAAAAATCAATGTTTATTTTTTTTAAAAATTTTTTAGAAAAGAAGGATATTTTGTTCTATATTTCCTATTTACAACAAAATTCATGACGTTCAGCATATTATAGTACTGTTTAAATATTCTATTGTTACTTGACAAGTTTGTGTGGGGTCGTTTGATGTGAATATAAATAGACTTTTTACTGCAGTAGATTTCGTTTCTTTCTTTGTTAGCCTTAATCGTAAGTTAGCTAAGTAATTTTGTTAGCAATATTATTAGGCTTTTTAAATTTCCGGGTTGTCGCACTTTATAATTACAGTACTTTTGTGCGTAGTGTAGTTTTATCATCCGGTGTAGTATTTTGGGTTTACAATACTTTCTATACCGTATGTTTAAAATATTTTAAAAAGTTAAACAAAATTTTATTTTCATTTTTATATTGTTGATGATGCACAAGTTATAGGTTACAATTAGTCTTCTTTGTACAGATAAATAAAATACGGAAGCGCTGCAATAAACAGCTGTTTATTTGTATACACAAATTTATTCACTCCTTATTAATACATACGTATTTATGTCTTATTTATGCATATAATTACATTTTCAAGTAGGTTTAAAAATAAGTTTGACTATTACGTCTATATTTCCTTATAGTTAATTATATTTTTTAACAATGTTAATGTAGTACATAAAGTACTAGAGGAGATGTTGGAGTAATAGAAATACGGTTGATATTGCTTTTTTAGTCTAAAAGATCTTTATTCCAAGAGAGTTTTAGTCTAAGGGGGAGCACGAGAAGATGAAAGTAGATTTTTTGTCCAGGAAAATACACCTTAGAAATTTTTTTTTGATTTTTTAAACTAAAAATACGACGAACTTTTTCTACATGACAAGTTGAACCCACGCAATATGTAATTCAAATTTCCGTTGAATTTTTTACGGTTGAGAAAATTGTTATAGCTAAATTTAAAATCAAGTACATAAGCTATCTTACTATAAAATCTAAAATCTTTCTTGTAGGCTCTGTCAGTATTTTTAGAAACTTAACGCTTTTAGTGTGGTCTTGTCTACAATTATAAATTTTGTTTTTTAAAGACTGAAAAGTTCAATTTTCTAAGGTTTAACTTTGCATATTTACAAATTTTAAATTTTAAAGTAACTTTAAACTTCAATACGTGCGATATACACGTAGAATTTTTAATGTTACAATACGTTTTGCACGAGTTAAAAAATATTTAAGACTTAGTTTTAAAAAATTTAAAATGTCAATTTTTAAAAAAGTAAAAAACACATTAATTAGTACCATTATTAAATACTGTCAAGTGCGCAAAATCTTAATTTACTACTGAGTAATAAGAATGTAATCGGATGTACGTCACAAAACAGTTGCTCATTATGTTCTTATCTCCTACGTTCGTGGTCACAATTCTGGACTTTGCGTGATAAGTAACATGCATTTACATATGTTGTTAGGGTTGGGTTATGTTTACACACATATGATGTTAACTAGTCTTATTTGAAACTTTTGTGTTTTTAACTGTTAGCTAATTTCAATAGTCAAAGCAGAAGCGAGAGGGAGGGGGGGGGGATTTTGACTTAAAGCATGTTTTTAGAAGTGAAGAGCAAGGCATACTTAAATGAAAGTGTCAATTACTGTTTACCTAATACTAATTATATGTAGGTTATAAAATATATGTTATTTGTTCGCACAAATGTGTAATGTCTATGTCACTTTTATATTATAGTAGACCAGTAACTTTTTAAGTTAAGCAATAATTATATGTTAGTAGAAGATGTCCTGGGTGTCTATATCGCGATGTATGGTGCTTTATTTTTGAAATACTGATAAATTTTGGCATGTTTTGGCTTCGTTTGTTTATAATTTTAATTTTTTTGATTTATTAAAAGTACAAGGCTGAAAATGACAAATGTAAACAGGAAGAAAGTTGTACACAAGTTGGCGTTTTTTATTCAATCAATTTGTGTACGTTTTCAGCAGTGTTTTATCTAAAATGAGGTTAATGCATTATTTATGGATAAATATACGGTATTTACTGCTTATACTAGGTAATGTTACAAAACTTTTTAATTATTTTGGTGTTATATATCTGAAATATGTAATTGAATATATTATAGTAGCTAAAAATAAAAACACAATAACTTATTTTCTATTATCTACAGCAGTGCAAAGCTTATGAAATTGACATTACTTTTGACATTGTTGATTAACTTTAAGACTTCAAAATAGTATCTATGTATGCAAACATTTATGACAATTACACAGTAAATGTTTTATTCGGGCGGAAATAATTAGAGTAAAATTAATTTTACGGTTCGAAAGTTTCTAAACTAAAATATTCTTCGAATGTCGAGGAAATAATATCATGTACTGCGAAATGTTTAACGGTATGTTACTAGAATGCGCGGCAATGCATAATAAGTTAGATTATGGGTTAAAACATATTATGATTGTTTTGGGTGCTTAGTTTTGGTAATCAACGAAGTGGGGGGGGAGGTCGGAGGGGGGGGGGAATTTGTTTTTTGTTTTGTAAATTTGTGTGAAATTTGAATAATTTATAATTTTTTTTGTAAAATTTAAAAACAAGAACTCATAAATAAATTTTTTAAGTGGTTATCATCAATATGGTATGCTATTAATAAGAAGTAAACTTAGATTCAGCTTTTCAAGTATTATGTTTGTCAATGAATACGAGCTTATATACAATAGTTTCGTAAAAACTTTAAATAAAATTGTATTTATGTGTGTACAATTGCTATAATTGTGTTAAGTTTTAATAAAGACTACGGTAAGGCTAACATTATTAGTTACGGTTTGTAGTCATGGGCAGAGAAAGAAAAATATAAAAACGATTCATTTGTATTAGTCTAAGTTAAAAGGTAGACATTTTTTAAAGCATTGTTGATTTTTGATTACACTTCGTACATAACAATTTCAACTTAACTGCAAGTTTACCTTAAATTATTAGTCATAATATATTACATCCTTTGGCTATGGTTAAGAGCATGTTATTCGACATGTGGGATGGGCGGTACTGAAGCATTTTCGGTCATTTTGAGTATTCATTTTGAATAGTTTTGCCTCTCGTTCCGGCTTTTTTTTGAAAATTCGTGTGTGATAAAGAGAAAGTGAAACTATCTAGTCATTTCGATGAATTTAAGATTACTTAAGAAATGCGGCTTACTGTGGCTAGACTTAAATTGGTTGGTTAGAGGTTTTGAGCAAAATACTTGTGGTAATAGTACGAAATTTTAATTTTTTATTTAGGTTTGTAGATAAGCTATAATTATGCTTTTACGTTTTGTTTTTTGAACTTATTGCGTTTATGTATTATATTATATTATTAGATGGTTTTAAAATTAACTAATATGCTCAGTACGATCTTTCAAAGGTCCAAGATGAAAGATGAAGGAAGTAGAGCTTAACGTGATCAATGTTTAATTTGTACTCGTAAAATTATCTAAAAAACGGAAGCAAAGAATAAAACCATTTTTAGCGGAACTAAATTTTAATAAATTAACACGTAAGGCAATTAGTACTGTAGTTTTTGTGGTCATAGAAACAATGCTTTACTAATTTTCTTTTATTTGTAAGAAAAAGAAAGTGTAAAACTAGGTTATAATCGTATCCTTAGACCATATATGCACTATAATTCTTTTAAAATTTACGGTTGCTTACAGTACCGATATAATAGTATTTTTAATTTTTTAATTTTTTTATGTTATTACTGACAATTTTCTTCAAATGGAACTAGACACATAACTATAATAACACAACAAGCCTTGTTCATGTAAACCTATTGTATTGTTCGTCATTTCCTTGCCTCTGGCTACAAAACGTATCTTTTTACAAAAATCCGCGTTAATTAACGTGAAAATTTGAAGTCGGGCTTTGTTTTGCTGCACGAGGGGCGGGCGGGCAACGAAATCCGGCGCGTTACGTAGCAGTTTTACATGAATTTTCGTTCAGAATGGGTCGACAAATATACACGTGCACGGTACTCACGTTATGTCTGGTGGCGGTGATTGGGATTCCAATTAAACGAGCACCAATGTATGGTTGTAAAGGTGGTCATTGTTCGAGTAGGTTGTGAAATTGTTTTATTTTTATTTAACTTTGATTTTAATTAAAAAATAAAAGTTACATGATCAAAAAAATAATTCAAAAAATTTTTAAAAAGTTGTTTTTGGCCCCAATTTCAAAATGTGAACTCAAATATAAGAGTCAAATTTAAGAGTCTATTGGTCAGATGTCTTTTGCCAATACTAAAATACCATTTAATTAAGTTTTGTCATCAAATTTCTATTTTTATGTTTGCTGTTTTTTAGTGCTGGTCAGTGTCTTAAGAGACCCTCGAATGGTACCAAACTGGAATACAAATGCGTGGAACAAAGCGATCACGCAGCTACATGCCTATCAACAGTTATTTAGCAGTGGTAGGTTTTCGAACGTTTTTAAAAAAATTTTATACTTACAGTAATCACTTTTTAATTCGGTATGTCATTTTTCATAAAAGCTTAAATTAGCTACTATAATTACCCAGTTAATAATTCATAAACATATTGTTGTGTATGTGTGCACATAATTACAAACATGTCTAGGAATTTGCGTAGAATAATTTTAAATATAATCTTAGTTAATTACCGATTCTTTTGGAGAAATTAAAGTAATGTTGCATTTATTACTACCGCTTCCTTATTAATGCGTAGAAGCATTTTGAATAGTACATTTGGAGACATTTTAAAAAGTCTTAAGTGTAGCTTACTGTATTGTTATATGGTACTACTTAGTACAAACACTAAAGTAATGTAGACATTTATGTATACATAGAATAGCATTATCTTCACTTTTAAAAATTATATATTAAATTATATTGACAAAAAATAGAAATAAAAAATGATCTTACAGTACTTCTCATTTCAGAAGACGTTGAAGACCCAGAAGAAGCCTCACGACGTCGGAAACGTTCCATTCCCGAACTCCCGCCTCGTTTTATTCAAAACTTTTAAACATTGTTGTCGTTTATTTATAATTGTCGGCTATATTAAAACATATAAAACTATTGCATAGTTTGTCATTTTTACTATTACTAGCTTTTTTAATTTAAAAGTTTTTTATTAATTTTTAAGGTAGTGTTAATATGGCTAAAGTTAGCCCTACGCAAGGTATGGTCGAGAAGAAACCTACGTTAAAGGTATGTAAATAAAACTTTTTTGAAAAAAGAGTTTGTTTCTTAAAATCTTTTTTCAAAATTATTTAAAAATTTTAGAACACAGCGCTAAAAGTAAAGCATGCAAGAAGAATCAGTGGGTTGAGTCAAGACTTACAGTATAACAAAGCGTGTGAAGCTATCGAAGTTCCTGATAGTGAAATTAAAAAATTAAAGAAAGAGTCAAAAATTAAGTGGTTAATTAGAATTTTGACAACAAATCCGCCTGCTAAAGAAGGTATACTTGAAATTTTATTTTTAATTTTAAAGTCTTACGATAAAAAAATTAAGTTTTACGGTAAAAATTTAATTATAACAATGGTAATTTTATAGTTTTTGGTTTTTAAAACAACTTAGATAATGTATTCTGTATTAATATTGATGTAACCTACAATATAAATTGTTTACAGTACAATTTCAGACAAAACCCTTAAGGAAATGGCGGCGAAGATGAAGCCGGTAGAAAAGGCTCGTGACTTTTGTCCTCTGCATTGTTTTCAAAAAACTAAAGAACACTCAATTCATAACAAGTCAGTACCGGTTAATAAAAAGAGTTAAAAACGTAGTATAAGCCACCAGTGTTGTGTTTTATACTACAGTACTACAAGTTTGATTAAAAAATTGTGTAACAGAACTTTTGGTGCACGCTGTTTTTATCTTATATTATAGTAAACTTCTGTTGTTAAATAGTTGTAAACAATCAAGTAAAATCAAGTTTTTAGAGCTTAACATCTCTACCATAATATATTACGGTATTTTAAAATTTAAATCAAAAACAATATTTTACAGAGTCCGTCTACGCCATCTAGAACTAGAACCCTTATGTTGTCTTTCATCATGTGTGGTACGTGGTGGCTGTGCGGCAATTATTGTAGCTGAAAGCTTATATATAGTAATTACAACCGTAATTGTACTATTGAAACTATACGACAATGGTAAAATGACGTTGTGGAGAGGTTTACAACCGTCGTTCTTTTCTTTAGTCACACATCCATGTGCTCTGTATATACAATTGCTTTACAATATTGTAAGTATCAAGCAAGTTAGCTTTACATCTTACAAAGGAAGTGTCTCACCTCATGTTAACACTATTTATTTACAAGAATTTACACATTACTTTTTAAAGATGAGAATACAGAGTAAACAAACGGTTGTAGATAGCATCATGGATGGTATACATCTTCTTTAAAGGTGTCATACGTTTTGACCGACTATACGTCAAATTACATTGGCAGTTCGACTTCTTTGCTCTTGGTTATAATTCGATGACATTTTTGGTATTAGGTAAAGAAAGACTGAAAAGAAGTAAAAAAACTATTCTATTATAATTCACTTTGATCTTCACTAGTAATTTGTTACTTATTACGCGCTTATTTTAGTATATAAATTAATTATTTTTAAAAATTTAAAAAAATGTAAGTAATTCTGACATGACGCTTTCTAGCCACACAATATTACAATTCAACTGAACTAGACAACGTGTTGGTGGTGAGTGCATTTTTACTCGTTTTAATTTAAAAATTAGAATATTTTACTAAAAAAAATTTTTTTTTAAACTATTTGACTGCAAATATAAAATACCATGTTTAGGTAGCATGTATGGGTCTCCAGATACCAGTACAAATTTGGGCAATAGCAATAGTAAAAGAATGTTTTCAATTCTTCAACTTGTTATACGTTTTGATAATGATTGCTGAACCTTAATAAACCGTATAACTTATTTTAAGACTAAAATTGCTAGATTAAGCTAAATAAATCTTATAACAAATTCTTTATGGCACAGTTTTTTTTTTGAAAGTGTAATTGGATTACACTTCTAACTTCCTCATGATACGATTTCTCATTTATAAAACATTTTGTTTGTACGACATACACGATCATCGAGCCGAACGAACTCAATAAATATGTCAATTCTAGAGAATTATCAATCCTTAAAATAGCAAAAATAACACGTTGAGCATAATTATTTAAGCCGGATGTGACACATTACACGACGGAATGGTACAATACCATTTTACGTTCATTAGTAGGAGTTTTCATACATTTAAAAGGCGTTTTGTCTCATTTTTAATCCCCCAATTTAGGAAAAGACCGTCGCTAAATTTTTGTCTGGCTTTACGTTGAAGATAATTGTTTGTTTTCACACTGAAACATATTTGGTATAGTTTTTACGGCAATATTTTATCAACTTGATTTAATTTTTCATAGAAACTGACCTCTTTCTTTCTATTATAATATAATTTTTTTTAAATATAAAATACTTTTAACTCATTACTACGTATTTTTAGACGCTTTGATCCCAAAATTTGTTTTTGATTGTAAATCGACTATTTATCAACCATTCAAAGTAGTTTGACCTTTTTGTCTACAAAAATATCACGCCAAACTATACTTAAAAAGTGAGGTATAAAAATGACGTAGTTGGGATTAGATTCATTAATCATATTCTCGTGAAATCAAGTTGTAACACATCTTAGAATATTTAATACAGCCCTTCGTGACTAAAACCAATTTAGTTTTGTTTTGACTAGTTTTTCGTACTTCTATCTGCGCGATTTAAGCTGTAGCTGAAAATGAAGCTAGTACAACACAAAATAAGTATATGTATTTAAAACCGGGCGTAAAATTTTGGTCTTTTTCAAAATGAATGTTCCGTTCAAAACATCTTTCAGCGTAAATTTCTATTTCTTCTTATTCAACAATAATTTAGCCTAAATTGCTTATTCAACACGTGGGTTTGCGCACAAGTCCTCTTATGCGCCTTTGATCCGGAAAAAACAAAAGAGTTCCTGGTTGTTTTCATGCCGTCGAAGTTTGAAAATTTTTTTGGGTAATAAAAAAGTTTGCCTTCCTTTCCGAGTGATAAATCGGGATTGGTCTGGGGAATTGGGCCGCGCTTTTAATCAAGTTTTTTTTTCGCTGGACTAAAATGTATTTCTTGAAGCGTAGACTTAGGCTTATGATTTAGATTCAGCTTAGACTTCAACTTAAGCTTTTTTCATTTTTACTACTTCGGATTTTGATTTAAAAATTTAGGCTTATACTTAATTTTTTTAAATTTTTTAAATTTTTTTTTATTTTTATGGTTTGTTTCTTAATATTTTTTAAATACTTTTATTCGTCTGTAATTGTCATTTTTATATTACATATGCCTCTTATTTGGAACTCATCCTTCCGCCCGCATGTTTTTGACATTGGCTTATATAAGTTTTTTTGGTGAAAAGAGATTAGTTTTTACGGAACGTCTCTAGCATGAAATTTGATTAAAGCGGTAAGAAGTAATAGGCCTGGTAATATTTAAGTATTTTCAAGGACTGATGGATTTCCTTTGAAAAGAATGCGCAATGGTGTTTAGTGTGGGTTGAAATGTGTTTTGAGAAAACGTTGGGTTTTTGAAAAGGATGGTACAAAGTTGACAACTTGTTTTTATATTTGTTTTCAAGGCTTGCTTATTGTTCGTATATTTTGTCATATTTTGAGTTGTTAATAAAGTTTTTTCATTTTCTAGATTTTTGAGTTTTTTGTGAATTTTTTAGTTTGCCAATGTATGTTTTGCTATTTTTTGTAAACTATGTTCATTATCAAAATTTTTACTCAAAATGTATTAAAAAAGTATTCTATTAGGCCATTGCCATTTATGTTCTCTTAGGGTATTAGTGAAAAAAAACTAATTTTTTAGAAAGACGAACTTTTTTTTGCCAACACGACTTTGTTATGAATAGAATCTTCGTGTGACAAAGATCTTTTTACATTCGCATTACTCACTGTTAGTCTGTTAGCTTACTGTTGTTAAGGCATTCCGATTTTTTACACACAAAACTTCTATAATACATAAAAAAGACTTCTGATTCAAGTCCGATTCTATTTTAAAAAATGAATTGACTTTAAAAACTAATATGAGGTCATCACTTCAAAATTAGTTGTTATACTGTATTAGCTACTGGTAGAGGCTTGAGTATGTTTCATGCTACTGGGTGATCGCCGGCTATACGCGCCACAAGGCATATTTTGAAGCCGCTGAAATATTGTCTGATTACCAAACTTATATAGATCTTACTAGTCTTTATTTTAATTTATAAAGTTAAGGTTAAGCAGAGCGTTGTAATAATCACAGGCATAGTGTTTCGTTCTTTTCTTTGCAACCTAACAACTGCAGTAAGAAGAACTTTTGAAAATTTGTCACGTCATAATAAAAGGCTGTTGTTTTGTGTCGCCGAAGAAATAAATGAATGCCAAGTCTTTTCGATTAATTTCCAAGTCAGTCTAAAGCGGTTTCATAAGAAAATATTGTTATGCTCAAGTCGTATCTTCCTTACAACAGTCTATATCTAATTGGTTATAAGAAATACATTCTTCGTCCGGTTGAGAGACGATTAACGTTGATTATTTGTAGTTACGGCGTGTAGTTTTGAGGTTGTATAAGCCTAATAAATCAAAGTTGATACTGTGGTATGTAAGGAAAGTAAATGCTTACACTACGCATGTTAAAAGAATTTAAAGCTAAAAAATTCATTTTTTAAAGATTAATATTAAAATTTTTTAAAATTTATTAGAATTCACAAGTACTGTACGCATAAACTTCTTCCAGACCTCCCGACCGTTCGGAATGTTTGAAATCCGCACAACTTCCCTAAAACCTAATCCCCAAAGCGATTGCGTAATTGATAGTATAGTTCCTCCCACCCGAAAAACATTGCCAGAAGGCCGCGAATCTGGTCGAAAATATTTGGTATCGTCTTCTTGCGGGGACGACCGTGCTTCATCGTTCTTCCGCGACGTTTCCGTCCTCTTATTGCTTCCAATGCCGAAATTGGGCTCTTCTTTTTTCTTGTGACTGGTGTCGTGACCAGACACACTTTTTATGACAAGCAATGCCATAAGTCTAACTTTTTTGGGCTTAATTTAAATAACTTGAATTTATTTGTTTTGGCGACATTTTTATTGATGTATTTCGTATTTTTGAGAAAATATGTATGATATATGTTATAGTAGGTGTGTTTTAAGGGATAGGAGGAATTACAGTAATTTGGCTTAAAGTTTGAGGTTTTTTTAAGTAGCTACTGTTAACAGTTATTCATTGTAGCACAAAACATAGTATGGCTATTAGTTAACAAGTCTGAATCTAGTGTTTTAACAAGAGTGACATACTACTTAAGCACATACTGTATATAGCTATACTAGCTAGGCTTATACTTACTAGGACTATACAAAAGAGGGTTCACGGTACCAATTTTTAACTCGTACCAGCCCAGACGAAAATATGCTTGCGAAGCCTATTTAAATCAATTTGATACCAAGAAAACATCGACGCGGAATTAATCTTTAGTCCAATTGAAATTGAATTGTCATCACATAGCTGCACAAAAACGAATATAACACAATTACGTTCGAGGACATTGTTTTGGCACTGGATCCTTTCTGGCAATTTTTTTTGTCTTTTAACAACTTTCTACACACTTTTTTGTGTGTTCAGTGTAATCAAATTTGCGGACAAAAGTTTCTAAATGGGGGCGGGTTTTTAAGAAGTTTTCAACTAACGGCAGTTTTTTCAAAAAGTTTTTGAGTAGATTTTTCAAAATTCACTTTTTGTAACTTGTTTAAGGGTTTCAGTATTCTACGTCATGATAGGGCTATTGAGTTCAATTTTAGGTAATGTATACAACTTAAATTTAAACAGCTTAGGTTTAAAAAAACTGAAATATAAACTGTGAAAGATATTACGCTAGTTTTTTAACGGCAAAGTTTAAGAAGTCCAAGAATGATGGTTTATTTTTGACATTATAAGTTTATCCAAAAGACGAGAAATTCAAGAATTTAATTTATTGAAGCTGGCTTAGGCGAAGAAAGCCTAAGGTCAATTTTTTTAAAAAGAAAGGGAGAAAACTTTAAAACAAAAATTCTTCTCAAACTTACAAATACCCTCCTCTAATACTTAAACCATTCTTTTTTTGCCTGAACACCAAAATTTTTAATTATTCAGCCAAAAGGCTATTTTAAGCTCACTTCCTCTTCTTGGCTCCAGAAAATAGATAAATTTGCAACAATTGCTATTCATGCTTATTGATTATAATTAACGCTGTTATTTATAGCTTATTTTCCTATTTTGCTTCATTTTTTAATTACTTTTTAGTGTCACATTTTGCTACTTGATCGTTATTAAAATATTCGCCTACGCTGTTATGCATCTTAAGCGAGCTTATTATGACACATATTTTAGTGCTAATATGCGTAGTACTGTATATAAACGCTTTGTTTTTTAGTTTGTGGGTTTTACAGATTGCTTTACAAAAAAAGACTGAATTTATTACTTTTTTTCCTTATCTTTACTTAATACACTTTATAATTTGTCACCTACTGTTTATATGACATCTATGTACTTATAGAAATAAAATATACATAACAGTAGAAGACTTGCATTGTAAAACACCGTATAATGACTGTTTTTCTGGCTATTAGTTCATAGAACGACTTAAAAAATTTGTAAATACTTGTAAAATTTTTATGACTTCCTTGTAAAAACATTTACTCTGCCAATACTTTGTTGTTTTTTACATTTTCATTTAAGTGTTTAGTAGTTTGTTTATGTGTGACGGTTTTTTTTGGGTTTTGGCTACTACATAACTTATGCGAGCAAACTCAGGGTTTTAAACTCGACGGATTTTAAAGCTTTTCAAAATTTAAATTTTTAAATTAAATTTAAAAAA